TGGATCTTTTCTGAACCATTCTTAATGGATAATCTGTATTCATTCCAGTCAGGCTGATCATTTTCACTTCCTGTGTCTATAACAGCTCTTAAATTCAGATCAAAATGTACCTGGACATGCATAACTCTACACAATAACCAAGTAAGCCCTTTAACAAAGTCTTGGACAGTAATTAAGGACAAAAGTTTTGTCTATAAATAAATCTAATTAGAGAGGCCACGCATGAAGGAGACTTCTGCAAGAATACTTTGGACAGTTATTTCTACATTATTTCAAAGCTGAGGTCTCCAGAGAATATTTCATAGACATAGACCTACAGAAGGGTTATTCATCATTACACTGCTTCTTCATCCACTTTGAATGCCAATACCAAGTCTCATTATGAATTTAGTCAACCTTGCTTGTATAGCCCGTTTGGCATAAACACTGCCGTTCTCCTCCTCACCAACAGGGGGCAGACAACGTGACGGTGTGAGAGTGGGTGAAGAACTGAAACCAGTGGTAAGTTAGTACCGGTTTTCTCCCTCCATGAATGCGTCTCAATATTTCTCACTAACTAAACTCATAAAAGATTATTATTAACATAAACATTAACATTATTAATACAAAACCAGGACAATTAAATCTACCTTTTAAAACATTTTGAGAAACGTGGGTGTGGTTCCATGGTGTAATGGTTAGCACTCTGGACTCTGAATCCAGCGATCCGAGTTCAAATCTCGGTGGGACCTGACTTTTCATTGTCACCAGTTAGTCAAGTATTGATCACCGGTGAATATATCGCACATGGAAATAAATGAAATCACTTGTGATAGCAAGTAGTATGTCTGTTATTGCCACATTGCTATCCCTGCTCTACCTCTGTAACCCTCAAACTGTTCAGCAAGTGAGAAATCATTTTGAATTGTTGTAACCCAATATTAAAGTGTTCACACACTTCAGAGTTTGCTTGACACGTTCACTGAGAAACAGAAGGTTTTGGTTTGCAGAGATAAATGCTCTTTCAGCCTCAATGGCTGTTTATTTCAAGATTTTTAACATTTTTTTGATTCATTTTTACAATATAGGCCTATATTATCATCAACAATAGACTCAGTCCATCAAAAAGTAAGCAGTGTCTATTGACACTCTGCCTGTAACATAATTCATAATGCCCTTATTAATCGTGAATAATGACAGTGACTCACACATTTACATAAGACAGACCAAAATAAAGCTGTCGCAACACGAGGAGGGAGGCTGGAGTTCTTCTCTAGTGTGTCGTCTTGGTCCATAAATGGTTTTGTGTAGAGCTTACGTTTATCTGAGACACGACAAACTAATTCACCACTTTTTTTGTGTTTGCAAAAATGACTGTCCTACGTGTTAATGAAATGATCATCACCTTGACTTAATGCTCAAATTGCCGTGTTTTACTTAGTCATTTAGTCGTTTTCCTCTTTTAAATATTTCACTGTTGTACAGTACAGGCTGTTGCTATGGATGCTCCGTTTCCCTCGTTTGAAGCAGCACGATTGTAGTTATTGACAAGCTTTCATCACAGGCTTCATCGTTACATTCCCCTTGTTATGTGAATGGGTGTAACGCCTGCAGAAGCTGTCTGTTTTGTCTTTGATCTATGGCTCCTGAGCTCATGCTGAGCTTCACACTGAGATCAAAAATGTCATGTGATGTAAGTGCCAATGATTCATGTTTCTGCAGAAGCAATGACTTCATTGTCTCTGGCTTCAGACAGCAAGAGGTGGATAATATTTTCTGCAGCTCCCTATAAGAAGTCAGAGATCATGACTGATCCTAGCATTAAATGTTATTATGATCACCTTTGATCATATTCTGCAGATGACTTCTTGTGCAAATTATACTCTCAGTGTAAATCCATAATTGCTGCCCATATGTCTTCCATTTACTCCCCTCCACACCAAAATCTAAGGTCATAGTCAGCCAATGAAAAACACCCTCAAACCTGGAAGCGGTTTGAGTTCTTATCAAGCCACTTCAACAGAGCAGATGCTCAACAAGGATTTGAAACCAGAATCCAGTTGAAGGCCAGTTCACCCAACTTGCCAACAGCCCTTTTCACATTTCATATGTCTTTATAGTCATCATTCAAATTACTCATCCACCTTTGGCAGCTTTTCAGGTAAGCTCAATTATTTGTTATGCTAGATCACAAAATATTTACTTAGTGATCTTGACATAATTGAAGAGAAAAATGACTGCTGCTAGCTAATGCAGATAGATATCAAATAACTAAAGTGTTCTTTGAGACTTCTTTTTGAGTTTGTTTATTATTTATCTATCCTGACAGCACTTTTGTGGAAGGTTGGGTGACCTCTGTTGAACTGCTATTTGTAGTTTAATCAGAATTGAACTTCACAAACTGGTCAAGGCCCCAAGGTGTCAATAGAAAGTGTTTTAATAGATGATCATGATTTTTACATTTAAATTAATGTTGCAACAACAACAAGTCACCTTGGAATATCATAAATAATATCAAAATGTATGGCTCTGTGAAAGGGAAACTTGAACTTGTTGATCCTTTTTGAGTTTGTTTATGCATTTATTTTCCAGACAGGTATCATGGTAGATTTGGAGGCATCTGTTGATACCTGTCATACATTTTCAAAAGCACCTGAATTGTCTATAGTAGCAAATCAATGAACAGTTACTTTGGAGGCTTGTTCATAACTACACAAACTGCAGAGAATTAGCAAATTGTTTGAACTGATGTAAATCCTTTTGGCTCCAGTGACTGGACCTTTCCAGACTAAATTTGAGCACATTGTCTCACTTTCTGTGAACACCTGCACATCACATCTGAAATACCACACAACATCTCTGTGTGATAGATAGAACAGATGATGATTTTTGTTTCTGCACAGACATCCTGGACTGGAGTCAGGGGCTTTCACTCTGTGTATGATTCAATCTCACAGAGACAAATGCCGCTGTTGGCTATTATGCAATAGATTTAGAGCATTCAAGATTGTCATTCATTCTCTCCTTGTAATCTCTTGCATTAATATTCTCCATTTTTTATCCAACCAGAGCTTCACAACCCAGACGGTCACCATCATTCATAGATTTATTCCACCCTACCTGTCTTATAACTTATTTTTTCATCTAAAGTACTATGACTCACTTTCCACTTCTCTGTTAAGATAATACAAAGTCTAACATTTTTGATTTATTGATTGTCATGATTGGTTATACCACAAAACTGCAATGTCAGTACGGCATGGATATGATTATTATAAAGATATAATTACCACATCAAAGATGACACAGCAAAACGTCTGAGAGGCTCAGACATCTAAGCTGCCTACAATCTTCCGGTACTCAAATATGGTCATTTGTAAGTTTTAAGAAAACTGTGTATCTTGGTAATCTCCACACAAGGGCAGTAGAGGGCAAGACAATAGGCCATGTTGTCTCTGGCCTCAGGCACTGATAGTTTTCTGTACTGGTTCAGTCTTACCAACCATGAGTCATTCATAGTTATGTCACTAACAGGAAAAGTGTCATGCCTGGAGCAGTTCAAGTCTAATTAAATAAAATACAATAGTTAGTTATAGCCTATTTCTTTGTACTCTGCACTAATATCCATTTTGGTTCAGTTTAACTATAAAGTTAGCTGACACATAAGGAAAGTACTCTGACTATGAAGCCGGTAATATGTTGTAGATTAGTCCTCCTCATATAATTCCAGTGATGATTTTACAATCCTGTTTCTCTTGGGACATAATCAGACTGTACTCTAATGTATATGATGTAGATTTCAGTCATCAGTCTGTCTTTGTTTCCCCAATTTCCTGTGATCACTGCAACACACCTGTGATTTCCAATTAAAGCTAATTGCATGGACAAGGTTTCAAAGGAATAACCAGCGAACACCAATGCAACATGGCTCCACATGGTAAAGAACCGCCCGAGCAAATAAGAAACCAGACTGTAAAGCTTCATAAAGATGGGAGAGGATACAAGAGCATCAGTGGGCTACTGATGTGAAACACAGCAATGAATGAAAATATAACTTCCAGTCTCAAGACACTTGGATGGAGAGGAATGAGCCCAGAAACACTGACAAGGAAAAGTGGAAGGTGGAGCAATGAACCCCACCAGCAAAGAGCAGGTGAAAAGGATGGCAAAACATCACTCCACAGATTTGTGGTACCACCCATGCTCAGGATGGTTGAATCTGTCATCCAAAATAAAGGTGGACATACAAAATAAAAGATAAATAAAAAACAAAGTATAACAGGATAGAGCCTCAATAATGATGGTTGTACTGACTTTTGTTGCAGTTGGTTGTTAAATATGGAACTTTCATTATAGTTTAATTAGTCAGAAATTTCAGTTTTTCAAATGAATTTGCTTCATTCTTCTCTTCTAAAAACATTTTTGTAAATACTTAAGATTTTAGTGATATTGACCACTCAGTTTTTCAGTTTTGTTGTACATGTGTGCAAAATGTCCCAGAAAGACAGGTGACATGATATCAAAGAGACAAAACAAAGAGATGCAAGATAACTATAAAGAGGAAAAACAACCACGTGGCTGCGTGGTTTGTGATTGTTTTGTGTCTTTTGTCTTTAACAGTGTGGCTGTCTTGAGTGTGTGTGATGTGTGTGGTGTGTGTGGTGTGGTGTGTGTGGTGTGTGTGTGTGTGTGTGTGTGGGGGGGGGGCAATATTACCAAAACTGCTCCTACTACCAACAACAACAACAATAATAAAGATATCTTTTTTCTGTCACTCCGTGTGCAGTGGTGTAGTACAGTATGAACCAGATGTTTCTTCACAGCTACAGACGTTGTTCCTCTGTCACAGCTGCCAGTCGTGTCATCAGTGACGTCGGTGAGGTTTGTAATCAGTCACGTGAACCGCGCAGGTCTGGATAAAGCGGTGCTCGGGTGTACACAGGCTATTCCGATGCGTCCATCCCACTGTGAATTGTTTTTTTGGGGGTTTTTTTTTACGATAACACAGGAAAAAATAATAATAAACGAAGCAAACACCGAGGGATAACATTTGCTATCAACAGAAATCTGGGTTTTATTTCGCCTCGTATTCGACACATTGATCTTGCAGTCGTCGTGATTCGTCAGATGTGAGTAGATTCTTCTTTTATTGAGGATAAAAACAAACCAACCTCACACACCCAGTCTCTATAATGAAGGGGTCTCCCAACCTTCATTTTTAATAATTTGAACCTGTGATTGTACGTGAGGTGATGACTGTTATCGTTACAAACTGAATCCTTTATTATTATTTTAATGTTGGATGCTTGGTTAGGATAATTCAAACGGCAAACAGGTCATATTATTGTTGTATAGCTATATGCATTGCAAAAATAACTTAATGCTTTATAGTGAGCATCGCTGCCTGTGTGTGATTCACTATATTTACAGTGCGCTCATTGGCTACCATGAAGTCATATGGAGGCTTATTTCGTTGCATCCCGTGTAGATGCTCCATAAGATGGCTTCTTCTGATCGGGGCATATGAGAAAACCCCTCTGTATTATTGTGGTCGCTGTGATCAATTATGTTTTTCAAATGACCATTTGTTTGCTTTATGGTATTCCTAATGTAGTTGCAAGCTTATCATGGAGGGTTCCTATATATATATATATATATATATATATATATATTTGCATTACCACCTTAGAGTATTTTATTCTTAATCTTTCTGCTCTGTTTATCTTGGGCGTGTGTGGTTTCCTCATCAAGCAGCCAGGGTCTCCCCCTGTCAAACATAAGGAATGCAAATGGCTGATGGGGGTGAGGGTTGTCTTCATGGCTAAGAGGGAACAGATGCTGAGTGAAATGTTGTGGTGGTTCCCTCCCCAGATCAGACTGCCCATCCTCCCTGCCCCCCTGCTGTTAACACATCCCTCTATAATCCCTGCATAGCCTGGGTCTGACTGTCCAGCAGCCGCGGCCTCTGTCTATTGGGCCATAATTACAAGACCACTGTGATGCTCAAAGCAAAAGTGAAAAGGCCTTTATTTCACTTCACAATATCACATGCATTGTAAAGAGAGGGTCAAGATTTTTTTTTATGGTTTAATGTCAAAATTCTGCTGTTTGGGGGAAATGTAGAAAATAAAATGTTTCTTGCATGAAATACTGTATCAAGAAGACATGTAAGATAAATAATCAATTATGTTTTTTCAAATGACAAAAGCTCCTGTTATAATTTCAATGTTGGATTTAATCACAGTTCTGTCAGAACTTTGAAATATTTGCCACTGTTCAAGCTTTTAACATTTTCTTCTTTATTATTTAATGAAATATTCTTGCCAAAGGCCCAAGGTACCCATGCATAACATACCAGGCTGAAATACAAGGGAGTGTTTAAAATTATGCATAAGATGTCAAGAATATTACATTTAAACTATCTACAAAAGGCATCTTGGAATATGTCAAATGAAGCTTTGGGACTATCAAATACAGAAAATGATGAGTTATGTGAGACAGTGTGGGAAAAATCTAATTTTGTGGCTTTTTGTGAAAGCAATCAATCCAAACATGGAACCATTATGGCACAAGTGGTTAGAGAATTACTGCAAATCTGACGGTTGGAGGTGACTCATAAAAACAATAGTGGATGTGAATGGGGAAGTTGGCTTGTTTTCTGGTGAGAAGAGGAAATCCGCTGTGTCCTTATTTGTCTGCTTTTATGAAGAAAACTGTGGTGAATGAAAAGATTGCAGTTTCTGGGGAGACCGTGAGTCACTCACTTCCAGTGTTGAGCTAACGCAGGGTTGCCTGCGATTAGTGTGATGGTGTGAGACTGTTGAAAACCATATGGAAAATAAAACGTCAAGTCTGGTCGAATCGGGTTTATTTATGGGCTTTTTTGTCACTAAAGTCTCAAAGGTCTCAAAGAAGTTTAGAGGACGAGTCTTTCTAGACTGATACACAGAACAATCAAAGTGATGCAGTATTATGTAGACAAAAACAGCAAACAAAGCACTGCACACATGACAGCAGAAGGCTAATGACCTTTCGACTCTAGTGCAGCCTGCCCAGCAGTACTAATGGAAAACACACAAAAACCACTGCTAGGAGAAAAGGGAAAAACTGTGGACAAGGCCTGCTCACTGAGAGGTGACATGAATGTGTAATAGCTTCCAGGTCAATACAAGAAGGAGGCCACGAACATGAAAAAAAACTTAATCAGATAAACAGACAGAAACTATACCTGTTCATTGTACATTCAGGGTATATCTGTTAATATTTAGACCTGAATAATTTTATTCTCTGGCTCTCCCAGAGACTCTGTGGTAATGAAACAGCCCATTAGTCATTTCAGCATCTCAGTGAGAAACATAGAATCTTCAATTTTAATGTTGTTGCTATGGTGAGGATTAGATATGATTTTAGGCCTGTGCTTCCTGTTGAGGGGGAGGAACAGACGCAGTGGATGTCATGGTAGTTGGAACTGGAGATTACATCTATATTTAATCCTGAACCTTCCAAGTATTGTATGACACATCTGCCATGCCATCAGCTGTATATTTAGCAGCACTCATGCAATAACTACTGAGAGCGGGGATGTTTTTACGGATTGGTGTGAGTGCTGTGTCACATTCAAAGGAAGGGGGATCTACTGAACAGAATAATTAAGGCCTTTCATGACTTTCATTGGTTGTTAGTTCCCTAAGTAAAATAGAAATATGATTCTTTATTTCATAATAACTCTGTTTTGCTGTGACTCCATTTGGATCAGTCTGTGAATGTGATCACAGTGACAATGAAAAGTTTGTGAACCCTCTAGTAGATTATCTGAATAGTATATTGCCTCAAATGACACTTGAGACTTGAGCAGCATGAGACATCTTTTGTTTGGAAGGCGTTTAATAGTCTAATCCATCCAATATGGGAAAAAAGATGATCTTTTATAGACAAATCAGTGTTGAAAATTTAAAGGCTGCTGAATAAAAAATACTTTGGTGCCATTTGTCAGAGGGATAGGAAAGTACAACCAGTGGAGAAACATGGAAAAGAGACTATTTAAGCAACTAAGCAACTTTAAATATGCATCAGTTGTGAAATAATGGGATATTTTGAAAGACACAGAATGTGTCAAATTCTGGACTTTTTTGTTTTCCAGAAATCAACTTTACAGCTCATACCACTTTTTAAATTGTTTTTTGAGAGCAACAGTGAACAAAAGATGCAAGGGAAACATAAATACTATAAATCATAAGTGCTACTGTAAGGTGTATTTACATATTTTTGTCATTTAATGAAAACCAGTTTTGGAAGGAAATCTGAAATAAACTGTCCACTTTTTGCTATAAATGCTGAGTCACTGGGTTTACCCACAGGGCTGCAGAGTACAAATAACCTGCATCAACACAGCCACTGGCTAACCAGGGAACATTGGACTTAAAGACTCTTTAATGCAGATGAAAACACTGTAAGGCCAAGAGTGATGATGAGTCATGATTTTGAAGTATCACTCTCACTGATGCACAGAGCAAACAGGCTTCTGAAACAAGATATTAGACTGAATTTTATTCGCAAATTGTTTTGCTTGGTCGTATGGATTCTAAGAGGATCAGTAATTAGCCAAATAAGTAAATCCAGGTGTCGTTAGATCAGTAGTAACAGCTAAATCATTCTCATCCCAGCATGAGCGTGAGCATGAAAATGGAAATTCTGCAGCATGTTTGCTACTACAGATTATCTTGTTTTTTTCCCCCCTTGTTCTCATGTTAGCGGTCAGTTTCACGCCCTAAGCCTGTAAGCAGTGCTTAGCTTTCTGTCCCATCACACGGCCACAGAGGAGGACAGCACACAGATCCATTCGCTTTAAAGCCAGTGGAAGCTAAAGTCCACTGGCTTTAAAGTGGGTGAGATATGGTCGTGGCTTCTTGTAGTACCATGGCTCCTGGTAGTGACACATCTAGCACAGAGGAGTGGGATAACTTTATGCTAACTCCCTCATAGCCCAGTGGGGAAAATAATAGGCAGCTGTTTATCAGTTTGCTAGTGAGTGTGGAAGAACTGCTGAGAGAGATAAAACAGGCTCTTCAGCTGAAGCACAATAAGCTGGCCCAGTGCTAAGAGGCCTTCCAGGGCTCCATGCTTTGTGATAAAGCTATAACAAGCTGACTCACAGACGCTTCCTCTATTCCTTTTTTCTTCACAACATTGTTCAGCGCAGAATATACGCTGTCTGAATATCACCTCGCTAAAAGCTCCAAAAAAAGCTTTTTGCTGCACTACAGTGCGCACTCTCTTCTTTTCCCACTGCTCAATTACAGTTCTGGTACTTTTCCTTTGCACACATTTTTTTCTTCTTCTTTTTCTACAGACGCATGTGTTTTATTTTACATAATCAGTCAGGGCATATAGCAAGGTCATTGGTCTTAAACCCTCCCATATTTCTTGGAGAAATATGGTGTTGTTGCAGACAGGAATGCATGCTAAATGCTTCCAGATGCTCTCATTATATTTGGTTATTTTTCAGTATAGAATGTATGTGCAATGTAGGTAATGTCTCTATTTTACATGCTGCACGGTATCTCTATCCCCATGATTCATTTAACAATTATAGCAGCAAGACAATTAATAGAGTGTGCTCAGAGAGTGAATTTAACGCTGATGCTGCTCAGCCAGGTCCCTTCCTGATTGCAAAGGCCCACTTTCTTCCTGTGTTTAAGCTACACTACATCATATGTAATTGCAATATGTTTAACATGTATAATGGAAGCCCTCCGTCTCTCTCCCTCTCTGTACTTTCCAGCCCTCAGTGTGGGAATGGGAAATGATGGAGGATAAAGGGCCTCGTGTAGCCGACTACTTTGTGGTTGCCGGCCTCACTGACTTGTCCAAGCCTCTGGAGGAGGAGCTCCACTTTGACGACGCCGGTCCCAAGTCTGTGAAACCCAACGCCCCCATCACCGACGTAGCTGTGGTGATCCGCTCCCTGGGTGAAGAGGTACCCCCGGGATTCACCTGTGTGGAAAGCACTCCCTCAGGCCTCTCTGCTGAGCTCAATGGAGCCAGCCTCAGGGGCCCGCAGATCTTCCTGTGTTTCAAGCGAGGCAGAGATAAGCCTCCACTGACAGATCTTGGGTAAGCAGTAATCCTCAGCCTGACCCTTTACCCACCCAGCACCACTAATCACTTCTCTGCCTTGGGTCACTGTAATCTGCTCTTAAACACATCCTTTAGTCTGACATCTCTTCTATGAATATATTATCAAAGTTGAATTCTTTCTCAAGATTGTCTTTGATTGAATAAAAATTGAGTAAAAAGTCAGTCTAACACAGCCTTGTATTTCAGGGTTCTGTATGAGTGGAAAGAGAAGCTGAAGCCTGGATGTCACATCGTCCAGACCACGCCCTCAGGTCGCCCTGCCAACATCAGCAGCTCGTCCTCCCAACGCATCTACATCACCTACCGCCGTGCCCCGAAGAGCCAGCCCCACACTTCACTGGCTGTCACTGATGTCTGCATCATCATCCCAGGCAAGGGGGAGACACCCCCTCACACCTTCTGCAAGGTGGACAAGAACCTCAACAGCAGCATGGTGGGATACACCTCTGAGAACACAGCTAAATCTCAAGCATGCTAGCAAAAATAATTCATGTTTTCATTGACCCGTGGTGGTCTGTGTCTTTTCTCGTATTCCAGTGGGGATCTTCGGTCTACCTTTGTTACAAGAAATCTCTGGCTAAAGCAAACACAATTGCATACAAAGCAGGTAAACTAGTGTGCAGAATTTGCACTACGTATGAAATTTGATATTGGATATGTCAGTATTTTATCACATCCTCTTTTCTCTATGTCAGCATGTAGTGAAGTTTTGAAGACGTATTTGACTGTGTTGTGTGTATTTGCGTCTAGGTCTGCTGTGCAGGTACCCTGAAGAGGACTACGAGTCCTTCCCACTGCCTGAGTCAGTGCCTATGTTCTGCCTGCCCATGGGGGCTACGATCGAGTGCTGGCCAGCGCACACCAAACACTCCCTGCCTGTTTTTTCCACATTTGTGCTGACAGGGGCCTCTGGAGAAAAGGTAACACCACCACCTACTGACACGAGTGTTACCAATAACCATGTCCGTTTCTCCGTGTTTGACTTATCTTGTCTTGCCTTTCTGTGTCATGCGAAACACACAGGAACCTACAAACCTGCACGCTGATATTGCCAAGAAAAAGAAACACTACTTTCTTCAGAGTCTCATTTCTTTCATCATTTCATTTACATTATCATTAATTAAGCAGTTCTCCCAAAGTTGGCATCAGTTTCTCTGCCCTTTAATACACAAATGCTCTGTTAATTGCTTAATTTCAGCCAGCCTCTCCATCTTTATTTCCCCCTCTGTCTCTCTCTGCGCATTAGTATCCCTTATGGATTAGTATGTTGATGAACTGCAGGAGTATTTCTAAGAATACCAGACAATCTTAATCAAGGAATCAAAAACGGTCTAAAGGCTGTGTTTGGAATACTAAAAGGCTGTTAGGCTTTGAAAGCAATGCAGCATAAAATATTTTTTTGCAGCTCATCTTTTGAATAATGGATAACCCATGCGCCACTTGGGCTGGTGCACAAGTTTTAACTGCTGAATGCCTCAGTGCTCACTCCTTCTTTCCTGCAACCTCTAGTCTGCAGGCTAGTCTCCTGGCACTTCATGCCTGGAATGATTTGTTTATTTATTTGGGAGGAACAACTTCAAAGGACTGAGGATGATTTAGCTGATTTATTATGATGAAAATTCTCTAGTGGAGCAGCCACAACATCCTTACCTGAATAAGTTCTTTCAAAGGACCTCTGACTACTGTGGTTTAAATCTTTGTAATGTTTATGTCTTTTTTTGTGTACGTGTGCGTACTTGTGCATATATTGAATCATCAGCCTTTATATTGTGATCCCTTTGTGTGCAGGTGTACGGAGCAGCCATCCAGTTCTATGAGCCTTACTCAGAGGAGAATCTGTCTGAGCGTCAGCGCTCACAGCTCGGCCTGCCAAGCTCTGATCTCGGACCTGACGGGACCAGAAGTGTTTACAGCAACAAGAGCATCTGTCTGCTCTCCCACTGGCCCTTCTTCCAATCCTTCAGGAGCTTTCTAACGTTCCTCTACCGATACTCCATCTCTGGGCCACATGCTCTGCCTATTGAAAAGTTAGCAAGTTTAACAGATTTAGTCTTTTTGTTGAAGTCTATCAGAAACTGGTTAATTCTTAGTCTTACAGACAGTACTGGGTGACTTTACTGACTCATTTTCTCTTTACTTTCAGGCACATCTTTCACTTCATGCAAAGTGTGCCATTCCCCTCCACTCAGAGACCACGCATCCTAGTGCAGGTCTGCTTAATATGTGACATTTGATGAGTGCTTGCTTTATTTGGTTCGTTATGAAAGTCTGTAAACACACTGTAATCACAAGCTGAATCCTCCACCCACTGCTGCTCTAACGCTCCTCTGTGCATCTTCCATAGCTGTCTCCACATGACAGTCTGATGCTGAGCCAGCCTGTCTCCTCTCCGCTGCCTCTCAGGTGGGGGAACGTCAGTAAAATATAAAATTATAACACGAAGACATACTATATTTGTTGCTTTCTTGATCTGATTTGTTTTTTGTTTTGTTTTTTTGTGCGCTAGTGGTGGAAGCCTCTCCACATTACTGCTGAATCTGGGCCCGAAAAACGCAGCCACTCTTCTGGTGTTGGCTGTTACAGAGCACAAGATCCTGGTTCATTCCTTGCGTCCAGCTGTACTCACCAGTGTCACGGAGGCCCTTGTGTCTGTAAGTGGTTTGTTCTTTTCTTTCCATTACACTAATAATAACTCTTAAGAGGACGGTCTTTAATGTGATTAGAGGTACAATAGTTGATGAGGTAAAAGGCAGGGCTGCGGCATCAATAAATCACCCATAATCACATCAAAAAAGACCCTCGCTTATGGCATTAGTGGTGCAGTAGTTGCTGACTATCTCCCAGTTTAAATCTCTTCTTTTGTCCCTGCAGTTTATGTATGAATTATATTGATGCATTGTACTGATGGATGTGTCTCTTCCCTTTTCAGATGATCTTTCCCTTCCACTGGCCGTGCCCCTACATCCCTCTGTGCCCGCTGGCCCTGGCCGATGTGCTCAGTGCACCATGTCCTTTCATTGTGGGTGTGGACTCCAGATACTTTGACCTTTACGTGCCCCCATCTGACATCAGCTGTGTGGATCTGGACACCAACACTATCTCCCAGTAAGTAACCTCTAACCGCAATCCCTCCGTGATAGATGGCCACCTTCAACTTTAACACACCCAACCGAAAACCATCTTCCCATGATTTAGGTTTTTTATTGGTTTGATGATGAAAGTTCTTCCAGGGGTTATCTGTATAAGTCAGTGAGAGCCTCTTTTATGTAACGATAAGAGCTGGAATGTGAAATATTCTTACTATACACGAAAGCACATTTGGGTCCCACTGGTCTACCACATCAATCCAAAAGCTATTTTGCAATTGTAGTTGTAAGTGCTGATGTCAGTAAATCTATCTCCCTCCTTGTAGCTTTTTGCAATGTTTCTTCACTGTCCTCCCGTGTAATGAAAAGCATATGGTGTGCTTTCAGAAAAGACGACAAGAAGGCTTTAACGTGGAAAATCTTGCCGAGGAGAGCCTGCAAATATCTTCTGAATACCCTGAATAAGCTCTATCAACAGCTCACTGAGGGTGAGTCCAGTCTGCTGTGTCATTATATGTGTAGTTTCATGAATAATTTAGGCTGGCTACTTAAGTCTGTTGAGTCAGCCTGTAGAGTCAATTTACAGGAAAAGCTCATTAGATGATTACATTGTTATATAAAACCAACCGATAATGTTTTGTGCATCCCAGGAGATATTGTGGATGAAGTGTAATTTAGTCTTATGGTATACACTCCTACTCAACCTGCCTCATCTACTTATACTTCAATTTGTCAAATACCGTGTTTCCCAGAATCGCTTTTGCCCCTTTACTCAAATTTCAGCACATGGCTGTATTGTATTATGGGCTAATGTGGTCTGTAGCAGAGAAAACAGAAATATCTGCCTATTCTAACATGGATTTCTTGTCACTGTCACAATTAAACATCAATGCCAAATGAATCCCTTTCATTGTAGCAAATTAACATTTATCTTTGATGCTTTCTGCTATCACACTATATTTTAGCTGAACTGGAATGATGCAGTGTCAGCTGGTCTGAATTGATCTAGTTATAATGAAACCCACTGTACAAATAAGAAATTGTTACCAATAGTTGTTTACAGCAGTGTTTTAGAGTGAGTAAAATATCTCAACAACTGGATGGATTACCATGAAATCTTGTGCAGATATTCATAGTCCCAATAAGATCAATCCTAAAGACTTTGGTGATCGCCTGACTTTTAGTCTAATACCACGAGGTTGACATTTGTTTTTTTAAGAGAAATGTCTCAAAAATATGAACGCTCCTGTGGCACCATTATCAGATCAAAATTTCAATTAGTCCAATTAATTGGTTTATTACCAAATACTCGCAAAACTGATGACATTCCCACCAGCCTCGGTTGGTCTTTATGTTTTGTGCTCATGAGCAGATGTTTGTATGCTAACATATTAAACTAAGTGAACATGCTAAATTGTATGCCTGCTAAACAGCACATCAGCACTGTCAGTGTGAACATGTTAGCATGCTGACATTCACATTTAGTTAGCATGGTTGTATCTTAGTCTCATTAACAGGTTACCTTTCTCCTGGTTGCCACATGTCATATTGTGGAAAGAGTGCTTGCACAAAAATGATAGTGTTTACTGTTATACCTGACTTTACTTCAGAAGTTAGAATACCTTGTGCTGGCGTGTATTTCACGTCCTCTATATACATTCCACGTTAACATCTGTTGTGGGCTCTCAGGTGGTCAGCTGAACCGTGAAGATGTGCAGATGGAGCACACAGTGACTGACAGTGAGCTCAACGGGGGGAAGAGCCTCCACACTCTGGAGCTGGAGATCCAGGAGGCCTTCCTGCGGTTCATGGCGGCCATCCTACGAGGATACCGCTCCTACCTGCTGCCCATCACCCAAGCCCCCTCTGAGAAGACCACAGATGCCAGCTCTCTCTTCGACATCCAAGGTACACTTCAGCCTCAGTCTATGATATGTATTACTGCATGTAATCACAAAACACACTGACAAAGCTATTGTTGCCTTGCCTTCATGTGATTCAGTGCTGTTTGAGGTCTGAGCACTGCTGCATCAAAGTTTGGCCTAAATCACTGCTGTAATGACTCTGGTGATTTAGCTTAGGCCTCTGTGGAAATTAGACTTGGATGACAAGTCAGAGAAACGGCCATGATTAATAGCTCAATGTCCTTGCACATCTGTGTGCTCTGATGCAGCAGGGAAGAACTTGTTTCACAGCACAGTATTCACTTTCTGTAAATGCTGCATCTTGACGCCATAAACGCTCTGCAACAGTTTGAGAAGTGCATGTCCAGATTTAGAATCATGATGCTGCTATTAATCAACACCTATCATGTGTTTCATTTCGTAACATGTTTTGTTCCATAGGCTTCCTGAAGAGCAGAGACCGCTCCCATCAGAGGTTTTACTCCCTCATGACCAAGACTCAAATGTTCAGCCGTTTCATAGAAGAGTGCTCATTCGTCAGCGATAAAGATGCTAGCCTGGCTTTCTTTGATGAATGTGTTGATAAGGTGAGGCTTGCAGCTAATCTTTATTATGGATTTTATGTGTCACAGACAATTCATTACAAAAACTGTATCATTGCGCTGTGTAAGAACAATTGCTCCGGTAACAATATTTAGTCTCGCCTCAAACCATTTGCAGAAGTTCTTGGAAAAAAAAGGCTGAGGCATTTAGAGGAAAGATTAATCACACGCTTTCCTCTCAATTAAGATTGAGGTCTTTGTTTAATTTGAAGGAGCTAATAAGCAAATAACAGGAACTAATAGAAATAAACAAACACCCCAACATCTCCCTCGAGCCTCTTATTACCATCAGCACTAAGCTTTTCTCATCTATTATTTCCCCCCTGTTCTTTTCAATCCTTTTAAGTGTTTTTCTGTCTTCGTTCTCGGCCGTTTTCTCTGATTTTCTGCTTATTGTCTTCTTCTCTCTCTTTCTCTCTCATCCTGACCCGCCTGCCTGGCAGCTATTCACCACTGGAGGCAAGGTAAGCTGCTAGAGCTTGTGCTGTAGTTTAAACCTGGGTGCACGTTTTAATACATTTTGCCTCTTTCAGTGATAGTAGCTTCAGGTGTGATCCAAGTCGCAAAGTGTTTTCATGGTTCAGGGCAGAGAGCTGTGTGTGTGTGTGTATGTGTGTGTATGTGTGTACTCATTCTGAATAAGTCAAGGTGAGGTAAAGAGGCAGTGAAGCTAAAAGTGTAGTAAGGTCTTAAATGTGAGGGTGTGCATCAGCCATCTGCGTCTGTCAGCAGTCTGCATTATTGAACCAGGTGCCATTAGAATGAACAGCACAGAGAGGTTATGCAGAGCTGATTTTGTGGTGATGCTGAGATATAGAGATTAATTATTTGTGCTTGCCATTTTCTGAGACTCTGTGCACTGTCCGGACTTCAGTAGCCTCTGTGAAACATAATATACAAGAGAGGAAGATAAAGATGGAGGCGATAATCCTTATTTGTCAAAATGTTATGAGTTTAGTTGTGGAAATCCTATGTCATGTGGGCCTCATTGTCAGTTAGAGGGCTAATCTTGCGGGGACTTGACAGCTTTCATTAACACATCCTGCCTCCACATGTTTTGTAACACACAAAAATGACAAAACACCAACCTCCCCTCCAGAAAGCCCTTTGTGCTTGCAAACTTGTGCAATCAGGAAGTCACATTTACATCCTGCATGAACGTTTTGAGCTCCTGTATGAATGGTCATTGCGGTCATTATTGAGAAGTGGAAGCATTGATTCATTCAGCGTCATTGCTGCTGAGGTTGACAACAAGTGCGTGATTGGGAAAGACCACTTGGGTGTAAGAGGAAGGGCAACAAGCGGAGAAACACTGAGTGGAATCGAAGTGAGGGCAAACGGGTCAGTGACAGTCAGTTGACTGAATCATCCACTCGACTGAGTGGAACAAACGCTGTAAACGCAGTACCACTGGGGAGCTATTCAGCCGCTGCCATAATATTAACGTTTTTGTAAAGCTCATGCCTAAGATAAGCTGCTAATCGATTCAGATAAGCCAAGTGACTGCACATCAGCATAGCAGGCTTTTTATGATCTCCCAGAAAACTATTCAGTGGTGATTTTCTCCTAAAAAAAACAAAAAAAAAACATGTAAGCTTTACCTTGTCATCCTCCTTTGTGCTGCTGCTGTTGTTCTCAGACAGGCAGCGCGGCTTTGTACTCTTCTCTTCATAGAGCAGATCCGTCGGTCAGTTTTGAGTTGAAGGAGATTTGACAGCTTAGTATCAAGCATTGCTGCCAAAGCAGTAAAGTGTAATGGTTTCATGTCCACGGAGCAACATGGCATTTCGTCCAGGTCACTGTGGCCTGGATTAATTTAGTCTTGGAAGATTCGTAGGATCAAGTCTCTGCCTTGGCAGTAGGCTTTTGATAAATGGACCGGGGACAGGGGCCATATTTCTGGTGTAAATGGACTCATTACTGACATCTGTTTGTCCTCACTGACCCTAATATCTGGTCTGATCTGAGGGCTCATATGGTATCGAATGCCTGTGAGCCTCCAAACAGCATTAGCCTATGGATTTGTGTTTACAGCAAAGCTAAGAGGAAAGATGAAAGACAATGACGAAAGTGTGTTTCCCTTGCAAGGTGGACAGTGAGCGGCCGGAGGACACCAGACTGATCGAACTGGATGAATCCCACCGCAGTGAGCACACAGTCTATATCAACCCTCCAGAGCTGCCTCCACTTCCGCAGGGAGAAGAGCATCCTCTGTGCTATAGGTACCACACTGCAGATCAATCTCTTGACGACAAAGCAAACTGTTTCTTTCTTTTACAATGTCTTATTCACTTTAAGAGCACTTCTCACCGACACTGGGTGCACACAATACGGCTCCCGAAGGAGAGACTTAGTGTAAATTGCTTCTCTTGTTAAAGAATTTGTCACTGCTGTGGGGCTTTGTGATTATTTTGAGCCGGAACACATCGCTTTTGGATCCTTGTGTTGTTGCTCAAGCTTCCAGGGTGTCGGCGCCAAGCTGGTGTGCATGTCACTTTGCTTGCCTTTGTTTATGTGGGATTGATGCCTATTTCAGTTTATCTCATGGTATATGAGAGTGTGTATATGTATTTCTGCAGCTACTCTGGATTCCCTGTGCTGAATGTTGAGCTTCTGGAGCCACTGGAGGGACAAAATCCTCCATCAGCAGGCATGGCCTCGCGCCACAGCAGCCCAGCCAGCCCTACCGCCATCTTTAGACGCTCGAAACAGGTCGGCCATATATGTAGTTAGATTTTCTTGAAAACTGCTTTTTAAAAAAAAAAAAAAAATCTCTTTAACTTGTTTTTTGTATTGTGAGACCATATAATAATAGATAACATTAATATGTGTTAAATGTATCGTCAGATTTTATCCTTATTCGAGCCTTTTTCTTTCTTTGCATGTTCAGCTTATTTTACTGCAGCATTCATTCTTCATAATGATGGATAAGGGTATAAATGTGAAAACAAAATGCAAATCCAGTTTCTAAAGGAAGATAAATCATCTCTGTATGTGATCTTTTTTTTTTATCTCAGGAGATCAAATCAGCTCAAAGGATGGCCAAAACCTATTCATCTATGCCTCAGATGTGGTCCAAGTGTCTGTTGCGCCACTGCTATGGCTTGTGGTTCATCTGCCTGCCAGGATTCGTCGGGACGTGCCACTCTAAGGTTCGAGCTCTGCGTACAGCTTACGATGTGCTGAGGAGGATGCAGGACAAGAAGCTACAGGCTCCAGATGAGGTAGGAAACTGAATTATAAGACAACCACACAGATATATACATGTGTATTAATGACATTAATGAAGTTTTTGAAGTTATAGTGCACAATCTTCAGCTTTAAAATCCTGATGTTTTCTGTCCAAGGTGTGTTACCGTGTGTTGCTGCAGCTGTGTGGCCAGTACAGCCAGCCTGTCCTGGCTGTCAAGGTGCTGTTTGAGATGAAAAAGGCTGGAGTTCAACCCAATGCCATCACCTATGGGTACTACAACAAGGTGTGTTCTCTTGATATAAATTGTACCAGCAAACAGTAAGCAATGAACAAGCTAATTTGACTTTGGTTTAAGTTTAAATCTAAAAGTCTACGACCATGTTCCTGCTTCAGGCGGTGCTGGAGAGCACCTGGCCCTCCACCACCAGAGGAGGCTACTTTCTGTGGGGAAAGCTGAGGAACGTGGTCCTAGGTGTGCTCCAGTTCAAGCAAGCCGGGAGAAAACAACAGACTTCTCACAGAGATCCTCAGCTTTCAGGTAAGACTACCAAAGTCCTGACTCAGGGACGCGTTAGATTCGATTTTTACAGATATTTGATAACCCCTAATTTCCATGGTAGTTTCAGCTAATAACTATACTCATATTCTTTTCATTTTATCTCAATATTTCCACAAGCATCTGGTCTAACATCTCTCTAGAAAGTGAATCATTGATGTCTCTTCTGCACAGATGCTGACTGTCAAAGTTTTTGTAAATATTAGAAGGGTGAAATTTGTTTCCGACAGTCATGACTCAAGAAATGCACAGAAAGTTAAATTTAAACATCATTAATTTAAAATTGACTAATAATCCACATCCACTAATACAGCATATTATGCACTCCCACACTGCCTTCATACAAATACTAAAACATACACCACTAGTCATTACTTTATATCCGAGACTCATTGCATTAAGTTCAGTGGTAAAGCCTTTTCACTTGCACACACATTCAGTAAATCACAGCCCGATAGAGAAGGATTTTATGTCTGTTCTTAATGAATAGACATGTAAATGAGTACGATCCTATGGGAGCAGTTTCTTCAAGGCATCTCTCCTGGTCTCATAACAAGGTTTATCCTGACTCCAGCCTCCTCCAGCACATATTGTTCCCAACTCGCTTTTCTTTAATGACACTAATTAAAGAGAGTGAAGAGGTTTTCTTCCCCAGCAGTCACAGCACACAGGTTGCTCTAGATGTCAATTTCCACAACAGCCCAAAGAGACTGTCATTACCAATATGACATGTTGTATGAGGGGCTCTAATGAAAACATCATGCTTTACACCATATACAGTAACACTGTTGTCGTTGTTGTTGTTGTTGTTGTTGTTGTTGTTGTTGTAGTTTGATTTCATTCACTTCACAAAGAGGATTTTATACAAAATTTCAGAAATGGAAATATGATCATGTTAAGAAACAGGATTTAGTGGTTTGTGAAATGAAAATGTGCAGTTAAGTGTGATTCATTCAGCTCTCATTCTGCTCTCCTTTGAGCTAAAAATAAGCCAGAAAAGTAGAAGCTTGATTTTCTTTTGGCGCCCTGGCGTCCTTTTGTGTTCAGCAGTGTTCAATCATGATGACAGCTACTGCATGTGGGATTTAGAGCATCCCTGCTTCTTTGCCGTGGATGACAATGATTACATAAAGTGCTCTTAGTCCAGCTGGGCTCTAGTCTTATAATCCTGTTGGTATCCTGACATTTGTTTTAACCTCTCATCCTCTCTCTTAACTGTTATCTCCCTGCAGACGGCAGTGATCTTGACACAGTCAGTCATGGGAGTTTGGACAGTGCTAATGACTCTGCTGAGCGAACCTCCATCGACACTGACTTCACTAAAATGGACTCCAGTGATGATGGATTTAGTACAGGTAGGAGGCAGCGGCTTTGCTTTGTCCTTCCTCCAGCTATTTCACTCTCATCCTAATTTCGTCACCGCTTCTCTTGGTGTCACAACGTCTTACAGTTAAATTGAATTGATTTGATTTACCACCTTAAATGTGTCCAAACCCCAGGATTCATAACCTTTAATTTTGCTTCCCTTTGCTTAAATGTCACTGGACTTAAATAAATTGCCCCAACATGTACTCTGCACATTCTGCTTTTTATCAAGCACCCGACACCCACAGTAAGAAACGGAAGTGACCTGTAGCACTAAAACGCCTCAAGAACATGTCACCACATAACTATTAAGTCCCAGAAGTGATACGTGTTATAAATACATAACTCCATCAAGTAAATATTTTAAAATGGTAAGAAATAACAAATGCTAAAAATATGTTAAATATATTCCGATGGCATTTAAAAGTGATGGGGGAAAATGTAAACTACGCAATCATCAGGAGGCACATGCACATCCATAAAATCTTTGTGCTTTTTCCTGCAGTTTGACCTTGTGAATATGATGCTAGTTTTCAAAGACTCTTTTCCTCTGCTGCTGCTCCTGCTTTTCTATTCTGGGACTGTTGCTGAGTGTGCTGCAAGCTGTAGGGAATGTCGCCATGCTCAAAACTCTCAGATCAATTGTCTCTTATCCATGGATCCATGGAGACTTAATATCTAGCTTTTGATTCACTCAGCGCTTTCTGAAAGAGGAAAACAGTCAGAAATAAAATATGAAAAATAACTCTGATTTTCAGAGGAATAAAGCTTCTTATCTGTTTGCAGGTGGACAGTCAGACCAAGGCTACGATTCACTGTCCAAAGAGGAGGAGAGACTGTGCGGCAGAGAGAGTGACAGCACACCACTGGTGGAAGACAAAGCACAGAGCCAGTCCAGTGAGTTATGCATGAACTGCTATCACTAATCTTTGACACTTAGTGACCATTTGAGCAGAAGTGAATCACTGCGTACTCTCAGCAAAATCAACACTCTCTCTTTAAAAGCTAGGGTGTCATATCGCAGTGTGGGTGTAAAGTATTCCCTACCCATCCATTTGCTGATATATTTAGATGTTTTGGAGAAACAGATTCTGTTGATGGATGTATGTGTTACGTAAGCAGGTGATTGTGTGCGTGACAGGATTTGTTGCAAACAACAACATGCTGTGTCTCTCTGTTCCAGTCTTCATGATCAATGCTGCTCGCTAAATAAGGCATTTCATCAGTCCTAATTGCCTCTAATTTTGTTTTTTAGCATTGAATATAAGACGACCATATTTTAAGATAAACAGCTCTCCCTTAAGGAAACACTCAGCTGCCAGTTTTCCCATCTCCACCACACTGCAGCAGCTTTATATTGGCATAAACACCAACACTACAGCTGCAGTTTACATTCATAAGTGTAGTCGAATGAATCCTTTGCAATAACAAAATTTGTGATTTTGTGTATTATCTCCTTGACAATTTGGTATCATTTAAATCTCCAGCACCTGAGACTGAAGTTCCAATCAGCAGCATATCTCCTTCTGCTAAAAGCTACAAATCAACAGATGCCAGTGCAGGTGAGTTTTATTCATAAAGAAGATTGCCATGATTGTGTAAAAGAGTGCCACAGATTTTCAGTTTTACTGTGTCAGAGCTGAATGCCTTGCCGCATTTTTTTTTTTTTTTTTTTGTTATCACAGGTAACGTTGACAGGCTGGTTTCCAGTCCATGTAGTGATGCCATTCTGTGTGGAGTTCTGCCAAAGACAGAGAGGCCAAAATCTCTAGACTTGTCTGGTGGACAGGGGAGCCTGAGGCTCACCGTGCCTCATCCGGGCGCAGCGAAGCAGCATCACGTAGCGGCTGAGAGACTGCATGGAGTAGAGGAAGAGGAGACAGAAACTGATAAACAGAAACCTCTGGTGGAGAGGAGTGTGAGCTGCAGTGATGCAGTGGAGAGGCAAGACTTCCCCATAGAGAGGAGTGTCAGCTTCAGTGGTGGAACTGTGAGGAGGACAGGTATAGAGATGGGATTTGACCCCCTGTCACTGATGGCAACCAAGGCGGTAGAGTGTGACCAGGACAACTGCAGCACACCTACCACCGGCCGCAACCTCGCCGAGGAGATCGAGATGTACATGAATAACGGCAACAGCCCTCTGAGCAGCCGCACGCCCAGTATGGACCTGCAAAACCCCTCGAGCCCCTTGTTTCGATCCCCTCCATCTCCTCACACCTCACCAAGACCCTCCACTCTACTGCGCTCCAACACACACCTCCCACTGCCTGTCAAACCCAAAGAGAGGCTGAGGCCATCACCCTCTCTTCCTCTGGGTGACAGGGAGAGGCCTTCCTCATTAGTGTCACCCTCATCTCCTACTCCGTCCACCTCATCGTTCTCCATGGACTCTCTCCTCACACCGACTCTGGACATCTTTAAGAGCAGCGTCATTTCAGCAGGGAAGGGTGTGGCTGAGAAGGCCAGCCGCCTTTACTCTCGTCTGTCGTCCCAGACTTCATTAACACAGGTCATTAGTGCAACATTTTTCACAAACAAATATTTCCAACACAATTGCTCATGGTATCAAATTGTGTCCTCGATGAACTACTGTAATGGTGACGGTATTATTTTCCTTTTTTCTCTCCTGCAGGATGCAAACTGTGACAGGATTAGTGTATCCTCACTGACCTCAGGAGAGGCAGACTGCTCCTCGCTTCTTGATAATGACTCCTGTCTGGACCCAGACGGCTTTACCTCACCCCAGCATGGCAGCATGTCCCGACTCAGGAGGAGCCCTGTTGTGGGCCATACTAACCTGGGCAGCCCCAGCACACCCAACAGAGTGTTCAGACACAACTCCTTCTCTGGTTTGTCCTTCAATCCATCTGCATAATCAATATTGTTGGAATAAAGCTGCTACTTTATGTTTTTCATTTTCGAATCTCGAAATGTTTGAGCTAGACAAACGACACAATCCACATGTATTTAAAGTAGTTTGCAGTCTTTATCAAAACATCTCCAGCTTTAAAAAAAGGCCATCGCTTACAGCCATGCTCATTAAATTACTGCTTCAACTGCAGCATTGTATTGATCCCCAGCAAAACACTTCTTGACTATCTAAATTTAGAGCAAGAGTAGGGCTCAGTAATGGAGAGAGTCGGGTGTTTTTCTGTGGGAAACTAGGCCAGCAGGCAGGAGGGCTGATTCAGTGTGTAGGCTTTTCTGCACTCAGCCAAAGGCCCTATGCTAAACATATACACGTGCATGCACACTCACGTGCACACTCCCAGAGACACGGATTTGCTAAACTTGAAACGTCCTCTGAGTGCGCTCTTTGAAGAACAGGGTGCTACTTCGTTTCATTCTTGCACATTTGCTTTATTTAATTCAGATATGTATAGCTTTGATAGTTGTGCTCAATCTTGGCTTTGCCTTCTGTGTCTTATTGCGTAATCTTCCATTGTATCCAGGTGGTTTGGCGCTTCCCTCTAAAACTCCTCACACTCCAGATTCCTCCCCCGACACCAGCCGCTTCCAACCCACTCCCAATTACACCATAGAGGTAAGTTCCTCACGCATCAAAACCCCTTTTCGGACACTTCTCTTTAGATAGACTCGCACTGTCATGACTGAGTGTTACTGCATCTGATTTCCGCCACATCCCGATGGTTTTTGTTGCAGGTACTTATGTCCAGTTGCTCGTTGTGCAAGACGTGTGACTGTCTGGTGTATGATGAGGAGATCATGGCTGGCTGGACAGCAAATGACTCAAACCTCAATAGCACTTGTCCCTTCTGTGGCACAGCCTTCCTTCCTTTCTTGAATGTGGAAATCAAAGATCTGAGACCACAGAGCAGGTAAATACTCCCTGTGTAAACAAGTATTTACACATTTTATATTCAGGTACACACACGCTTTGAATAATTAATCAGGTACCTGCATCATTTCAGGACGAATTCAGTAATAATATGAGGTTTAATGTCTTTGATCTCTTACACTAGATTGTCTATTTTTAGACTGCCTTGCTAGCTGTCTGGCACTTTTTTCAAAAAGCACTGACGCACACGCACACACACACACACACACACACACACACTCAGACAGACACAACATCTTTTATCCCAGTGGCCTCTTTAAACAGATCCATGGTGTGTCTCCCCCCAGGTCTTCTAAGCAAAGTAATCCTGTTACTGAGGAGGACACGTCTGCGTCTCTCAATCCCGAGGCCAAAATGTCTGCGTCAGACTGTGCAGCTCAGTCACCTGCAGCTCCCCCGCAGAAGCAGGAGAGCAGTGGGAGTGCTGGGACAGCTGTGCCAGCCTCAGCCTCAGCCCCAGCCTCCGCCTCTGCTCCGGTGACGGTGCCCTACCTGAGCCCCCTGGTTCTGTGGAAGGAGCTGGAGAGCCTGCTGGTGAACGAGGGCGACCAGGCCATCTCCTCTCCGAGTGTTGTTGACCAACACCCCATAGTCTTCTGGAACCTCGTGTGGTACTTCCGAAGGCTGGAGCTGCCAAGCAACCTGCCAGCTCTAATCCTGGCCTCCCAGCACTGTAGCCAAGGAGACGAGGTAAATATGTCAACAAGCTCACCCACATATAGCTGTGTGTAGATTGACCCATTTAATATAAAGTCACCATTTAATCAGCTTTGTTTTAAAGTTCTTATGTGGAGGATGTGAACATTTGGGACTTTGGTGACTCCTAGTGGTAGTTTCAGAAAAGACACCGTCCAAACAGCAATGTATGAAAGCAGCACATATTTTGACTGGGAGTGCGTCATTTTTTGCAAACAAATGAAAACCACGTATTTTTAAAGACATAACATCCACTAACATCCTGCTCAAAGGGCCTGTAAGATACAGAATAAAGGATTAATCTTCATTTTACTCCCTTTAGACTCCTCAAAGCGTTTCATCCGAGGACAGTAAGCAGGTGCTGGTGAGGATTATGTGGGACAACCTGAAGTTGCACCAGGACAAAGTTCAGCCCTGCTATGTCCTGTGGAACACACACTGTAAGTTATTTCAGCATTTACTTTGACAGAATGATGTCAAGTATATTATGTTTCAAAAGGTGAAATTACTTTCAGAAAATCATGGTAACGCTGGCAAGAATGATTAAGGTCAGATATTTACATACAAATTAAATAATGCATATGAAGTAACTAGAAAGTCATGCATTATTCAGTTCAGAACTCCTATTAGTCATGCCTCCTATATCAGCGCTGCACTCTCAGACTGGATTCTGAGTGATGGAGATGAATGAACCTTTGATCAGGGTGACTTTTATCTCTCCTTCTTTGCAGGTGCCAATTCCCTGGTTCGCTCGGGGCTGTGTGAAGAAGGCCAGCTCTTCACTGTGGAGCTACTGCAGGGTTTTGTGAGGAGCATTAAAAAGAGTGATGTTTATCAACCCATGAGCCAGATCATCCAGCTGCTGGGGCCGGAGCTGGGTTTTAAGAGGCAGAGGTGAGGAAATAAAGATGTCAGTGTATAGTCATGTAGAGAACATGATGTGAATGGAAAGTCTAATTGCGTTTCTCTTTTTTCTTCCAAAAAGGAGCCTTTACAGAGATTTATTGTTCCTTGCTCTCGTTGCCTTGGGGAAGAACAACATTAATATAAGTGAGTTCAAAAGCCTATTTTCATTCATGCTAGTGGCATGGGTTGGTAATGTCAGTCCGTTGGTTGGACAGTTGAAACATCTCAACAACTATTGGATGGATTTCCATGAAATTTGGTACAGATATCAATAGTCCACATAGAATGAATCCTAATGACTTTGGTGATCCCTTGGCTTTTTCTTTAGCGCCACCAGCAGGTCAAAATGTCAATTTTTCCAGTACTTTGATGTGAGGCAAAAATCCTTCAAAATAAATGCTATTTCATCAGCCGCATCTGTACTTTGTGTTTAGTGCTAATTAGAACGATGTTAGCATGCTAACACACTAAACTCAGATAGTGAATATCTACGTGAATAACATTTTTATTTAAATATTATCTCATTGCAGATGCTTTTGACCGGGAGTACAAGTTGGCATATGATCGCCTCACACCCAACCTGGTTAAACTGACACACAACTGTGACCGGCCCCCTGGAGCAGGGGTCATGGAGTGCAGGAGGACTTTTAGGGAGCCCAGTTTGTAAACTACTTCTCTCCTTCTGTCCCATTATGTTTTTCCCTCAAACTGTGGTCACTGCTGCTGTTTTCTTCTTTTTTTTTTTTTTTATTTGGACTGCTCTTCAGCCTCAGGACCTGCTCACCTGACTGAAGCACAGAGCTCTTTAAAGCACAATTGGAAAATGACACTTAATAATGTGAAGCAACTGCCATGAGTTTCATGTATACTGTTAGAGCAGAGAGGCAGGGAGAGGCATGGAGTGACAAGCCTTGTCTTTGTAAATATTTAGAAAGTTCCACTGTATTTTCAGTATAACTATAGTAAAATGTTTGTACAGGTAATATACAGTCTATTTTATGACTTTGTTTCTGTTGAAGCTGTGAGTAAATATGTAAAAGTAAGTGTATGATCACGTTGTCTAAATTCCTCAGTGGTCCTGGTGACCTTGTTAAGACTGTTGTTGAGTGTGTGTATAATAAGTACTTGCTCTTAGACGTTCATGTTTTTACAAAGCACTTAGACAAGATGAGCTCTGGCTTTTCATTTTCATTAGCATAACGCTGTGGCCCAGCAGCCTACGCTCAAGTGACTTTTCTATTTGGCAGCTGCAGGATTTACTGTACTGTCTAATATTTCCATTACATGCAGTTCACAAAAGAAATTGTTCCTCATCTTCTGCACCCTGTAAACCTGGCATTGCCATGCTCATATGCCTGAATACACTAAACTAGATGATAACATCAAAAAAGTATAAAACATATTATTGCTTCTGAATCAAAAAGGGAGAACTCAATTAATGTATATGCACAATGTTTATTCATGTATCCTTTTTTGTACAATGTACCAAAAGAACCCAAAGAGGGAGTAACACTTATATGTTTTATTTACAGTTTTTAAGCAATACCTTTTTTAAAGTGAGGACTGAATAATTTCTGTGTTATAAGGGACCACCAAGGATAAATTTCCTTAAAAACAGTACAATCAAACTAACAGGTGACAGATAAAAACTGAAAAATAAATTTCTGTTGGTTTAATCAACACAATTTTTGATAAACAAATTAATGTATTGACACAGAAACAGATCTATAAAATTGTACAGAATATTTGATTCTAGTATTTTGTATATTTCCTTTTGGTCTTCACTGTATGGTGTAGATGTCAGGTTTAGACATTTGGACAACACTGCACTGTTTAAGGTCATTTTAACCACTTATAATAAAACTGACTGTTTTAAGGGATTTTGAACAGATGGCAATGCAGGATTGTTTGCACTGAGCATATTCAAAGATGTGTAAGTGTCAAAGGTGTTAAATTTGAACAACAGCTCTGACCTGCCCTAATTCGAAATCACGTCCAAAAATGTGTGATTGTTCACTGTGTTAATATTGTCTTTCACTTTTAACTGACAAAAACCTGCCTAGATTTCTATTTGTAGTGTGATGCAGCTGCACAGCTTATTACTGAACCTCACAGTTACTTATAATGATAAGATGCTGGATTAGATACAGCTGTGTGCTCACAGCATGTACATTTGCATTTTAACCACCTTGTAAGTTGTAAACGGTAAAAAAACAAAACAAAAAAACACAGTGATGACCAAAACATCATTTGATGTCTACATGTTGTTTACACTATTTGTCGATTAAAACAATGTTTATTAAGTATTATTTATCATTTGTAACACAGATACTAATTTGTATGATTTTTACATTAAAAAAAGAAATCAAATTTTTTCCCTGGCTGGATCTATAGTTTGCTTTTCATTATGAATAACCACGTTTATTCTATGGATGTAAAGTTCATTTTTTTGTCCAAAATGAATAATAGGCCTGACCTTTTTTATAAAAACTCATGTGTATGAAAGTACAGTGAGTTCAAGCAAGCTCAGGTTCTCTATAATGAATGTTATAAAACAGTTGTTGGTGCAAGTGTATACTTACATTTTATACAAAAATCACATTTCGAAACCTACATTTTCCAAAATGTGCACATATTCTAGATTTCTAATTCCATTACGCAGATGCTGTTTTGTAAACAGTGAAAAAAAGTAAAAAGTTCTAGCAAATGTTGTAGTATGTGTACTGCTGCTGACAGGTGAGACAAATGTGACTGGCAGCAGTGCAGAACAACTACAGGAGCTTTCTGAATGGTGTCTACAGATAACAAGACCCTTGTTCATGAGCTCCATACATGTATAGGTCAACAGTTGTGGCTCATGTTACAAGTGAGGTGAGAGAGAGCTTCAGTTCAGATGGAGACAGGGCAGATAATCATGCGATCCTCCAGCATCACGCTCAGCACCAGGAAGATAAAGTAGAGCAGGAACATGGTGGAGCCCAGCGCCTTATTCATCTTCCACTTACAGGATGCTATGGAGATGATGACGAAGAGGAGCATGAGGAAGAGGAGCACAATGGCACAGAAGAGCCCATTGCTGCTGACGGCCACTGGAGCTAGACCGTGGGTGGATGAGTACAGGAGCCACGGGACTGGCAGACTGACAGAGTGAGAGACACAGAAACATGAGAAAAATAGCAGTTAACTACCATCATTTCTTCTTGAATTGTGACTCATTAGGCTGTTGGAGCTCACCCCACAGTGATGTCAAAGATGTTACTGCCCACAGAGCTGGACACAGCCATGTCCCCGAGGCCTTTACGTGCCACAATCACACTGGTTATAAGGTCAGGGATGGATGTCCCTGCGGCCAAGATTGTAAGGCCCATAATCTCTTCAGAGATGCCGATGGTCTCACCCACCTACAAGGTCAAACCACAATTAAGTGTTTTCACTTCTTATGTATGAATTCAGGGAGGTTTTTTAAAGTCTTATTTTCAGCTTCTCATTATGGGGAATGTGGTCCTTCATAAACATGGAACAGTTTTGGTTATTATATATACACACATAAATAATGAGTGTTATTGAGAAATACTCAAATTTAAAAATCTTAATCACAATGTACTTATGTGAACTACGCCACCTGGTCACACAAATGTGTGAAAGCTGCGTTTCAAATCTCATCTTGAGATGTTACTAAGTAACTGACCTGATGGGCCCACCACACCATGAGGTAGGAGAAGATAGCAATCCACAGAATAGAGCCCAGAAAGGTGGCCACAAAGAATTTTCTGGATTTCTGTTATGTGGGTGATGTAAGAGCAAAACACAGTGTTCAGACATTTGGGACATCACATCTGATCTCAGAAATGTGTCTGTATCTCACCTGGTTACGAACATCAGGAACTGTGAGCCACAGAGGGAAGACTATGGGCAGCAGGACGAGGTACGTGGCTTGTTTACGGGGTGTGTCAGGCCACTCTAAAGACAGAGGCTCATCCTCTTTCTCCTCTTCTTCCTCATCTTCATCATCATCATCATCCTCATCTTCACTGGACTCATCGCTGTCCTCATCGCTGGAGTCTTCATCACTGTCAGAGTCTTCTGAGCCCCCTGATCCATCCTCCCCCGCTGGCACATCGTCCTGAAGTGTTGGGGAAAGACATCACGATGGAAGTCAGCAGAAGCAAAAGAGGCCTAAAGAGGCCATTTGCCAAAAGTTGTAGCTCTGTACTTTGACTCTTACATAAACAGGTATTAAAGACTGACTTCTGGGCTTTTTGATAACCACCAGGGCATGGTTGGAGAGTACCTTCTTATCCTCTGGCTGCTCCTTCTTCTCCGTCCCTGTCGCTGCAGCGGCCTCTGGCTCTTTAGTCTGCTCAGTTTTTTCCCCACCATCTGCAAAAGGAATCCCAAACATTCTGCGCATTTCCCTCATGCCTCTGACTCATTCAGCTATTTAAAAGAATTCCCTAACTAAGACTGTAGGACTGGTTATATTGAGAAATGCAGTCAATGTGATGTTAGGACTGACATGATATATGAGGTCATTGTCATGTCTTCACAGGTGTATGTTTGGGGATTTTATTACATGCTCCTGTAGGCACTTTGTCTAGTCTTTAGTACTCTGAATATGTTGTTTTTATATAGTATATTGTACCTGTGTACAATTTAATGTAGTCTTTATGTGTTATTTACACATCCTGCATACACTTCATATTTTACTACCCACCTACAGTATGCTGCCAGGCAGCATAAAAGGATGCTAAAGACACATTTTCCCAGAGGGGATATCTTCTGGAAGAAGATACCGGAGCCTCTAAGCCTGCTCCACCAGACTGGGCATCAGCTTTATCCGTCAGGCTGTCAGGATGCCTCCAAAATGTCTGGACTGTAACTTACATGTCCAACAGCTCCAGCCAGAACTTGTATACAAACATATACAAACACGCCCACGTCCATACTCAGCACAAGCCACTTTGTACAGAATACTACTTAAAACTGCAGCTAATTACTCATCCTGTGCAGGACATATTACTTACACATCTTTTACACCACTATTTGCACTATATTTATTACTATATTACTATGTTTGTTGTTGAGCTGTGCTTGGTTATTGTCCCCCCAGCCCCCAGCTTGATTTATAAATATCTAAATTCTTAGTATTTTTTTTTTTTCATATTTTTTATCCTAATAACACCGAGGTCTGGGAGAAACAGCATTTCACTCCTCGTATGTCCTGTACATATGGCAGAATTGACCTGACTCAGACTCATGCATGGTTTATTGAGAAACAGTGCTTTGTAAGCAAGTAGCTTTCAGGGTCTCTTCATGAGCAGACTCTGAAAGCTTAATGAAAGGCATCTGATCAGTGGCTGACCATCGTATCCTTCCATGTTACCTTCGCTTTTGTCTTGAGTTTTTCTCTCTGCCTTCCGGCTAGCCACATTATTCAGAGTCTCAGCCTTATCCTTAAATTTCCCTACAAACAATCAAACAAGCAAAAACAAACTCAGAATGCTGCGGTGGATTACTCAATCATGTGATAACAATTAGTATAATTTCTCAGTGATATATAGAGGGCAAAGAATCAGTCACAGCAATCATGAATTAAGCACAGAGCAAAATAAAGGCAACACAACATCAAAAACAACACCAGCAGCGTAATCCTTAGCTCAGCACAGAGCAATGTCATGGAGGGAAAAACGAGCTCATCAAAGGAATTGCACAAGAGGCACTGCACAGTACAAGACAAGACGGGAAAACTCATTATATTGTACGTGAATTCCACTGCTACGTTGGTCATTAGAAACAGCAATTTGTTTCCAATGGACGTATAAAGATAGAAAAAATGCATTTACAGTTTTTTTTTATCCAATATCCTCAATTAAATACACCCACACCGAGCAAGCAGAATTAAAAGCAGAGGTTTATACACATAAGTGTGGAGGTAGAAACTGCAAACATCTATTTTCCATATTACATTCAAAGCATTTCAACCTTTTAAAGCTAGTTTTTCTGTGCTCATATCCCCCAAATATGAGAAACATATTTGGTTAATGAAATCATGTTTGTGTCCTTTGGCAGCATGTTATTATTTAGATAAGTTAAGTAAGTCACAGATATTTATAATGTTGCTTTGATGCATCTCCGTGTCACTAGTAATCTAAGATAAAGGAAGTGGGTTGAAGCAGGATCTGCTAGTTGTGATCCAGATTGTGTGGACTCATTCAGAAGCTGATTATTGTACTCAAGTAGTGGAGTGTTTGTTGCCCCAAGGCCCGAGAGATGAGAAAATCAGGAGCCAGGGCCACAGATACAAAAATTAGAAGATACAGAACCATGGCCAGACAACGGGAAAATGTGAACATTGCTGTAATTTAACATTGCTGATCCTAGTGATGTTATGATCATCATGGCATGATACACTGTAAAGCAAACACTGCTAATCTATCAGGAGGAAAAAATCTGTGGGAAAGCTGTACAGAACCCATCCATGACCATATTGTTTAACTAGCAATAATTACATCTTCTTACTTCTCTGTATGCTAAGTAAAAAAAATTAATCACTTCTAGGAATGCCTTTGAATTATATTATAATAGAAATTAATTTCATTATATATATAAAAAATGTGTTCAACCATGGCTATGTTGACTTAGATCATAGCTTAGTGTGTCTTGAGAATCTTTTTTATATTTCACTGTGGGCCTCCAAATGGATCCCTCCATAGGCTGAGATAGGTATTTATCTGCTTAGTTTCAATCTGGACTTAGCGCTGCATTCATTTGGGACACTTTGCTAATCCATTTTACTATGAGAAGTACATAGTCCCCAGACACTCATTGTGAAAACAGTTTTAAAGACGCACGGTTATCAATCCTCAGGCTTGTTATCACAGTGATATGGTACTCACCCTCTCCCAGAGGGTCTAACGTATGGATCATGAGCTGGAAGATGGTGTTTCTCATGGTGCTGTTGTGTAAAGAAGCTGAACTTCCCCCTCGCTGAAGGGATGGCTTTAACTGGGGAGAAAGATGGCTGAGGTCACAACAGCTATACTCACAACAACAGACAGTGACACATCACTGTAAGACATTCATGTCAGAGTGGAGGCCAGCCTTGTATTTTTTTCTTTCTAGACAAGTGCATTTACATGCGCCAACATTTGAAGGGAGGCTTGTTAGCATGATGTTCTATAAATAGGAAAGTAGAAAGCTTAATAATATGTAAAATAGCAAGTAGATGAATGTTTAAATTTTTTTTCTTTCTTTTGTAGTTGACTAGTTGGTTAATTGATTTTTTACCTTTAACAGATTCTTGTCCTCTGGAGCAGGAGGAGCATTATCTTCATCGTCCCCACTTGTCTGCGTGCAACAATGTTTTTTCAGTGATAATCATTCATTGGTTGAGATAGACCAAAGTTATTTAATTTTGGCAAAGCTTAAATATCAGTATAAATTGTATGTTAGTGTTATATGACAGAAAAAAAGTATGTAGTGTGTCCTGAAATTACTGCTCACCTCATTAAAAAAAACTTGTATGTGCTCATGTATGATGTGAAGCAGTATTTTCACCAGATGTAATAATTGCATTTGCTCCTCGGGAACTTCAGCTGCAGCAGTATATCCAGCTCAACAAAAGCCCTGAGTGTGCACAAATACTGTAGCTGTACTTTGTGTAAATTAAGCCTCAATCACACTTACCAGGGTTACACACAGTATATGTTGATGCTACAGTGTCTACAGAGCTGTGGCTCCTCAAGGGATTAGTTTGCTGCAGCTGATCAGCTTTGGTTCACCAAGGCCTTTGCTAGTGTCATTTCGCTCTTTTGATATGATTTGCATATAACTCCACAGGTGGGAACAGAGATGTTGAGTGATGAGTAATGTGGCTTTTCTCTCTCAGTAATAAACCACACTGTTTGTGATGAGCATGACAGAATGAGAGACAAAATTATGCACAAGTTTCACATTTGAGCATATGGATCTTTTGTATTGAGTGCCAAGTTATGTGGTAGTATTGTTTTTAAGTGCCATAGCTTTATTCTCATTTACATACTACATACTGTGTAAACACCTAATAACGTGGTAGACATGAAAGATTAGAAATACCAGAGTATAGATCTATAATATATAAGGTCATTTTTATCACAGTAGTGCTTACCGTTTCAGGTTCCTCCACAGCAATGACTTTAACAATATTCTTGTGTTTGTAGAGTTGGGTCTTGACGGCCTGCTCTATTTGCACATTAAACTTCATGAAGATCACATAGACAGTGTAACCAGCCACCAGCATCATGCTCTCCCACCACATTATGACATTATCCAGGAAGAAGATGATGAGCAGGATGAGGTCAAATATGTAGAAGGATACATCTCTGAAAAGTGGCCACCAGGTCAGATGAAGTACCTCCCGGGAAAACACTGCGCACATTCCAATTACAAACAAAATGTTGAAAACTGCTGAACCAACTATTGTACCAATGCCCACATTGCTGTGGGCGATGAAGACCCCTATCAAGGAGGTAAAAAGCTCGGGGGCAGAACCTCCGGCAGCCATGAAGGTGGCTCCGGCCACGTCATCAGAGATGGCTAACTTGTCCGTGATTACTCCCAGGGCAGGAACAAAGAACTCATCACAGACAATTGCAAGTGACACAAACATGTATATCATCCCAAAAATGTGGAGGATCACCCATCCTCGTCTGCGGTCTTCAACAGAAAAGATATCTTCAGGGTATTCACCCTTAACATGTGGAGCCTCACCAGGAGAAGCTGGAGTGATGGTAGTTACAGGAGGAGTTGGAGCTGGTGTTGGTGTCTCCTGTGGAGGCTCAGGGGCCACGTAGATGCAATGCACAATAGTCCGGTTTGTGGTTGGCAATGGTGGAGATTCAGTGGGGGTGGATGCTTTCAAATCTGAAGTTGTATCCAGATGACTTACCGCATGCATCTCAGGTGTTGTTTGATCTGTGGCCTCTAATTCATGTCCTGCAGTGAGAGGCTCCTCAAGCCCTTGAGTCTCCACTGTAGCCTCTTCAACCCCATCTGTTGAACCCTCCACAAAATCCTCTCCAATCTGAGGCATTGGCAAAGGCTCATACAGTCTGGCACTGATGGTCAGCTGGTAGAGGGTACAGAGGAAAACCCCAGAGAGGAGAAACAGGACCCGGCTCAGCTGCAGTCTCTTCCTTCTTGTACAGTACATTTTGCTCTATCTTGAATTACACTGCATAAATTTGGTTTTGGCTTTGGTAGAGGAGAAGTCCTGCTCTCTCCCCAGCAGACCATGGGATGACAGAGTCTAATACTTCAGTGGTGTGATTCATGTCACATCCTCAGCTCCTTGGAAAACCCAACCTATTGTAAATGAAAAGAAGCATCAGCGATAAAATGACATTTAGACAGCAGGTGGCACACCTGTTGAAAACATCTGAACTGTTACAATACACTTCATACATAACTTACTGTCATGGCATTATTGATAAGCCCATTGAGAATCTGTTGTGACTACTCTCTTTACACATGGGTTGTTATTTGAGAAAGTGAATAATTTGAGTGACAGAAAAGAGAAACACAAACACCAAGCAAACGTAAAATATAAATGCAATGAGAAACAAATGGATGATAGCTAAAATAAATATAAAATGTCAAAGGATACAGGGTTGGCTAATTTCCTTATCAACTGCAAAGAGAACAGACAAAAAGAATGCATTTTTCTCACGAATGCAAACTTACCACAGAATGATTATTCTAAATCAGGGGTGCAAAAATCTCCAAAAGCAGATTTCCACAGCTGGATATTGTGGCACAAGTAAAAGTCCAAACTGTTGCCAGTGGCCAAAGGGTTATGTAGGACGCAGGACAAGTCTTCACAATGGATCAGCATAATACCTAATACCTGAAGTCTTCTAAGAGGATTATGTGCATTGTCTCACTCTCACTTTATCATGAGCCTAGCATAGTAATATTTAACTGAAAGCAAAATTAAAAATTGTGCTTTAGTCTAATATAGCATTAGACTAAAGCACAATATTTTATTGCATAACTTTGTTTTTGTTGCATAACTTTAGCATAAAAATTATTTCATAGAGTCGGGCACTAAAATCTGAGACAAACAATCATAATCTGAACTTGAATAGCTAACCTTAAAATCCAGTCGAAAACGTACAATGTGCAAAAGTCAATCGAATTATTGTCGAAATTTTACTTGCAGATTTTTGATTTGTATTTGATTATGTAAATCACCATGTAAAATATGTATCACATAGGAACTATTTATTTAGTACAAAGTTTTCACCCGGACGGACATGGTGGTGCACATTGCAAATCATGGCATGAGCAAAAATTAAAAGGTTCTTTAGGAAAGTTTTTCTTTCTCTAATGACAGTTTATCATCGGCTTTACGAAAAGCTAAGTGAGCAGTACTGCTAGCCAGACAACAGCTTTAAGAAGTGATTATTAATGGTACGTGTTAGCTTTGGACATCTTAAATTGTTGCTGTTGGGTCTTAAAGAACTTCAGTGTAAAACTTAAACTCTCAAATTCTGGCACTGACACATTTTTCATGTTTACATTTGCATTTGGACTTGTCCTGTCGTGTAGCGAGCAACTTTGATGCCACAGAACTTATCTTTTTTTCTTTTTTTTAGATTAGTTAATTCTATGATAATTGTTTCATCAGAGAACCAGCTTCCACATTGCAATACCTTGGATACCCTGGACGTGCTTTCGTGAGCTGAGCTCAACCTGTAACCCCACGAAATAATGTAGTTAAACTTTGGTTTATGTCACTACCCATACTTACTACCGTATACTGCTTACTACTTTGCCGGAGATAACATTTGTGGCTGGCGTTACAGCAAAATCTGTTTTATTACACTCCTTGCACTTCTGCAGGTGGTTTTTGGATTGGAAAAGGCTAAAAATATTAATATTCCACCCTTTAAATCTAACATTATTTACTACATCTGCTATCATATTACCACAGGGAAATCCACATCTTGAGGGGTCAGCAGTGCTTAGTTACGGTTACTGAGCTATGATTGGACAATCACTGTTCGGGAGAGGGATGTAGCTTTGGAAGAAGTACTTCATTTAGATTGTACAAATAAGTTGTAAAGCTACTCCAACCTTTCTTGTCCCGTAATAATCACACCGTCTAAAAAAAATTCCATATGTTCCATATCATTTTATTTTTCAAATTAATAATATTTACATGTTTGGTGAAAAATATACTTCTAAATTATGACACCTTGCAGCTCCAGATGGTAAATCTGGTGATTTATACATAAAGGCTGATATACGATATTAAGAATTGATGAAAGTACTAAAAAATATAACTGAAAATAACAACAATAATATTGTAAACAATACAATACAACTAAATGTAATATAAACAGAAATATAAAGCTTTATACTTACACTGTGATGTCAGATACTCATGCATTTTGTTATATGGGGTTATGTTTATTTACAGTATGTATCTCTCTGTTTTTGTCCTGCAGGTGGTGCTGGTAAGCTGTATTGGTACACATCACACAGAACAAGGGCCACAGAACATCCTAAATCAGATGTCCACTGCATCACTATTACAATATAAAAAATAGTAAAAAGCAGAGTGCTTATATTATACATTAAACAATTAATATCTCTCTACATGCATACATGCATGTCATACATGAAATGCAGATGTTGTCTATATAATTCATTTTTACATAATTTAATACACAGACCATTAGCAAGATCAAATATGATCTTTTTCATTTTGTTCTTCTTGGCTTTCATTAAGCAATAACATTATTTAGATATTAGGCACAATATATGTGTACATACTGTGGAGAAAGAGAAAAATTGGATTATCAAAAATAATATATATATGGATGTGTGTATGTATATGTTTAAATATATATATATATATATACACATACAGGAAACAAAATTCAGCAAGTGATTTTTAAGGTTTTTTTTTTTTTAAAAGACTATATTTTTGATGTAAAAAAATGTGGGTAAATATTACATAAAATCTTATGGTGAGTCAGATTATTTAAAATAGAAAGTAGAAGGGTGAAAATGACCAAATATGTCTCTACCTATACATTTCAAGCCTTTCCACTTAAATCACAGATCAGATTTTGGGAGTAGGCAATGCCGCAGCAGGTTTATGAGGGGAGGAGAGATAATAGCTCTGCATGGAGCCCAGTAAGTTATCTTCTCTTTACTGGTGAAACAATACAAATGTTTCTGCAGCCTGTGGGCACATTGCATCCTGTGTCCAGTGACCAGCTGACTCACATCAAGCAATCCTATTTGTTAACCCTGAATGTTACAATGTAATATACAGTAGATGCAGAAGTAGGTTTTAATGTGTTTGGATATTGCTTGTGTTTGGATATTGCTGTAAATGTCGGCATTTAAGTAGATATACTTTGGTCTTTGCCTGTGCAAATCAAGGAGTAATTGTCAAAAAAGAGAAAACATATACATAAGCATACAAAAGCATAAGCAATTTCACGAGCATATATAAACATATACAAAAACTTTATGCCCTTTTGCCCACCCAGGCAAGTTAATGTTGTGCTACTGCACCATCACACGAAGCAGGAGGAAGAGAAAGTAGAGCAGGAGCATGATAAAACCCAGCAGCTTATTCATCTTCCACTTACAGGATGCAATGATGATGACAAAGAGGAGCATGAGGAAGAGGAGCACGACGGCTAAAAGGAGCCCATTGCTACTGACAGCCACTGGAGCCGAACTGTGAAAGGATGAGTACAGAAGCCATGGGACTGGCATGCTTTTGAAAGGGAATGGAGCAAGAAACACCCAGAGAGAGAGAGAGAGAGAGAGAGAGAGAGAATGAGAGAGAGAGAGAGAGAGAGAGAGAGATGAAGAAACCTGTCAACTGTATGTTAATCAGCATTTCTTTTTCAGCCATGATACATCAGGCTATAGAAACTCACCCCACAGTGATGTCAAAGATGTTACTGCCCACACAGCTTGATACGGCCATGTCTCCCTGACCTTTACGTGCAACAAACACACTGGTAATGAGATCAGGGATGGATATCTCTGCAGCCAGGATGGTCATAATTTGATGTGAGATGCCGACGGTCTCACCTATCTACAAGAGTGAACAAGCATTCAGACTGAATAGAGAATCACTGTTGTTTTTTGCTATTTGACTGATTCACAATCCAAACCTAATGTGAGTTTCAATACACAGTCACTGTTTCAGGAAGAATTTTAACAGAATAAAAAAAAAACCTTCATTTGATATCAAAATAGATGGATTTAATTTAATGGATTTAAAAAAACTTTGGTATCAGGATTTACTGACCCGATAGGCCCACCACACAATGAGGTAGGAGAAGACAACAATCCACAGAATACAGCCCAGGAAGGTGACCACAAAGAATTTTCTGGATTGCTGTTGGACAAAAGCAAAAACACACAGTTGAGGCATTGTATGCACAGCTGATCTCAGAATTGTGTCTGTATCTCACCCGTTTGCGGACATCAGGAACTGTGAGCCACAGAGGGAAGACTATAGGTAGAAGGAAGAGGTAGATGGCTTGTTTACATCGTGTGTCAGGCCACTCTAAAGACAGGGGCTTATCCTTTTTCTCTTCTTCTTCCTCCTCGTCTTTGTTCTCACAATCATTTTTACTGGACTCATCACTGTCTTTATTGTTTTCTTCTTTATCACTGTCAGATTCTTCCGGGCCCCCTGACCCATCCTCTCCTGCAGGTGTGTCCACCTAGGAACAGACAGATTTGGTGTGCTGATCATGACTAGTTATAGTAAAATAGTAGTAGTAGCAGGATTCATTTGCTGTGGCTGAACAGCTTTTGTTCCTCAAAGCCTTTACTAGTATGACACTTGCAAATTTTGCATATGAAGTCACAGTATATGTTGTATATCAGTGTTGTAGAATGCAACTGATTTGGTCAACTTTGTTAAAATGGCTGAAAACCATTCAATAGTGACTTTAATATTTCTCCCACACTTGAAAAAAGAAAAACAAATATGGTCATGTTTTTTCACAGTAGTGCTTACCTTTTCAGGTTCCTCCACAGCAATGACTTTAACAATATTCTTGTGTTTGTAGAGTAGGGTCTTGACGGCCTGCTCTATTTGCACATTAAACCTCATGAAAATCACATAGACAGTATAACCAGCCACCAGCATCATGCTCTCCCACCACATTATGACATTATCCAGGAAGAAGATGATGAGCAGGATGAGGTCAAATATGTAGAAGGATACATCTCTGAAAAGTGGCCACCAGGTCAGATGAAGTACCTCTTGAGAAAACAATGCACACATTCCAATTACAAACAAAATGTTGAAAATTGCAGAACCTACTATTGTGTCAATGCCCACATTGCTGTGGGCGATGAAGACCCCTATGAGGTAGGCAAAAAACTTAGGGGTGGATCTTCCGGCAGCCATGAAGGTGGCTCCTGTCACATCGTCAGAGATGCCTAACTTCTCCGTGATTACTTCCAGCGCAGGAACAAAGAACTCATCACACACAATTGCAAGTGACACAAACATATATATCATCCCAAAAATGTGGAGGATCACCCATCCTCGTCTGCGGTCTTCAACAGAAAAGATATCTTCAGGGTATTCACCCCTTTCACCTGGAAGTAGTGGAGATTCAGTCGGGGTGGATGCTTTAAAATCTGAAGTTGTATTCAAATGATTTACCATATGCATCTCCGGTGTGATTTGATCTGTGGGCTCTAATTCATGTGCTGCAGTTAGAGGTTCCTCAAGCCCTTGAGTCTCCACTGTAACCTCCCGAATCCCTTCTGTTGAATCCTCTCCAAAATCATCTCCACTCTGAGACACTGGCAAAGGCTCATAGAGTCTGGCACTGATGGTCAGCTGGTAGAGGAAAACCCCAGAGAGCAGAAGCAGAACCTGGCTCAGCTGCAGTCTCTTCCCTGTTGCACAATTCATTTTATCCTACAGAAGCACTTGTATTATCTACAAAAAACAAAACTGCATGAGTGGACAATGGTGAAGTCCAGCTTTCTCATAGCAGACCATGGAGTGAAAGAAACTTCAGCAGCATGATCTGTGTCACATCCTTCGATCACTAGATCGATCTCATCCAACTAAATGAGAAGCAAATCTGAGGTGAAAGATCAATTGAGATAAAATTATATGTAGACAGCAGGTGGAGCAATTCAGTTCTATTAAGACAATGCATTACAATACCAACAAACAAAACTATGCATTTTTAATCACAGATGCAGGCTTACCAAAAATATCAAAAAGCAGAGTTGTGGTTGTTGGTTGGAAAAGTCTTCATCATAGTTTGAGTCTTAAGAGGATTATGACAGTGGCTCATTCTTATACATAGCAGCCTAGTAGTCATACTACAGTATTTACTTACCAGCCATAAACACGCAATAACAGTGTGAGCTGTCTTACCTTTAAATAGGAGCTACTTCCTCGACCAGTGTCTTTGCAAAACTACCTATCCAGTTATTTAAATCCAGCGCTCCAACCGGATCGATAGATGCAAAAAGGTAAATTGTGCACTTTAGGGACAAAAGATTTTCTTCTTGGGAGGAAAATTTTCCACGCATCACTTTTTCAAGTCGTGAGGTTATGGCACAAAACAACTCATCTTTGTTTTCTTACCAGTCCGTTTGAACTGACATCTAAACTTTAGCCTTATATTTATAACGTGCATGAGTAAATAGCCGTGTCGTTGAAATCATTTATGATTTTCCCTGCCAATTTTTTATGTACATCTTTCAGAACAAAAACATGAAAATTTCCTCACTTAGGAACTATGTGGTAACATACACTGGTTTCACACGGACGGAAGTAGTGGTGCACACTACAACACAAACAGTGGATGGCGAGTGAAACATTGAATGGTACGTATCGAAATCTATTTATTTATTTATTTATTCAATTATATATTGACATTGTAAGTATTCACGTTGTGGATAACTATCTTATTACATTCGTGAAATAGTAACCTGGACGTTTCTTCAGTTGGGTCTTCCGGCGTTGTGCTGCAGAATGCTACCGTAATTTAGCCAACATTAGCTAACAGTCCTCTGCTGTGACAAGTTATTTCCTCTGTAGTTTTAACGTCGTGAAATCTTTGTTGTTTGATGTAGACTAACTCCAGTGTATTCCACGATACTGGAACTGACATTAATGCAGCTACTGCAGCGAAATAACTGACGTATGCTCTTTTTTTAACATGACCTCCATAGACAGTAGGAGAAGCTATTACATACCAAGTATGTGCTGGTGTTCTCTCAAAAGTCATCTTCTGCTTTTTTTTTTCCTTCAGCGGGAGCACGCTGGAGGGTACTTTAAGTCCACTGCATTATTGTGAGTCTATATAAGCAGCGAGCCATGCCTACCGTGGTCTTAATGGACGTGTCACTGTCCATGACACGGCCAGTGTCACTGGATGGCAGCGAGGAGTTTCAGAGGAAGAACCTGGCTGTCCACGGACTCAACATGTTGTTTGAACACATGGCCTCAAACTACCGCTTGGAGTTCACGGCTCTCATGGCCTTTTCTTCCCTCTGGGAGCTCTTGGTGCCTTTCACCAGAGATTACAATGCATTACAGGTAAAGTGCTCCAAATGATAAGTCTTAAGGAAAAGTCAGAGCATGTTTCCCTTGTCTGAGTGTTGCCTGAGTTTGACCTCAAAAAAGAAAGACTTAGGGGAAGAGTTTTGAGGGTTTATTTCATAAACATTTTTTTATTTGTGAAAAGATGATTTCTCGTCAATCACGATCAGATCAACAAGTCAGTACTTCAATTTGGCTGGTTTATTCCTGCACAAATCACAGATCTGGTGCAGGGTACACCAAGTCTCTCTCTGGGTAACAAAGGTTTGACTGCTTATATAGCATTTTGCACTTGAGGAATGTGAGTAACCGCTGTTAGACCTAGAGACCTTCACATCTGTGTAGCCTCATAGCTGTCACTTTTATTACTTCCAACCCTTCAGGGGGTCCATGATTAAAGTCTCTAACAGATGTAGATACAACAACAGGCAACAATATCACATTAAAGTTGAGACGTGTAGTGAATACTTTTGGTGTCCTGCCAAAGTTATATACATGCAAAACAATTCGTACCTTACACTTTGCAGGAGGCTCTGAGCAGCCTGGAAGACTATGACAAGACCTGTGTGGAGTCGGCTCTTAATGGAGTTAGTAACGTTGTACAACAGGAGTGGGGCAGTGCCTGTCCCTGTCAGGTATGTTGGCAAGCCCACTGTATAATATCCGCACACTTCTGAATTTATTCTTGATTAAATGAAGCTGGTGTGCAGTCAAATGGTGATTTCAGCTCTCTGTACATGTTTGCTACATGGTTACATAGTGTTATATACCTTCCTTTTATGTCCTACAGGTGATGCTAGTTACTGATGGATCTCTGGGTATTGGGAAGGGTTCTCTACGCCACTCTCTCCAAACACTGAAGCAGCGTGGGGATGACAAGAAGTTCCCACTCCCTTTCCCTTTCCCTACCAAACTGTACATCATGTGTATAGCCAATGCGGAGGAGGTACTGATTCACCCTTTTTTTGGATGCCAGTTCAACATTTTGTTTCCATTTACTTTCATCTTTATCCAAACTTGTAGAAGGCAAGTTTTTACCAGTTGAGGCAGCTGGCCAAAATAAAGCCAATTCTTTCAAAGCAGCACTTTGAGCCAGTAATCCACGCCTTTGTCACCACACGGCTGGATTACTGCAGTGCACTTTATGTGGGGGTTAGTGGGTCCTCCATCAACCGTCTCCAGATGGTACAAAATGCTGCTGCACATCTTTTAACTGGTTGCCCATACATTTTAGGATTCATTTTAAAATTCTTTTATTTGCTTTTAAATCTCTCATTGGTCTCACCCCTCCCTACCTCTCTGAATTGCTGCACCCATATTCACCCACCTGCTCTCTCAGGTCAGCTGATCAGCTGCTCCTGAGGGTGCCAAAAACGAAGCGCAAGCTCAGAGGGGACTGTGCTTTCGCTGTGGCAGCCCCTAAAATGTGGAACGATCTGTCTCTGCACATTAGACAGGCGTCTTCCTTGTCTGTTTTTAAATCCCTTCTTAAGACCCATCTCTTTTCCATGGCCTTTGACACCCTGTCAGATGTGATTTTATTTTATTGTTTTATCTTATTTTATGTTATTTTATTGTTTTCTCTTATTATATATCTATTTTTATTGATGTTTTATGTCTTTTAATTCATCTTGTGTTTTATAATTTTATCATGTACAGCACTTCTGGTACCTTCTGGTTGTTTTTTAAAGTGCTTTATAAATAAAGCTGGATTGGATTGGATTGGAAACTTAGCCAGTGTAATACTGAGAAGGAAATTTAATCAGAAACATGCAACCAGAAGTAGCTGCTGATGTACAGGATCTAAGGTGATGACCTCTACTGGCCTTTATATCTTAGATATTGCTGAGGGAGTCTTAGGATGCCAGGAAAGCAGTTTGACAGTTGTTTCAACTTGCCTTTTTGAGCCAAGAGACTAGGAATTCAGAGATCCATAGTGATGAGTATTCATGACTGTGTTCATAAAATTTCAATGACTAATATTACAGTGACTTGTGACTATAGTGGTTATGGGTCATTTGGAATTGTTCATGTCCCATTCCCTGAATTGAGATGCAAGTGTTATCTTCAAAAGACGTGAATGTCTGCACATCCTACTACAGTTCTCTGAGAGAGTTGTTTGTTGATTGTAAATAATAATATGTGTCAGTATAGGGTTTGCATGATGAAGTACTTAAGGTGACTTAATCATTAAAGCAGCGAGTAAACAGCTGAAGCCAATAAACCTAAACTGAGTGGAATATGCAGTCTCACCTCACGCAAGCCATTTGTTTCAAGTTCCATCAGTTTTCTCTAATTTGCATCTAACTTGTGTATAATATTGACATCTTGCAATATGTTTGTTAGCTGGAACAAAATGCGACCCACTGTCTTGTGTAATTGCAGTTACAGATGACAGATGCCATGGACAACTTGGAGGAACTACTTCGTCTCAGTGGAGGGGACGGACAGATCTTCACTATGGAGGGACCACTTTGCATGAAGAGTGTACAGGCAATGTTTGGGTAAGACTATTCCTGGTGAAATAAACTACTTTTTCATCATTTTTTATATGTTTGCTAAGGCACCTTTTGTACCATTTTACACTTTTTTTTTTACTTTTCATGTCTCCAGGAGGCTGATTGATTACGCATACTCTCCTTTCCATGCGGTCCTACACTGTGGGAACCTGTCCTCAGACGTTCAGGTGTTCCCTCGACCTGAGCCTATCGTGGTGGATGAAGAAGTGGAGCCCATGCCACGAACAGTCAATACAGGTATCCAGCTAGCTTTGAATTTATTGATTTAAAGTTTAATTTAAACTTTGTTTTCTTCCAACAAATCTTCATTCTGTTATGCATGTTTCAGATTTGGAAATTGTGGGCTTCATTGAAATCGCTGATATTTCCAGTCCTCCTGTGATATCCAGACACTTGGTACTGCCTATTGCTGTAAACAAAGGTAACAGTTTAATTTTTTTGTTGTGTTGTTTTTTAAAGAAAAACTAAACATTCATAGACAAAACAGTTATACGTCATGCCTCATGGCTGATTTTCACAGAAAACATTCAGAGTTTCTTTAATGGAGCAGATCATGTTAAACAGTTCAGATTGTAATTTCAGTAATAGGAATTAAAAAGAACAATGAGGAGAAAATGTAAACAAGCTGCATGAAATTTGATTAAATCAATTTAAAAAAAACCTTATAAGTAGTTAAAGCTGTTTTTGAAGCAAATAATATTTTAAAACCCAGTTTTTGCACAGATGATTGAGTTTTTCTAAAGTTCACCTTCCATATTTAACGTAAACACACAATTTTACTTTATATACCAAAATGAATGAGCTCAGTATACCACGTCACCTTTTATGGTATTATCAACTTATTTTGTTTGTACTTGATTTCAGAGGTGGATGAAGTTGGCACAGGAGCCACAGATGAGCTTGAGGAGGAACCCTCTGCCAGTCAGATGGCAGGCAAAAGTCCAAATTTTTGTGTGCTTTTACATGGCAGTCTGAAAGTTGAAGGAATGGTGGCACTGGTCCAGCTAGGGTGAGAATCAACAGAGTTGATTATATGTAATTTATTTGAAAGAATTTAGTGAATTTAAATATTAAGACACCTGCATAGCAAAATGAGTTTATACATTTTATGAACAAATAACTTAAATATGGTTTGCTTTTTTTCTCAGGCCAGAGTGGTACGGCATGCTGTACTCCCAAGCAGACAGTAAGAAGAAATCAAATCTGATGATGTCTCTGTTTGAGCCTGGTTCAGAGCCTCTGCCTTGGCTGGGCAAGATCTCACATTTGGGACCAATCTCAGGTAACCTGCTGCAGACTTGTCAGACAAGCAAACGGCAAGTTTTCTGCATATATACAGCAAACTTATAGATTCTCCTTAGCTTACTGTTTACAAACTATCTGCTCATTCCTGAGGGCATCATTTTGAAGGAATGACATATTTGGGATATTGTGAAACTGCAGGTAAATGACAGTCTATTCCTAAAGAGCAAAGGCCTCTTTGTACTTGTATGTGTACATAATCAAGCAGTTAATTATTTACACAGATGTGTAACAAAGTTGCACTTCTCTGACTGTGATACCATAGAAATACTGATTTCACAAACATGTTTCATGACCTTTGTGGTATTTCAGAGGCTGCAGAGAATCCCTATGGAGAGGATGACAGTAAGAGTCCTTTTCCCGTGCAGCCACAGGTCAAACGAAGCTATGCCCAGAATGTGACTGTGTGGATAAAGGCCAGTGGACTACAGGTACAGTAAAATCACTGAAACAGGGCACTGTTGTTTGTTGAAGTCTTTGGACAAATGACAAAAATAAGATGAATTTAGTAGCTTTTAATTCTGCTGTCAGAATCAGACAAAATACCTCTCAGAAAATGAAAATGCCACCACAAAATTCAGGATGAGTTCAGTTGGTAGTTGTGTAGAGGCCATGAATTGTGTTCACTTAATGTATTGCAGCTAGGACATATTACAGTTTACAGCAATATTCACACATTCAATATAGAAATCAGCCTGGACAAGACAAATTAACTAACACATGAATTAAATGGATATAACATGAACATACTGAGATACTATTATTATTATAATTATCATTATTGTTGTTATTATTATTATTACACAGAGCTGGTATATATTACTAGTTACATAGTGTAGATATAATCATTCAGTTAATGGGCCTTTTTCACAGACATTTTGACTTGTCATCGTAGGAAAAGCACAGGTTATTAATAACATTTATGATGGCTCCATTCTATTCAAGGGCCCCACAAGGTATTTGCATGTATCATAAATTCAAGTACTTCAATGAATCAAAGAATGAGATATATTGTACTGTGCGCGGTACTTGTCACTGAAGATAACACGTTTAAATTTGAACTTGTCTTTTTGTCACAAATGAACTCTAGAGGTGCATAATAAGCAGCTTCTTGCATGAACCATGAACCAGATATTTCAGTCTTTCCTTCACCTTGGAACAATTTGATCAAATTGTATCACAAAGCTCTGGGCAGGCAAGTAAACCAACCTGGCTCCCATGCAGTGTGTAGAACTTACAGGCATTACCTCTTTGCACTGGACCTTTGGTAATGCTTACTGATGATGCGTTCATGTCACATCTGAGTTATCATAGTTTATCTGACTTGTAATTGACGCCTAACATTAGCCAGAATCTGGTGAAACATAATTACAACCAAGTTGTTGGACAAAGTCTTACATTTCAAATTCATAGTGTTTTAACTTTCACACAGTTAGCTCTGTAATCATACAACTGTTCTGATGACATGAACACTCACAAGTCATTAACATGGGAATCTCTCTCATCTCTACCATTTATCCCATATGATCTGAACATGTCATGAGTGTGTCGTTGGTGAGATATATTATTAGAGCCTTTACCATGTGTTTAGTTTGAAGGAGTACCTGAACAATTACTACTCAGTTTTGCAAACAAACAAACTCTTTGAGGGTCATTTGTGCTTGTTATTTAACAGACTGATGTTCAGAAGATTCTCAGGAATGCAAGAAAATTACCAGATAAAACTCAAACCTTCTATAAGGTAGGTTTGACTGAAAACTGCTCAGACTTGGAATTACAGCTGAACTATGATTTTTTTTTTTTTTTAATTTTTTTAATTTAAGTAACTGTTTTGTATTTTCATCTGTCAGGAGCTCAACCGTCTGCGCAAGGCTGCCTTGGCTTTCGGTTTCTGGGAGCTCCTGAAAGGAGTGGCCGATCTGCTGGAGAGAGAGTGCACTTTGTTGCCGGACTCGGCCCATCCTGATGCTGCGTTCCAGCTCTCCCATGCCGCACAGCAGCTCAAACTGGCCAGCACTGGTGATTCCCAGTATGCTGCTTTTGATCACAACATTGCCCCCATGCACACTGAGTTCTCAAGCTGAGCCACATCTGAATTGGTAAAAATGGACTAAAATATTGCAGCTTCAGCCTGTGCGGACCAATGTGAAGAAAGCACCTAGTGTGTGCTGGATGTTGTTTGAAGAATTCGTCAAAGGGTCAGCTTCAAGTTTATGGAAATGAGTCGCGATGGATAACTTAAAACTCCTCTGTGACACTGCCTAAACATGGCAAAACATACACGATGAGGTATTTGTAAAATGTTTGTGTGTACATATTTTTTTTTACATGTTACTTTGTAGGATCTTTTTACACAAATTGACCAGATGTAGATTCCATTTTTATTCAATGTCAAATAACTGCCAAATTTACAGGAAACCTGGGAAATGACTGTTTGCTTTCAAAATTTAGGTTACAAAATAATAAAACAGCAGTGTGAGGAAGGGATACAAACAAAACTTCTTCACAGCAGTTTATTGTTGAGCAGGAGGGACAGAAAACACTCTTTGTATTTAAGCAGTCACAAGTACAATTTTCCCTGAGGTTTGTGGGACGGTTTAGAAACGTGGAATAATAACAAATACAATATTTGTTGAGAATGTTGTTACTTTCTTCATTTATACAGAAATTACTGTGTATCAAATGACTATAGTATTTCCTGATCAGTGCTTGTTATGTAGTCAAGCAAAAATACCACTGCATTAAACAAACAAAAAACTCAACCTAGATTAAAAGGAAAAAGAAACACTGTATCACACCGGATCACATGATCTGTGACTGGTTATGGGTTAGTTTACTATTCTACAAAATTCACATAAGAGAATTCAATCACCGATAAGTGAGACTGTCTATGCAGTGATGAAATATTGCATCATCTTTAGGATTTTCATTTTGACCATAAAGGAAATCATTGAGAGCAAACAGGCTGTGGAAAAGAAAATATCTTCATAACATCACTGATTTGACTGGACCATGGTTTGTGAGGATCATATAAAAAAATCCTCCAGAAAATTAGCAGGCAGCAAAGGTGTTTGAGGATTGTTGTTGGTGCTGAATCTCAATTTGCTTTCCTCTTCTTGGTACGGAAACGCCTCTTCCTCTGCTTGTAAAGATGACGAAAGTTGATAAAAAGTCCTGAGGGGGGAGGGGGAACAAAAGGTTTATATCAGAACATAATATTTGTTGAGTGATTTTAATTACTCGTGTTTTATCTGGAGACTTACCCAGAAACATGAGAACAAGATAAATGTGCAGGATGTAAGAGAAGCTGATAGAGGTCCCGATAGCTTTCGGCAGAGGAATGCTGAAGAGTTTGGTTTCGTAAAAGATGGGAATGGATTGTATAACAGCAACAGCTACATGAGAGAGGGAGATGAGATAAATGTTAGTATTTGTATGCGGAGAATTGTAATTAGTGCGGAGAGACGTAAAGAAGCTCACCTTCAGCTAAAACACCTAGTGGGTACAGTGGTATCCAGATTGTGTACCGCAGCCACGTGAGGGTTTTCCACTCCGTATCAAAACAGCCCAGCATGTAAAATGGATACCTGAAATTGGCACATCATGTCAGTTTTGGGCGGGAAACACAAGTTGTGTTGCTCATCAGCTAACACGACAATGTAGCCTAAATGCCTGCTGGTATGTTGCACCCATCTGCAGCTTGGTAAAACCTAACCTCAAACTTTTGTGTGTAAAGATAAGTCTGGTTACACTTGATGTGATGATGCTGCACAGAGTGGATTTGTATAGTAACGCTTTTCTGAAAATATTCTTCTAGTGTCAACAGCCAATAATGGTTTTATTTTCAGACTTAAATGTTTGAGTGGAATCAGACTAAAAGGACAATAATTTGATATATTTATTGTTTTCTGGTGTGATTTGAAGAATATTGGTTGTATACAGATGATTGTGAGACTGACTTGAAAATAATCATCAGTTCTGGAGTTAATTTACATGACTGACCAATGACAATGCAGATGCATACTTACCTAAAAATCTCGATGGCACTCCACAGATAGAAAACAAAGAACACAACTGGCTGGTGGTGCATTTCCTCCAAACTACCAAAAATGATGAAGAGGATAAAATTCCTTCCAACCACCTAGTAAAAGAACAAAAGCCACAAAAGCATAATAAAGTAATAGTTACGCTAGAAATGTTGATAATCTGTGAAGCTGAAACCCATGAAGCCGAAACTCCGGCACAGGAGCATCCCATACCTGTATAAGTGTTGGAACAACAGCTGTTCTGACTACACCAAAAGCAGCGTTGAGGACCTCTACTGCTGCCAGGATCTGGCAGAAGAACATCACATCCGATATTGTGTGAAATGTGTCGTAGAGAGAATCTGAAATGAGAGTAGTGTTATAAAGGATTGGTCTTACCAGGTTTTTGTGAAGTAACTGAACAATGAAGGAAAAACAATGAGAGACTAAGCTACAGCAGAATTAAAATTTCTCACCTTGGCCGAAGATAAAGAGGCGCACAGTCATGTTGACAAAGATCCATGAAAAACCAAGAAACTGTACCAGGTTATATACAAACAAAAATCCTGTTTTCAGGCTGACAAACCCTGGAACATTTCAAAGAAAAAGAACAAAGTCATGATAAAAGACTGCTACCAAAAGGTGAAAATTAAAAAAATAACTTCTCATCAAAACCTGGGAACTAAATTGTTAGAGTTAAGATAAACAGACATACATTAAGATATACTTGAGTTTCAATTTAAGTTTTTTTTAAATTTGCAATACATTTAGAAACCACCAACTAAAATAGACATTTCATGGTGTCAAGATTAGTATTCACCTTCCTCTTTCTGCCTCAAAGCCTTCAGCTTGTTCCTTTTCTCCTCCTTTTCAAAGTAATAAAAAAAAAACACATTAATACAAATTTTCATATCAATGGTACAATCTTTACTCTGATATTAGGATCATTTTGACATTTTGTCAACGCTGTCAAATGCACATAAATCACGTGTGAAATGTCCCAGTGAGTTAAAGACACAACTTTAATCCCACCTTTTCTCGGATCTCCATCTCAGCATCTGACTCATCCAGCCAGCGGTCAAAGTCTGGTGCCAGGAAAACAGGTTTACGCTCCTGTATGGTGAGTCTCTCCCACCAGCCACGCTGCTCTTTCCGCACTGTGATATTTACCTGCCGTTGTGTGGACTTGTGGCTCACCTGGGCACACAGGTTTATTTGAGAATAGGTCAGCAAAACTAGAAAACATGAGTGTAGTGTATTATTCACTTAATTTCCTTATGTTACAACATTCTAAATTGTTGCATGTTCTTCTTCTATGTGTGTCTCATCCTAAAGTTCAAGAAGGGTGTCAACTAAGACTTTGTCAAAGGTTTCCTTGAACCATCCATTATAGGTTGAGGTTAAGGAATGTGCATTAAAGGGCAAAACTGTTTATACATCAGGTTTCTGTTAAATACGGTACGAGAGACTCAGGATGTGGGGGTCCTTGCTGGCCCAACAGGCCAAAGACTAAAAGCCACAGTCCAGATGTGGTCAATCAGTGGGTGAAGGCTCCCCTATTGAAAGAAGGGTAAATCCCAAAGGAGGGTTGAGACCTATAAGTAGAGGGGTTTTGGAGACGTTGGAGGGGAGAGCTCACATTGGCAGAGATGCTCCAGGATTCTGCATTTTTTGACACTGTTTCTTTCTTGTAAATAAACTTCTTTTTGATTGCAAGTAAAGATGTGTCAGCGGTGATCACTTCTTCACATCAGCACCTCAAGATACCACATGAGTAAGAAAGATCAGTAGATCTCTATGACCAGTTTTAAAATGGGCACATACCTCTGGCTTCACTGGTGAAAGAAACTCCAAGCGGAACTCATATTCATTTTGTCCTTTTGCACCATGGCCCCGGGCTACACACAAAATGCCATATGCAGTGTCACAGATGATACATTTTTAACATATATACTTAGTCAAATGCAAATGAAATGTTTGTTACCTCTAAACTGAAGGACGCTTTCCTGTACATGGACATCTATATTCTGCAAAAAGAAACAGAGGCAAATGATGAGCTTACTTACTTAAGTTAGAATTTGAGCATCATACTTCCGCTGCACAAAAGCTTTCGATCAAAAGAGCCGTTTCACACAGTCTCCACCCTGAATCATATCTTGTTCATGTCACTGTGTGCTGTATAATTAACAGTACAGCAATGTACAGTGCTCTAAAAAACAAACTACATGACGCCTTTGGGTGAAGCAACACCTGCCTCTCACCCTCTCTAACCCCACCTGTTTGACTGAGTACACACACGCGCGCGTGCACACACACACGCACGCGCACGCACACACACACACGCACGCGCACGCACACACACACACACACACACACACACACACACTTATATCACACGCCACTAATTCGGGGCATCACTGAACTGGTTTGGTGGGATCAAACTTGTAAGACAAGGCCTTAGCAGAGGGCTTTGTAAAGATCAACTATCACCTAAAAGGATCTCTATATTTATCATCCAACATGCAAATCGTACAGCTACCCAGCGGTGTGGCATTTACAGGAACATGCAGCCTTCATTTGCATAGTTTAATATTTGCCCTTAGAGGCATAAAATACAGCTGTAGCCGGTCTCGATGAAAGCAATTTTCGTATTTAAAGTGAGTGCACACAGTTACCAAACAGGGTCCTGTCCTGTACACCCCATTTAGCTGCTCACCTGAGCGTCTGTCAGCTCCACTCGCAGGTAAATTTCTTCATGGCGTTGAGCCCAGTAAACGAGAGGTGTGAGTGTCATTGTTGCGTTTTTATTTTGTTAAAGAGCTTCGTTTCGATCACAATCAATGAAGCCTCCTCGCTTCATGCTAACTGACTGACCTGGAAGTCTTCAGCAGATACCCAGAATGTTCTGTGAACGCGCTCGCTCACCAACCGTCAGCGTAGCGACGTGCTCGCACTTGGGACAGAGCCGCCTTTGATTGGCTGGCGGTGGGTGAATATTTACGGAAGTAGTTGGTGGTTTGAGGGCGCACGGCACAGGCAGCCCTAAGACCTCCCTTGATATACTAATATGCAGACAGAAGACCATGTTTCATGTCTAAAAACTGATTTGGTAAAATCTTGTGGGACATTTCATATTCTTGTTGGCGTAACGGGAAGCGTTGCAGCCTTGAAACTGCCTCTTTTGGTCTCCCAGCTTCTTCAGCTCTCTGGGGTGAGCTCCTTCGTATTTTTTTTGTCTTAATTCAAAGCCTGCTTTCAGTTGCCATTTCTCCTGTCTTTCTCTGATACTTCTACACCTAGTACAGCACTCTGTAAACGTTTGATCCACTTTAATTGTTTAGATTCTTATCCATCAGAGAGGCGTCTGATCATTGTCCTAGCACGACAACGACCCCAAACATAAAGCTAGAGGAATAAAGAACTAGATATATTATGACCACCACAGAGCCCTGATCTCAACATCATGGAGTCAGTCGGATTACATGAAGAAGAGACAGAAGACAGTGAGACGTCTAAATCCACAGAACTGTGGCAAGGCCTCCAAATGCTTGGAACAACATACCTGCCAAGTACCTTGAAGAACTGTGCATAAGTGTACCTGACAGAACTGGTGCTGTTTTAAAAGCAAAGGGTGGTCGTATCAAATACTGATTTGATTTAGGTTTTTTTTTCTGCTTGTTGCATTTTGTATTGATGTGTAAAAGCTATTCATGGAATTATTTTTCACAGCATCATCACTTTACTTTTATTACCTAAAACATTTGCAGAGTACTTTTTATGCCCATACGTACGTTATTAGTTATTAGTTATTTCTCTGCCTGGCAGAGCACTCATGGGCACACATTAGCCACAAGATGGAGATGTTGCAGCTGTTAAGCAACAATACAACCACAGCAACAACATCACAGCAGTACAATCTTCTTATTGTAGTTCTTGTTTTCAGCTACAGTACTGTTGTTATACTCTTAGATATAGTGGTTTTCATTTAAAGCCTCAAAAAGTACAGTGGAATTAAACTAACAGTGGCGCCAGACAGTTGACTCAGCAGACCAGAATTAGCAAAAACTGCATATTAATGAAACACCTAAATAGTCAGTGTCAGTGGGAAACTAAACAGTATTTAAAATGTTAAGTGTCAGAAAGGAAGGTAAGGTATCACACACCAATGTATAGATTAAATGTTTTTGCGATGCAGAAAATAAAAGCAGTGTTGTATGTATTAGTGCACTGCTATACAGGGAGACACAGCTATGTTGTATTTGCATGGTAATATAAATAAATTATTTCATATACTTCTAAATTGTATTTATAATCGCTAACACGTTACCCTAGACAGAAATATTTATTCTGACCAACATGTCCAACTAACAATATGTCTTTCATCTAAGTTAAAATGAAACCCTTTGCTACTCCACAGCTATGTTTGGATGATGCTCCAGGGAGCAGAGGGATAAAATATGAACCAAATAATTGGTGTACTGATTGTTTGTAAAACAACAGTGGACCAGTCATCAGTGTTCAGCATCTGTAGCCACTGTTTGCTTTTAAATTGTTGAAGTGACTGCTTGTTTTTGTGAGGGGAGAAAAGTGGGATGTTGGTCTTAGTAACAACCAGTTTGAGAGATATTTAGCCGTGTAATGATCTGTGATATTTTCAAGGGAAATTCACGATGAGAGAGAGTGAGAGCTTTTATAACTGCAGCTTGGGAATTAAGAAACTCAAACTGGTTATTACACATGGTAATGAATGTATAGTATGATGATAGCAAAGAATAAAATGACGATACAGAGGTTACAAAAAATGCTGCTGGATACTGGTCATATGGTGCAAAAACATGTTATAGCAGTTGAAACTATAGGGCCAGTGTTATTGCATACATCTAACCACACAGTTCTTTGAGAGTTGCTGAGGTATATGTTAAAGTGTAAGACCCATAAAATGGACAGAGATAGAATGATACGAAAGATAAAGATTCGTCAGTTGCCTTTTTCAGGTGTCTTTTTTTCAGTTTTTCAACTCTTCAGCACTGTGGCAAAACTAAAAGGTGCTTGTAAAAAATCCCAATGAATGTCTCTGTCTTGTTTTATGGTTTAGGTCGATGTAAGAGTGATCACTACGGAGCATGCCAAGCACTTCTACAATCCTGCAGAGGTTTCAGTAAAAATCTACAGTGACAAAGATGAGTGGGAGGTAACAATGAATTTGACAAATGTCCTAGTAAACCACTACAGTCTTCTCAAACTTGGTGCCAAAGATAAACAGATGGGATTGTGGAAAATTTCAAAAATGTATATCTGAATAATACGTATTTTTGATAAATTATAAATTAAATTAAATAGATATGCAATATCATAACTTTATAATCCATTATTTCATGCACTTGAAATTCAAATATAAATTAATACCATACTCAAAATCACACTGAGTAAATTTAAGCGTGGCATGAGTTGTCAAGTATTCACTTGACAGCTTTCCAGTTGCTGAGCTCATAAGAACTTTGAAACATAAAAACATGGTCAAGGGTCAGAAAACATTGAGAAATTCTGGTCTAAAGTATCATGCATTCCAGAATAGGAGTCAGGAAGTAAGTGCCTTTGTTAGATGTGTGCCTAACAGCATGTCTCTACTCTAGATGTGGACGCAGAGATCTGACCCTGTGCTACACATTGAGCTAAGGCGCTGGGCAGACCTATTTGTCATTGCCCCCCTAGATGCCAACACTCTTGGAAAGATTGCTAATGGCATTTGTGACAATCTGTTGGTGAGAACATTTGTATCTGATTACTTACAAATTGTTTTGGCAAATAACACTCTCTGTGATTTCTCTGAAATTATTTCCGAGTTGATTTCTATGTTGGCAGACGTGTGTGGTAAGAGCCTGGGATACCAGTCGGCCTCTCCTCTTCTGCCCTGCAATGAATACGGCTATGTGGCAGCATCCCATTACAGCCCGGCAGGTATCCAGTTTGAAGGAGTTTGGTTATGTGGAAATCCCCTGCATTGCTAAGAAGCTAGTGTGTGGAGATGAAGGTAGGTTTTTGATACCACAAAAAACCTACGATATTAAAAAATCTACCAATATTTTCTTTCGCCTTTATAAAATCCCACAATGCAGGACCCTGTTGGTTTGACCATAACAATTAGAATACATTCGTTATTCACATTTCCATTATATAGATTGTAACTGCATGATAGTCTTTTGAATATAGATGAGCAGAAGATGAGCTAAATACATGACAGAGCAGACAGATGGCAACTAGTCACACTGCACCCAGATAAATATCCACCATTGTATAAAAATTGGATATTTAAGAATTGCAGCAGTTAGTTTATAAAAATGGGTTTCCATATGTGTAAGTGGACTGTCGCTGTTGATTTAAAGAGCAACTTTTTAAAAATCCTCCTCCAGTGGTTTAACTTCTCACTTTGCTGCTGTGATGTAGAAGTGAGTCGAGGGTGAGTCAGTACATTATATCATCTCTGTTGGGTGTGGTTACAGATGCAGTATAGGGCACACTTTAGTTGCTGCAATATAAAGAGAAATGCTCCAAGAAAGTTTTTGAATGCCCGCCCTTCTTATTTGGAAACTTTTTGTTCTTTTAAGGTGTGCCACCCTCAGACGTGTGTGATAAAAGATATATACTCCCTTGTTTTCATAACCCAGAATCAGTACACCAAGGCTTCCACCTTCATCTGCTACTCGGCAGACAGTCCAACTAATCCTTATGGCCATCCTTGTGGGTGGTGGTGGGACCCCACAGTAGGGCCCCCGCATTGTTGTAGCCTTTGGCAGGCCCAGGCACTAGGCTCCCGCCAGTGTGCCCCGGGCAAATGACTTTTCATGAAAGAAGATGTTGGCAGGAGTTTGGATTAGAACCACTGCTCCTTTGCATTGAAAGGCGCCAGTTGAGGTGGTTTGAGCCTACTAGGATGCCTGTGGAGGTATTCCAGGTATATTCCACTGGGAGGAGACTATGGGGGCAGACTCAGAACAGAAGATTGGGATGATTATATATCCCCTCTGAGTTGAAAATGCCTCTGGATCCCCCAGAGAAGGACAGGAAGAAGAAGTTGTGTAGTAGAAGGATGCCTTTTGGGAAGTAAACCGTGCACAACAGCTGACCCTACTGAGCTATATCTTTACTAACAGAACTAAAGGAAAGGCCTCTGACTGATAAGAAGAAGCAGTGGGGCATGACCATCACTATTTCACATAGCACACGGGAACCGCAAAGTATTCTAATAAAGACTTAATATCCTCAACTGCAGAGAAACAAGCAAAATCAAGGCTTACTCTCTATTCTGTAATAACAAAGAGCACTTCCTGGGTACGTGTCCTCAGTTTCAGAACAAACATCACTACCGAGCAGGAGACTGCATGAATCATAGGAAACAGTAAATGTGTGGGAGGGCATATGAACCTGTTCAGTATGCTCTGTAAACAGAAAGCCAGATACACACCACTGGTATGTCACCTGCGGCATGGGCTAGTGTAAATGTGATCAGTAATGTGTTCACACCATAATAATCAGACTATAGCACACCATTCATACACTGTAGCCACTTTACAGATATAGTACAAGCAGTTCTCTTGTAGTAATTTCTGGCAGTATACTGTAGAGTCTATTTGTTTAATTGCACTTGTTAATGTAGTATGTGGTCTGTTTTGTATGAGTATTTGGCACACCTATTGGTCTGGCATACATCCAGCTTAACATGACTAAACGTAAGTCCAATCTTTAGATGTTGTGATAGTTCTGATAGTGCTGCACCTCTCTAACCCCCTAATTTTATGATTGAAAAAAAACACTTAACATTTTAGTCAGTTTATTATATTGTGCATTTGATTAGAACATGATAAAATTTCATGAGCAACTTTTCATTTCAACCCAATACAAACATATATTTCAAGGGGAGTATCGCCCATAAGAGAGTTGAGTATGATTCTAAGATTTACTGTAATTTAGGCAAAAACCGAGGCTGGTTCATGAACACAGACACTGAAGTAGAATCCAACAAACATCTTTTTAAATGCCCTGGGGAATCTCCACCTATTGCAGGACTTATTCCCCAGGGCATCCCCTTTTTCTTGTTATTAGGGAATTTTCCACCATTATTTCCAGGTTCTTTCCTTTGAGTTGATCATTTATTCCAACTAATCTGATTTGGCATCTATCTAATTGTGTTATTTTTACACACATTGATGTCAGTCCAGGGTCTCCATGGATAATTCGGGTGATTTGTTTTGTTTCACCTGTTCCATGACCCTGGTAGTGACGTGAAAATTATGGAGTCTTCCTCGTGCCTTCCAAGACCTAGGTTTTTCCATGATCTAATTTACCATACATGTACATGTCATTAATTAACCAATTACCTTGTGCCACTACATACCTACATCATGAACTGTTAATTACATCCATTTGTGTGCTACCCACACCAGTGACCACATAACACACTTAGTGCACGCATCTTAAATGCTAGTCATACATCTTGGCTTGCTTAATACAATATTAGGTCTAAATCTAAAAATATACCGCAACATCACCACAGCATACTCGTTAAGCAGAAAGTGTCCTAATTAAGCCGTCTCGACCATTAGTTAGCAAGGACAGTGCTCTACAGAGGCAGACTGTGTGATAAAACATGACGAGTTACACTTGCCCATGTCTGGGTAGCCGTACTTCAATGTATAAATAGCCAGTATGAGAGCACCTCAGCGCTCACACAGTCTGATAGTCTGATGGTTGTGTTTCGCACTTGCAAGTGAATAAAACACAGAGAGATACTCTTCTCTTTGTGAGTCTTTATTATGGGAATTTCCACCACGCCTTCAATGGAACTAAATGTTTTTGTAGCCCTCTGCAGATCGTTGCCTCAACACAATACTGTCTCTGAGCTCTGCAGGCAGTTCCTTCCACCTCATGGCTTGGATTTTGCTCTGCTGTACATTGTAATCTGTGAGACTTTATATAGACAGGTGTGTGCCTTTCTAAATCATGTCCAATCAATTGAATTTACAACAGGGGGACTAAAATCAAGGTGTAGAAACATCTCAGAAATGATCAAGAGAAATGGGAGGCACCTGAGCTAAATTTCAAGTGTCATAGCAAAGGGTCTGAATACTTATGTCAATGTGATATTTTAGAAAAACAGTATTTTTTTCTGAAGAAAATCATACCAAAATACATGTACATATAGCTTTAAAAAGAATATAAAAGTGATCAATTAACAAAGTCTTAAAAATGCTCAAATGAAAATTTAGAATAACTTCTAATCTCAAAGCCATACCTTAATAAATTCTCTATTCTTTAAATCTTTTAATTTGAAGTAGTTTGCATTAACTGTATAACAAGTCATAGCACATACCAGCGTTCTGACTGCTTTGCGTCATTGATTCCCTGGTTTTGTCTGAACAAAACACTCAGATGACTCAGCACAAATCCAGGTAACGCTGTGTATGTACAAGGAATATGTTTATTAAAGTGTGTTTCATTCACAAGGGCTTGCAAGATCATTTTAATCATTGTTTCCAGGCCACTGACTGACAATGCATTCCTCTCGGCAGAGGGTGTTTGTGCAACCAGTGACTTTTCACTTTGTTGCAGGTAAAGGCGCCATGGCAGAAGTATCGACCATTGTCAGTGCTGTCAAACAGTATCTTCAGAAACCAGATGAGTCATCTGAGAAAACATGAACATCACATTGTATTGTACATTCAGCTGACACCAAAGACCAATAAAAAGAAAAATAAACATGATGAATTGTCTTCAAAAGAGTTTGTGTTTGACCTCTTACTTGATAACTCCTCCTCTTGGGAATGTGGGTGTGCACGGACTGTCATAAACTGGCATCTCTCTGACTCTTCTGTGAGTTTTGTTACACCTGTTGGGGCAGTACAAACACACACCTTTAACCTTTGTTTTTGGACTTTGATGATCTCATGGAAGTTTTGGCAAATGTCTGTCTCACATACTGAATGCAAATAAGCATTTTCAGTGTTGGGGGTGAAAGACTATACACATGCAATTCAGTATGGGAGACAGACATTTGCCAAAACTTCCATGAGAGCATCAAAGTCCAAAAACAAAAGTTAAAGGTGTATGGTATGTGTATAGTTTTTCATCCCCAACACTGGAAATGCTTATTTGCGTTTTATTCCTTAAAGGAAGTTGGAAAAGAAATGGTGCCTTACTGCCACCCTCTTAGAAAAGGGTGAGGTTGAATGTACGAGCTGTTTGGCAATCCTGGTTAATGATGTGCTCCACTTGGTATTCTAGGAAGAAGCTTTGTTCCTCTGAATTTGATTTATTTTCTGATTAATGCAGGTAAACAAACAATACAGTTGTGGTTATACTGAGCATATTATTGTGTTATGTCAAATTACCATATGAATACAGTTCAAATACTACACCTGCTTAAAAAATTGTGATTGTAATCCCCAGGCTGTTATCAGAATGGGATAAATACTGTATCACAGGTAGAAGGTGAAAGAAAGTTGAGTTAAAAATGTCATTTTCAAATTTAAAGAAAAATAAATCATTAAATGCATGTGCTTATCAAGTCATCAATTCTACTGTGAACAACATTTTCTTATTTGAGTCAGTAGTAGCTGTCATGATGGTGCCTATGGGGTTAATTATGTGAGACAACGCAGCGGAAAGTCTTTTCCCACAAGGCAGTTTGACAGACTGGCTTTACTGCAGGCAGCGACACATGAAACTGTCAGCTGAGGTAGGGATGCCTCAGCCTCGGTGACCATTAGCAAACATACACTTTTAAAAGAGCCACAAAAGGGGTGGTAGATGTTCCAAAGTGCATTGCACCAAATGCTTTTTCACCATGACTGAAAGTATCAAAGGTAAAAGAGTGATGAAACCCACAGTTCACATTAGAGTTAGACATGTTTATCTTTGTTAAAACCCTCCATCTCTTAACAAAGTGTAACGCACCAGTCTGGATTGTGTCGAGGAAGCAAACTAGACAATGGTTTGTTTATACCACATTGGTGAGCAGAAGCAGACTTTAACAACTGTCTTACTTGTAACAAACTGGAAGGGACTGAACCTTGTAGGTGGTAACACTGGAGGTTTGTCTCCTCTGCAACATAAGGAAACATAGCACACACATTTTAGTCTAGTTCAAGATATGAATACTCAAACAGTGTCATTCACAGACCAAAACCCCATGACAAGAACATGACTGCAAAACAGATTCACATTCACAAACACCATCTAAATTAGTGCTGTTAGTATGAAGTAGATCATTAAAATTATTCTTTCTTATAGTCATACAGCTTTTATGGTACAAAACATAAAAGTTTTCCTGATCAAATCCATTGTTGGTGAATCATTAATTTAATTTTTTTTGTCATCAAACTGTAAACTGAATTCCAAAACATTGGTATTTCTCTTCGCCGTAACAGTGAATCCATCCTTTATAACAAACATGTAGACATATGTACTGCTCAAGTTTTTTTTTTTCTCCATACTTTTCCAGATATGTTTTATCTTGGTTTATCTGTGTTCCCACCAAATCCAAGGGAAGCGGGGGGGGGGGGAATTTGGTTTGCAAATAACATTATTACTGTGGAGTAGTCAAGGTTGCAGCACATGGAGTCGTGTGAATGGCTCTTCAAATGAGAAGCATCCTTCCCTGAGCCATAACTTGTCTTGCTGCTATTGGCTGCTGTGTTTTGTTAATGAGGCCACAGACACATTACATCAGCCACACCGTTGAGGGGAGTGTCACTGCAGCCTTGACAGCGCTGTGGGAGTGTGCAGCCTGCAGGTGCGCCCGAAGGGAATAAACACCATGCTCTCAGAGCTATGGTCAAATCACCAAAACTGCAGATAGGCTGTAGTCAGAGTCAGTGTGAACTAATCAAAGCTTTGCTTTTCAAGACTAAACATACCACTCTTATCCACTGCCCCTTAATTTCCTGTTTATCAAAAGATGTTTATTTCAAGAAGTGTCTGAACAGTGTCACAAATAATATTATCATACTCTCAGCTCTATCAGATCTCTTTGTTTTTTGTTGTGAATCACATGAATACTGTTGAAAATGAAGGCTAACAAAGCTAAACATAAAAGATGATAAAGCTGTAAGTCTGCAAGAGACAAGAGATGCAGCATACCAGCTCAACACAAAACAATCACAATGCAACAACTCAATACTGGTTTATTTCCCATGCAATTAAATTAAATGATTGTTTCAACTAGTTTGTCACTGTCATTACAATTCCAGCCTCAACCTAAAGGAGTAACTCGGGTAGTAGCTTAACTTAACTAACACCTATCAGGTCATCTCATTGCAATAAAAAGGCCTAAAAACAGAACCATACGACCAGAAAGCAAGAGCAACACATCATAGTTGACCATCTAGAATGACTAAAATCAATATCAGGAAGTAAAAGACAAATCTGATTGGAAAGTTTTAAAATCTTAGAGGGAAGCGGGATAATCAAATAGCTCAAGGGGAGTTTGCAGTTTATTCTATATGAAAAGCGCAATTGTCAAATGTAAAAATAGTTCAGCCAAGGTTAGTGCATACATATACATATGCATACTATATGTTATTGTTAATGGCTTGTGAGGCAGTTTGGAAACTTTTTGGGAGATTTAGTTAGACCTTGAATGTGCTATGATCAACTGTTGAGTTAACTTGCTGAAGGTTAAGTTAAATATTACCTTCAGTGGGACCATGGAGTTTAGTATTAGCAGATTTGTTAATTCCACTGAACTCTAGATGGAAAGCTGCAGTGGAGAGACTGAAAATGAAATATATGTGTGTATTACCAGAGCAGCAAATGATTCAAAAAAGTAATGTCAGCTATCCACATTGCTCAATGCATACTTTTCACAGTGAGTATAGTCTACAGTACACCATGAAAGCTTTGGATGGCAAATATGCATTACGCCTATATGATATCTCCTTCTCTGTGATAACGTGTGCACGCTCAGGTGCACATGCATCTCATGTGACTGATGCAACTCCTGCAGTCTCTAGGCTCAACGTGTATCTTCTGGTCTCCAGGGATGTTCAACCAGGTTTCATCAGAAACTACATCCTGAGAGATCAGCTGCTCTGCTCCCTGTGTCACCACAACTCACTTTATTGACTCTCAGACGTTTAAAAGAGGTAAACACCTCGTAGATTCACTCAGGAGCAAGTAGAAATTTATGAAGTGCATTTCTCTCACATGGGTTGAAATATTGTACTTGATATGGTCATAATGTTCTGTGTACTTTCTGTACATATTGTCCTGTATGTTACACAAAAAGCAATTATGAAGTTGTGTCTCTGCCATTAGAAATGTCATGTGAGTATATCTGAGAATTTACAATTAACTGACCAATAAAAGCCCCTTGAAATTTATATCCAACTTTTTGCACAGCCGCCTGTAAAAAAATTAACTGACCCAGATTTTTACTACTCAGTTTTACTACAACCACTCATTGTTCATATCCAGGATACAAACCCACTGAACAGAAAATGCTACCCATGTTGTTAGCCCCAGGGAAAGACAAACCCTTCTTTGAGCTCATTTGTTTACCCTATGAACGGTTAGAATTATCTGCAAAGTGTTTGCTATGAATTATTATGTATTTATGTAGATTAGACACTTAATATGAGGAAGTTTCACAGAGAGAGATAATCTTCAACAAAATGGTGCTGCCAACTCTGCATATACTGCTGATAGTTGTAAGTATCAGGAAATAAGAGGCAGCAGGTTATTTTAAATGAAACAGATAATCAAATCTTCCCCCCATTCTGTATAATCATTCACCGACTTACCTACTACAGGTCCATGGGGGTGTTTAAGGGTGGATGAGAATATCTGGCCCTTTCCTACAGTTTTCTGTCTGTGAATGCCGGACTGCTGTGTCTATGTCTGTTTTCCTTTCCAGTTTAGAAACCCATTTCTAACAACTGACTACAATACTGTATGTATTTAATGCATCATTTGCCTTCCATGTTTGAACATCTGTGTTGGTGTACCCATATGGCATACTGTTAGCCCCTTGATGCCTTGTGTTGGCTAGCCTTAAGCTGTAATGTCATGGTAACTGGAAATGGGGGAGATGTGAGAGCGCTCCGTGGGGAGGCTTCCCTGCCTCCTCTCCTCAGTCAAACCCCTTGATGAGCATCTCTTTACCTGCGAGGCCACAGGGACTGATGGAAGCCACCAACTTGTCGAGACTAAACTGTGGCAGCCCCGCAGGACACACAAATTAGGCTCCAACTCACGGGTGAGGAGGGACCAGTATGATGCAAGTGCAACAAGAGATGAACTCATTCAGAGGGTAAATCAAGTGGAAGAATTCAGATTGATGATGATGTTGGATTGTCTGTATCTCACCATGATGGTCTTATTATAGTACCGGCCATGCTGCTAAGTCGAATATCACTACTTTACTAGCACTATTACAGTGTAAAGTAATTGTATGTCACTGCTGTTGGACAAACTTAAATGTTGGACGTGGTTGACAAGAAGAGGTAAAACCAAAAAACAGTCTGACTGAGATAATGACTGACCTGATTTCAACTTTAGTCAACTGAGGTCAACCATTAACTACATTAGGATGAGGTCAACAAATGGTGAATCTGTACCAGAGCTTTCCTTCACAGAAGAATTTTGCCCACACAGACAATTTATATGTTATGCTCATCCTGAACTGCTTTTACTTTACTTTTTTTTTTAACATTAGACAGCACTGTACCTGTCATATAGCAAAACTGACTGTGGTGTTTTTACAAGGGAAACACGTGATCATGCTACCAGGCTACCATGAAATTCATTTTGTTGTTGCAGATATCATTACAAATTTGTACTCCTAATCCTTGACTTTGTCTGTGCCTTATTCTTCATCTAAAGCTATATGCAAAAGGGGGCTATGCTATACACGAGTCTGTACTTACTGTACGTAGTTCACTTTAATGTAAAAGTGCAGTGGGATAACTTAAATCTAAATACAAAGATGTGTATTTTGTTCCATGCAGTGTTTTCTGCTCCAAGAACTACTCAAGAACCCTAGACAAGAGTTATGAACTATACATGAACTCTGGACAGGAGCCACAGTCACGTTTCCCACTATATTACAGTAAAATCTCAAGGATTGCTCTTGACTCTGTCTGCTGTAGTTGCTTAAGTGTTAGATATTTTTCTTGAAAGAAGCTAAAAGTTAAAGTGTTACTTATTCCATGAAGGGAAAACAAGAGCTCTTTAAAAAAAAAAAAAAAGGGGAAAGGGGGGGGGGGGGCTTTATCTTGAACATACAAATTTGGAAGGCTTACTGGGTCAGAGCAGTGAAATTGAAGATGATTGATGGGATCCTCTATTGGGAGTAGGATGCAGGCCTTGCACACCTTGCTTCATGATGACTGTATGGAGGGATGAACTAGGACACTGGTGATTACAAGTTATAGGAGAAACATTTTTTAGTGTAAGGTGATATTTGTTTTGCATGTTTGCAGCTTTGGTTTAAGGATGTTAAGAATGTCAACCTTAGGTAAACTGCTGACCTTATGGGGTGAGCAGGATGGAAGGATCCATTACATGCCTGGGTTTTATTGTTATATTGCTGTTTGTGGGTTTATCTACATCTATCAAAGATTTAGTGATGCACCCCCTTTTGGGAGGTTGGAAGTAATAAAAGTGACACACAGAGGTAAAGGTCTCCAGGTTAACAGATGTTAGTTACAAAATCCAGTTCCAGTTTTGTCATTCAGTGAGAGACTTGGTGTACCTGTGGTATCTTGAGGTGCTGATGTGAAGAATTGATCACCGCTGACATGTCTTTACTTGCAATCAAAAAGAAGTTTATTTACAAGAAAGAAACAGTGTCAAAAATGCCGAATCTTGGAGCATCTCTGCCAATGTGAGATCTCTCCTTTACCGTCTCACAAACCCCTCTATTTATCTGTCTTATCCCACCTTTGGAAAGTGCACTTCTTCCTATAAGAAGAAGCCTTCACCCAAATGGTAGACAAAATCTGGTCTACGGCCTCTGGTCTCTGGCCTTTGACCTTTTAGGCCAGCATAAAACCCCCACATCCTGAGTCTTTTGTACCGTATCAAACAGAAAACCAATGGGTAAACAGTTTTGCCTCCTAAGGCACATTCCTTAAATTCAACTTACAATAAGTGGTTCAAGGAAACCTTTGACAAAGCCTTAATTGACACCCTTCCTTAACTTAAAAATAAAACATACATAGAAGAAGAATATACAACAATTTAGAATGTTGAAATAGAAGGAAATGAAGTGGATAATACTCTACATACCCTGCACCAGATCTGTCCTTCGTGCACGAATAAACCAACCACATTGAAGTGTTGACTTGATGGTCTGATTTGTACACTTTTTCATCTCTCGGTCACAAGAAATCATCTTTTCAGTCAGTTACTTAGTGATTTAATTTTATTGTGTAGTGTGTATGTGTGTATGTATGGTTTTTCTTTTTCTCTTCTGTCTCTCTTCTCCTTTAATTTATCCGTATTTGTCCTGAGCTTATCTGCTGTCATAGTTATGTAGTGATGTACTGGTTGTTTGAAAAAGTAATAGTGTGAGTGTTTGAAAAAAAAAAAGTTAAAGTGTTGAGGTGACTCATCTGAAGAAGATCTTCCTATAAAAAATCAATGCATGTGTGTTATCTGTCAATGAATGAAGAAAAAAAACACGCCTCTAAATTATTTTTTGCGTCAGCAGCAGCAGCCAGCTGGCAGCCGGACATTAGGATACAGCCAATAAAAGTGAGCAAGTCAACAGCAGGAAAACATCACATGTGTAAAATGCAAGCCGCGGATAGACAGAGGGTGTGACTCCGCCTATTGATCAAAGACCATCCTCCTCCTCCCTTTTGTCTTTTCTTCAGTTTGTTAACTTCTCTAAAAGCCGCGTGGATTTAGAGTGAGCCGCTCAAACCTCTAGTCAGACTTTCGTTTCATTTCGTGTGATTTCTTTTTTTCTTTTGGCGCATCCAGGCTGACAAGTCTACTTACAAGCAGCGATTCCCTCTCTTCTTAGAAGCTGTGTTTCATGGAGTCTTTGTGGAAATCATTAATTGCTATCACAGCAGCAGCGAGGTAAGAAAACTTATTCACGACTCAGTCATCATGTGTCTAAATTACCGACGCATTGTGAGACAGAAAGGGGGAAGAAAGGGAACAACAAATGGTACCAAACGCATGAGCGTGTCCTCTAGGAAAGCATGTGGAACTATTTCATATCGACAGATCGATGTAAGCAAGCATTTGAAGCGATGCTTTTTTTTTTTTTTTTTTTTTGTTTAGCCGCAGTGTGGTTATATGTAGTTTTATCGAGCTTTGTGACGCATTTGCAACCTGTGTGGAAATCACTCGCGCTATGTCTGTCAGTTGAGCGCTATATTATTTTCAAATGATCTGCGTCCTGTAAATTTGAGCAGCTGTTTATGGAGGCAGGACAGCAAGTTCATGAGTTTCCACGTCGCTCCTGATAAACTAACTATAACTGTAACTTGCCTCGCTGCCAAAGTTGAGAAGAAACCTTTTTCGCAGAGTCTTTTTGTTGTTGATGTTGTTGTTGTTACTTTGAGACCAACTGGCGGAAACTGATGATTTTTTTTTTTCATGTCATGTGAACATGCAGACTATTTCCAACTTTTCTTGGTCCGGCAGACTAATCATTTATCTAATAAATATCAATAACTTTTAGAAAAGCTGGAATGAAGTGATATTTTTTGTTTTTGCTCACTCGCTCTTTTCCCACGTGGCTCAGGGGCTCAGCCTGACAGTTTGGACGGTTTGCTTTCGGAAGTCACTCTCTCTCCATCACCCTTGCCCTACAGATCTGGGAGTGTGGACACACACACACGTACAGCCACACACACGCACACATACACACATCAGAGTGCGGCTTTCAGACCGTTGAAAACACCTCTGCGCAGTTTCCTCCATGCACACAAACCACATTTATCCTCGCTGTACGCAGATAAGCCATCGCTCTGTACTTCTCTGAAAGGTGTCAACAGGATGAAGCGATAACATCTGTTCTTACTGTGGGACAGTGTATTACTGTCTGGATTGAGTCTGGATTTAGACTTAATGAGGGGCTGCAGTGAGAATCTGCTGTTTATTTCACTAATCGCTCATCATAGCCTGCAGATACGTAACAGATATTATTATTATTATTATTATTATTATTATTATTATTATACAGTTTGACAGATGTCTGTGTTCATAGGAGCTGATACAGCTGTTTCAACATATATTGGCAGATGTTATGCTCTGAACTTGGCAGCCATTCAAAAGACAGCAGGGGTGTTTTGCACTATGATCTGTTAGTTTTGGGGGGGGGGGGGGGGGGGGGGTGGGGGGGGGGGGGGGTGTTAGTGGAGGGCAGTGTCCACCAATGGAAGAACAACGCCATTGATAAAAGTTACCAATAAAAAAACAATAGTCTGTACTGTTGATGTCTTTGCTGGTGGCTTGTAGCTGTGGCAGAGTTATGAATTAGTCACGTGATGAGGTCATCTTTCTCTCTCTCTCTCTCCTACAAGCTGATTGTGTTGTGCACTTAGACTGTGTGCTACCTTCAGGTGCCTGTTGGAAAAGCCAGGGTTAGGAGATAAGCATGCATTGATATCATGATAACGGGTAAATGCAAGGACAGCTTGGATTTTCACTGATGTTGAGGTTGCCACAAAGTTTGCATAGATATTATCTATCTATCTATCTGAAATAATCTGATCAATCTGTCAATTAATCTGCAGATATTTTGATAATTGATTAATCATTTAAGTCATTTTCAGGCTGAAATGCCAGACATTCACTGATTTCAGCTTTTCAGTTGAGAGGATTGGCTGCTGTTCTTTGTCTTATTGTAAACCCAATATCTGTTGGACTTTAAGTCAGGCAAAAAAAAAAAAAAAAACAATTTAAAAGATGACATTCTGCAATTTAGCTAATTGTGTCTTCTTGAAGAGTCTGACATGCACTCTATTTTCCACAAGTGCTTTAATAGACCATGATGGGACCAGCATCTGCCTTCACAAATCTATTTGCCATAAGTCATGATAATGTCTTCACACATGCTGCATCACTTTAAAAATAGCTCCAGTTGCTGAACAAGACAGAATTTAAGAGGAAAGCCAATACTTAGAACAGACACACTTCTGTAAGTTAGATTTTTTTTTTCTAGTAATTATGCCATTAACTTGCACAGAAATGATAAGTTGATTAATTGATTAGGTCGACCGACAGAAAATTAATTAGTAGCTATTTTGATCATTGATTCATATTCTTAGTCACTCTCTCAAGCGTATACTGGTTCCTGTTTTTTTTTTTCAAAATGTGACATCTGAAGGCATCAGAGCGTGTTCTGGAAAATTGTGATGGACAAAATAATCAGCAAATGACCTGAAAGGGAAAATAACAGTTAAGTTGCACCTCTTCATTTGACAAGTGTGTGAAAAGGGAACTACGGTATGACTGAGCGCTTGTGGTGATAAAATGCAGAATAGAAACATAGTCTGCTTTAGCGTTGGGTCTCAGGATATACCCACAAGATGAGAAGTATCTATAAGATATGGTGATAAGTTCTGCTTTGATAAATGTGACACTGAGCTGAGTGATAACACATATTTGTCGCTGTAACCTTGCAGTGAAGACTCTTCAATCACATATGATATTGTGCCACCACCATAACCAGTAATGCTGGAGGCTGCACCACCAGAGCTGGTTTGTTTATTGCGACATGTTGCTGTCTGTAGGAAACTTCTCATTCTTAGCCCTTCTCATTTACTAAAAATCCTTGCACAAGCATTACTTCCTTGTCATGGGGTGCATATGTGACATATGTGTGATAAGTGACAAGATCTGTCAAGCTTGAGAAAAAGCCTTAAGATCGCTCTTATCTAATGATGACTCCTTTAAGTAAGTCTCATGTATCCTGCTAGCCCAGTCTGATGTCTGAGTGTATTCAAGCTAATTAAAGGGGGATCTCTTGAAATAATCTTGCATAAATATTAAAAAAATGAATTCCAGTGTCTAATTGTTGTTTTGTATATTTGTAGATCTGGAGCCATATCAGTGCACCATCATAACAAAGTTACTACATGATGAGCAGCCAGTCGATGGAGACCCTCATTGACCCAGTGTTTCGAAGCAAGATGCCATTATTTGACGGGACTATAGCAGCCGCAGGACTGTCAAAGCCACAAAATATGTCTGGTTTCCTGGATAAGCATGCATTGCAATACAGCGGGTCCTACTTTACCTATGACCCCAGAGGAAAGGATGGAGCAGGATTCGCTCCACCTTGGAGCAACTCAAAGACCTCTATGCTGGATGGCAGAAGTCCTATGAGTCACCTCTCTGGCATGGAGGGACAGAACCGCATACTTTACAGGCAAGACAGCAACTCTTCAGAGGAAGGCCATTCTCATTCTTCCTCTCTAAGTCACACCCCAGTAAAACAGGGCTTTACCATATACACCAAAAGTCCTGGGATCAACAGTCCTGCAGCTGCTACATCAGTGGCTGTTAGAAAACAAAAAACCGGAGTTGAGCATTCATCTCCTCCATCCGAGAACTCTGTTTACCTAGCAATTCCTAAGCCAGTTTACAGACATAACCCCTGCTGTAATGAACTGGGCTGTGTGATAGGACACCGATATAGTGTGGAGCACGGCACCCAGAGAATACCAAACGCTGTATATGAGCATGACTGGATGCAAACTGACGCTCACTACATTGAAAGGCCGCCCATTCAGAGAAAGGCACAAGACAAACTGCTGCAACAGAGAGGTTTACAGATTGAGCCCCATCCAGAGCCAGTGAAGAGGATGACTATGGAGACATACAGCCCAGGTACAGCAAGGACTTTTCCTGCTATGATTGACCCAAACTATAGCAGTTACCCCTGCACCCCGACTCGCACACTGTTTGGTTCTTTAAGTGAGCAGAGCCAGCGGTTGCAGACATCCCCCAGAGGCTACCCTGGCCTATACCCCTCCCATCCTACATATGAGCATATGACCTCAGAGGTTTATCAGGAACGCTCTCCCATGTCCAAATATGGCCAGCTAACACAGCACCCAGTGTTTTACTACCCCCAGGCAAATGAGGAGGTACAAAACAGCACGCGGTGTAAAAATATTGGCAGTAAGCAGAGAGAAGATGTCCCTGTTTTTCTTAAACACACAATCTCAACCCCCCGGGAGCATTACATAGTGCCTCAATCGCTTCATGGTGAGATTCCTTTGCCTAACACTGAAATGTTTCCGAATCATTCCTTTATGCAGGGACTTGACTATCCATGTTATGCAGTCCCTAGATTTCATTTAAACACAAGCCAAGTGAGGGCGCCCCTAAAAAGGCAGCATGCATCCCCTAGTTTTCACACTAATAGCATAAATGTTTCCCCATCGAGCCAACACATGGATCACCCCTTGGCCTCTGCAGCCAATCTACATAAGGACAAACCCAACAGTAGCCTGCATGTTGACCAGTCACAACCTTCCTCACCATTCCTACGTGTGGACCAAACCAGTCCTACCAGATGTATAAGCCAACCTGGCATCTCACCAGCCAGTATACAAATAAACAGATTTTTTCCCCCGCTCTCCAGCCTGCACATAGACCGACACATCCTTCCACCAGCTGGCATGAACATGAACAGACTCATGGACTATTCCTCCTGTGAAGCCCAGGTTACATGCCCAAAACAGTCCAAAGGCCTTCCTGTTTCCCCAACAGCGTGGCTGCCCCGGTCGCCCAGTCACAGTTCTGATCGCATCCACACAGCTGTAACAAATAGTGCAAATGTCAGAAAAATAATTTATTCCCCCTCTGTTGCAACAGGAAATAAATACAATGGCCCTACATCCAGTTCAGGCAGCAGTGTTCTTAAAGGGTGCCTGAAGAGAGGCTTTTCTCACTCATCTCCACCCATCAAAATAAAAGACGAGGGCAGGGATTTATGTGAAGTGGAACTCATTAAGAAACGACAAAAGGTGGAAATGGAGAATGTCCAAGTAGGAAATAAAACTGACTCTCCTCCTATGCCAGTCATTGACAATGTCTTCAGTCTGGCGCCATACCAAGCATACCTGCAGGCCTCTGGAGTGTTATTTCCGGGCAGAGTACCTCATAGAACCGTCCAGTCCTCTGAGCACTGTGAAGCCAAAACCAAACCAGACATGAAAGAGAAAAGGCCGGATCGAGATGAGCAGCAGTCTGTTGTCTGTCCGGTTCCCAAAGAAATCTGTCCAGATACCTCACCAGAGAATCCTGTTGTAGAAATTGTTGAACCAAAAAATATTAAAGTGGAAAAAGTAGATGCATCAGACACAGACAACACTGTAGAGTCTCCTGTTAGTCAGAGGGACTGCAACAAAGTCCCAATCAAAAAAGAGCCTGTAGAGACTGGTTCATCTGACAGTGGGCCCGTGTGGGTGATAAAGAAGTCTGAACCTGATGAACCTGAAAGTAAAGCCTCTTTAGCAGATGAAAACAACACTTCAGATGAGTCCAAACCTGTTGAGTCGACTGCACAGATGAACTCATCTTCCCAGGGTGATGCATGCACACTGCACGGACAGATGGCCACCCTCCAATCCAGACCCATTACTCCACCTCAATCATCTGAGAGAAAGCTAAATTTCAAAAACATTCCCCCCCAGTGTCTAAAACTTTCCACCTACAAAATCATTCTCCCTGATATGAAGCATTCCACACCTGCTCAACCCCCAGAGAAGCCACCTGCGCAGCCAATACCTGATTTCATACCAAAACTAGAGCTCCAACTTCCAGTCCGCAAGCACTTCCTTGAGTTGCACCATTCCCTCTCCAAGCTAGTATCCAAATCTGTGTCGGCCTCTTCAGAGCAGGAGCTCAGAACCTGGTTGTCTCAGTTGGAACTGACTGAACCTGCATCTCCATCAACCAAAGTCCAGAAAGTGTCGTGTTTGTTGGGGGTAAAAGCCAGAGAAGTGTGGCTCAATGAGGAGATCAAGTCAGCACTCCATAAGGTCCTCGAGAGGTTGAGAGAGTACACCACCCAGAAACGTTGTCCTTTTCCACACGTCATGCGAACGGGGGCGGTGTTCCTCCCCATGCTGGTGATGAAGGAGCTGCTGTTTCCGATGGTGCAGGGCAGCTTCATCGACCAGGTCCTGCAGGAGCACAAAGTGGAGCTGCGGCCCACCACGCTCTCCGAGGAGAAGATCCTCATCCAGCTTCATAAACGAGCCTGCTCCTCCCGGCTCAGGAGACTGATGTCCCTCAAACACCTGCCCGACATCTACGCTGACGCGGTCAACCTTTTATACTACGCCTGTGTCTGCAAACATCTAGGTGAGTGCATGTTCACTTCAGACTTACTGAGGTAATGTCATGAATATGTGCAGAACACTGAACATTTTCCTAGTAAAGAAATGAAAGACATTGGCATTAGAGTGTTGGTTGGTTGTTGGTTATAAACATCTTATTTTAGTCTTTTAAAATATTTCTGTCTATTTTCCATATTGATGTTGCTCTGGGATAGTATTATGGCTTTTTGTGTCTCTCTGTACTGTCAAGCCACACAAATAAGAGGTGTTACAATAAGCAACACTTCCGTCAATTTCCCCTCATGGGACATGTTGGACACCACTACTCATGACTAACACTGAATAACAAATGTTCATGGAGACAGGAAATGGATGGATAATGGACACTTATTTTAGGAGCATGCACATACAAACTGAAGGCTTTTAAAATAAGACTAGACTACTTCTGTTTTTCAGTACAGTAGAGTTGATTAGCCAGGCAGTTATAAAAATGTTCACCTTAGTCATGAGTGAGAAGTGGGTCTCTGCTTGTTTTTTTAAAAAAAAAAGAAAAAAAAAGTTAGGATGACGTGTCAGTTGTTCTTACTGTTACTTATGACAGATCACAGGACACACTGAAATTCATATGATACTGTTTCAGATATAAATATTTTATTACTCAACAAATGATTTGAAAGTTTATACCTCTGGTTTGATAATGTGCAATAAGACTGCCAAAGACACAGTATTTCCTGCCTTTCCTTGCAGATTTCTGGAAATCCCCCTCAGGCAGATGGTGTGATTTACTGATTCTTTTGGATTTTATTATAAAACATTACATTTTGTTAACTGTATCTAGTTTTTCCCTCAAACAGTCTTTTAATAGTCCTATTTTCTGCATTATTGGCCCTTTTTGTAAAGAACAAATCAAAGTAAACAATACATATTCAATATAAAATTCATTTATTTTTTACAGAATCAACCTCATCTGATGTCCAAAAGAGAGTCCAGGTATATTTATTTTTTGTGTTGTCCCTCAATCTCACATTTCTTTGCTTTTTTTCCTAATCAGAAAGCAGGAATAGTTTCTGCTTTCAATAATGAATCACACGAAGTTGCATGATTATGGGTGGGTGGAGGGAAGGGTGCTTAGCTGGAAAACTGAAACTGACCTTCATGAATTTTTTTTTTTTGTTAGCATTAGTGGACCTCTTAAAGAGTGTAAGGCAGGCTGGTGGCTCACACTACCAGAGGAAGGAAATGACAACCTGCAGCACACAGAGGGATTAGACTGTGCACTGGCACATTTTGAGCCCTTTGGATTAGAAAGAAGTTCATGTTTTGAGAAGATGGTGATCATCACCTTGTCACCACCATGTGCTGTCTAGTCATAGAGACAAGTGGGACGAAATTAGTGCTGTTGTGAAAACCAGTTATGGTCCATGTGTGGTTAATGTATAAGGCTGGTGATGTTCTGCTTTGTTACGGTCAAATCCAGTGAAAAGAGCAAAATTAACAATGTGTTCATCTGTCTTTCGCTATTTTGACTTCCACAGCTTTTCTGTGACTCTCAGCCCTAAGCCCATTTGTTACTACTGAAGGCTTTTAATCTTAAAAAACTGGCCACATTTACTTTCATTAAAAGAACAATTTCCTAAAACAGTTAGGCACTGTCATTTTTAGATTTCTGTTGCATACCCGCTGCACTACGTCATATTTTTGGCTGCAGCATAGTGTATGCTGGGGTGGGGTGGGGGGGACTACATTGTCCATGCTCATTTTTACCCATTTAAATAAGTTATATCAGGCTTTGGCTGCACAGGCAATGCTTATTAGAAGGACTAATTCATTGTTTGTTTTGGTACTTTCATTGGATTTGTTGACAATGAAATGAATATAGAACATCACCAGACTTTTCCTTAAATTTTGCCTTTTTACTTTGTGTGCTTCGACAGCTATTATTTATTTGGCACAAGCATTTGCTAACTGAATTGGGTTTTTATCAAATTTCCGTTCACTGCTGACTTAATTAACAGTTCACATGGTTTGGGAGCACTTGACTTTGGTATCTGAACATTTCCCTTGTCCTACCCTTGCCTCAGTGCTGTTAATCCCTGACTGATAGCATCCCTTGTAGCAGCTGACTTTTTCCCAGCCTTCGTGTTTACACCCACAGCTTCTATTCTGTCTCTGTAGAAAGGGTGTTTCATGGTGCAGGATCATGTTGTCCGATCACTATATCTGCTGATATTAATAGAATAGTTTTGCATTGTTCTTGTGTGCTGAATAAGCACTATGGGAGGATTGATTCGTCAGCCTGTGTGGAGGTGTCGGACTTTGTGGTTGCTAGCTGGCTTTTTAGGATTCTTTTTTTTTTTTTTTTTTTTTTAATCCAAAATGTAGAACATCCCTCTTTGACTTGCTATCCAAATGTTTTCCCTGATCACTAACTAAATTCTCTAAATTCTTTAACTCTCACATTCCCATTTTGTCAGAAACCAATTTTTTATAAACCTGTCATATTTTTGTATTTATTTTGACCTCTCTTTATTACTGTATCCCCTGTGTTGCAGGATTAGATGTGGATGATCCTGCTAACAGAGAAAAAGAGGACAGTAGTGAGGAGACTTCTGTATTTTCAGACATCCATGCCTCACCGGTCTCACCCCCAGAGTCACACCCACAGAGCCATCCGAAGGACCAAGAAACAGTATCACATTTGAACAGGTGTAGCACAAAAAGCAGGGTAAAGAGCAGCTCGAAGCGCATGTTTCTGGACAACAGTTTGTCAGATGAGGAAGAGCCAGATGACACAGGAAAGACTGTCAGTGGAGTTGTGCTGAATGAATTTTGCAAGAAAAACTGGAGTGCTAATCAGTCTGAGGATAGTGAGAATAGGGCAAGTGACGATATGGTAGCAGAGGAAGATTCTTCACTCATTCCACAAAGCCCAACTTCTGACAATTCATGGACGTGTCCTTTAACCTTCGACCAGCTTTCTCCATCTCCCAGCGACACAGAAACGCAGGAGCCCTCCAGTCTGCAGCCTGGTAGTCAGTCCTCAGGACCAGAAACATCTCTGGTTGGATCCAACAATTGTTCAGGCATGATTCTCAAACTGAGGAGGATGTTTAGCGAAGGTCTTAACAGAAAAAAGGCCCACTACCAAGCAGTGTCAGACTTGGGGACATTTGCTGATGCTTCCCTCTCACAGAATGAGGATTTGGAGGGAGAGGTGAGCGGCGAGAGGGACCTTCACAGGAGGACACCCAAAGTAGCCCACAGGTGGCAGAGAACAGGTAGCTTCTCTCACGCCTTAAGACCCCTCAGCAGCTCTTCTAAACGAAAACGCAGATCACTCTTAAAGATCAAATACTGTCCCTACTTGTCTGCCTGCCACAGCGCCGAACACAGGAGGCGATGGGTCCTGCGTTCGGCTGTCCAGAGAGCTCAGAGGGCCATGAGGTTGTACTACCCAGACCTGGTGGGGAAGAGGATCCGCCATCTGTATGAAGAAGACGACAAATCAGAAGTGTGGTATAGAGGAGAGGTGCTGCGAATCCACGAGGCCCACACCAACCCTCTAAAGACTATATTTGAGGTCAGGTATGACAGTGAGCCAGAGTGGAAGTACTACCTAGAGCTGCTGATAGACTATAAAAAGGGCTGGCTCAAAATTGAAGACTGATTTCCCAATGCCAATGTTGCTATGCCAGTTTTGTTTTTGCCAGGGTGCAATGATGGTTTTGAGTTGCTTCCTTTTACTATGTTTGTTTGTTTTTTTTCACTTGCCAACAACAGGCTGATAAGCCCTAAATATGTGTCCGGCCTCCTGAAGAGGGAAGTTGGACTGAATTTTTTATTGTAATCAGATCAGCTAAAACATTCTGTCACTTTAGTGTCACAAGACGCCTTCTTCTTAGGGGTGGACTGTATGCAGCATCCTGTAGATGTTTTTAAGCTCTTATCATCTTTGACACATCTATCAGCAGCTTTTCTGGGTTATTTGCAATTTAGATTATGGTTGTGTGTGGCCTTATTGTGCTTAGTTTAAATAAAAACATACCAAAAACATAAACATCCCTTAGTGGTTTTTTAAAAATAATTTTAATCATTATCAAATATGAAGTTATGTATTTGTTTAAGTCATCATTGTCCACTTTTCTGGTAGTTTCACATTTTTTTTATTTGCTAGTAAGAAATAAAAAACCAGCAAATGACATGAAGACATTTTAAAAGGGTTTGACTGTCAAACATTGCCAGCCACATGTATATAGGTTTACAGTGCCAGTCTTGTATGTAATTATAGCAGAGTGATTTTTACCCTGATGACTGTGGTTGTTTCTTTTTGTGTGTGTGTGTGTGTGTGTGTGTGTGTGTGTGAATAACTGAAGCTGAAAAACAGGCATTTATGTAGTTCTGTACTAAGCTGCTCAAGAGGTCTTTGATGACACACAGGCTGAGATGTTCCCATCACATGGTGTTTTTAATCACTGTGAAACTTAAGACTTTCACCTCAGATTGTATTTTGATTTTGTGTCATTTTATAAGACTTCTGCAGACTGAATTGTTAAAATATTACTGTTGTCTTAAATAAATGTTTGTAATGATTCCATGTTTTGTCATATTATTGAAATGGTGTTTCTCCCACAAAATATATTTTTCACAACTTCATATGTTTTTTTGTCTGTTAACTCTCCAACCAAAGTTTGACAGGATTTCTTGAATATCAAAGCTAAATTTCACATAATTGATAAATCTTGACTGACCATGCAGTGTTGTCAATTGTGGTTAACATGGTGCAGAGTCATTCTAACATGTCATCTCACAGATCCTGATCCTGGTTCAGTAAAGGTGTCATGCTACAAATGATACTCACAAAAAAAATGAGCTGTCAATTTTGAAAATATGTCCTCTGAAGGATAACCACGCCTAAAATATGAAACTTCAAATTAGAATTGCAGTGTCTTTGTCCCCATCCAGTGGCAAAATATTTAGTTGCAAATTCCCATTTAAACTATTGAAAATGCTGTTTAGTTGGAAACTATGTACAGGGAATGATCTAGCTTGCGCAAGTGACTGAATACACAGTGATAGCTTTCTTAAGGACAGTTTAAAAATACATCAAATGTTGATGGTGGTGAAAAGTTTTTCTTTTTTTTTTAATTAAAATGGCTGCTGCCACAAGAAAAAGCAGTGTCCATTATCAAACAATCACCCATGCCAGAATGATGTTTGCAACATTTTGCACTTTAATATTTTCTCCAAAACAGACAACTAATTTCTCCCACATTTTTACACTAATAGGAAATAAAACACCTTTGATAGCATAAAGAAAAGATATGTAGAAAAGTATTAAAAGTTTTTGGATGTCTCAGTTTAATGTAAGTAGCTGCTTCTGTTACTTCAAACGTTATGAAATGTTTATGAACTACTAGCAGACAGAATGAAAAACAGAGTGAGCCCTGGAGAGCATATAAGCCTAATGATCACAGCTATAGCTGGTGTGTTACCTGCAAGACAGCTTAGTGAAAATAGCCCATCTTTTGTTATTATCCATTCAACTTGTGTCATCATTGGTTTGTGACTTGAGACAAAATGAATTCAAAAAGTGACATCATACAAACAACCAGTTGATCTTTATCGCACAATCTGCAAGTAAAAGTGGTGCAAAGAACTAACATTTTTGCCTAAAATCAAAATGATTCAATGAAAGGTACCAAATGAATTCCACGCTATTCTGGAAGACACACCTCTGCCAAGGTCTGTAGTACACTACATTGCAAAATACATAGCGCAGAAATGCATCATGGATGTTGGGTAATTAATATGATTGAGACCAAACCTATTCTAATGACTCACACAGTACTCCCAAAAATGAGATTTCTCATGACATTTATTCAAATAAACAATACAGTTTATAATTTGCTAGGATAAAATAATAAGTTTGAACACATAAGAAGCATTTGGGAGAGAATTCCCCAAAGATCTGAAACTGGGGCAAAGGATGTGTTTTAATGATGGCTGACACTTTGGTGTCATCTTCTGACTTGCATCAGTGCCTGTATATTCATGTCCCCTCCAGTCAATCTTGTGAAGACTGCCATATTGCAGAGACATGAACGAGCATTTACAAGGAGGGCTTGACAACCAGAGCAACCACCACACAGAACAATGCAAAACCTGGAGGGGCACTGACATTTCAATGTCAAATCCTCAACCCATGTGCGAAAAATACAGTCTTTAATGCAAAAGCATAACAGCGTTATAAAACAGTCCTACAACCTTTAGAAGTTTGCCCTATATTCCTCATCTGCCGAAGGATCACGCAAGTCCATCTGTGTAGCTCAGTTTAAAGCAATGTTCAGTCTCACTGCAAGGCAAGAGATCTCTTCAAAGAGGCGCGGCCACTATCAGCCCCATGCCATCCAAGTATTCCCTGCAAGAGTGATGCAAATGCCTGACCCTGTTTGACAGTGATCCAGCCCAATTAGCAGCACTACAAAGCTGTGCTGTCAGTACATTCTATTACCCTCATTCAATCCCCAAGGTGCAAGCTGAGCTTTAAGAGGGCGACCTCAAGCCACGTCGGGAAAGAGGAGAAAAAAAAAAAAAAAAAAAAAAAAAAAAAAGAGTGAATGTCACTCAGTTTGGCTCTTGCAAATTATTAGTAATGTTCTTAAATGTTAAACACCTCTAAAAACAACTAAGAGGGTACAGCAAAAGGTTAGAATAGAGGGACACGGGGCCTGTGCATTCAACCTTTCCTTTCCTTGACTGTAAAACTTTTTCTGCTCTTGGTTTTCCAACTCAGCCGTGCACTTTCACCGAGTCCTTTATCTGATCACTTGGCAACTAAGAGAAATCCTTTCTATCAGTTCCCATTTAAATTTACTGATAAGGTGTAACTTGTGCACTGCTCTGAAGAGACTGAGGATGATAGGGCGAATGCCTTATTGCCAAAGACCTCCAACCCCCCACACATGATGGAGGGAGTAAACAGACTCAACCTACATGGCAAAAGTACACCTTTTTCAATATTGGTAAAGAATAAATATTTCAAAATTTCAAAATTATGCAAACACGTGCCACTCTTGCTCTTTAACTTCCATGCATATGGACTATTTACAAATTGAAAAATACAGACTTGCTATTTTGTTCTTTTGATGTTTTTTTTTCTCCCACCCCACCCCGCCCCCCCTCCCCCTGAAATGTCTTTGCCCCTTTGCAATCAGCCTATCAACATTCAGCCACCCAGACAAGGATCTCACCACATATTGCAGACATGGCCAGGACAATTAAAGCTGTGTTGAAAACATTTTCACACTAATGGGAAAACAAAAGTCAAAATCAAAACAGAAAAGATTCACAAGCAAAAAACAGGAAAATAAGATAGTTCAGGGGAGGTGTTACAATACAAGCCAAAAGGATGTATTTGTTTAAGATGGATTTTCTGCTTTCTCAAGACTCCACTCTGTTGCTAACAATACTGTAGTACACTTTCTTTTTATTACTCTACCTTTTATTTAAATATAATTTACTTTTAAGATTTTGTTAAACAAATCCGGGAAAATGATGCAAAAGTGGTTGGTTTGCCAAAGGAGAGGCGGCAGAAGGCCCGTGCTGCCCTGTTAAATTGCATCAGCGCTCTAGTTTGTCAAGATACTCAAGAGTCCGTTGCATTGGGACGTGTCCTCAATCCTCGATGTACTCCCACAGGTCCTTCTCATAGCCTTCATGCACGTGCTGTAGCAGCACTCTTCGCCTGCTCTCACAGTATCTACGGACACAAGAAAGATTTATTTATTTAGAGACCAAGAACACACAAACTTAACAGTGACAGACAGTGATTATGATTCTTCCTTCACTTACCTGTACTTATCTTGTACTTTCTGCTTGATATCCTGCAAGGAATCCTGGGAGATGTCCCGCTCTAGGTAGCCAGACAGCACCTCAGTGGCATTTTCCAGGTCTGCCTGGTTGTTCTGGTGTACCAAAAAATTGATAAACAATATTATTCTTTGTCAAAGCATAGATTAAAAGAACAGAAATGTCAGTTGTCCATTACAAAGTGTTCTAAACTTTAGAACGTCCTGTCTAAGGCCCAGCTCAGACTACAGGAAATGTTGGCCAGTTTCCTTCAATTCAGCTTGTGCAGAAGCAGCAATCCCACTTAAGTTTACAGTTATTTATGTCATGCACCATCTGCTCACAATTATAACAGTTAATCCAACAATTTCCCTTTTAATCTTACCTCAAAAATAATGGACTGGTTGTTCTTCTTGAGGTAGAAGGCAAAGACGTAAGTGAACATGAGTGTGGAGCGGCACTGGCATAGCACATCCACAGCCTTCTTCAGAAACTGCACCTCAATCCAGGACATGTTGTGCTGCTGCATTTCCTCCATCTTTTGCTTAACCTGAGCATAGAGCTTGTGCTCAAAGCGCAGGCTCTGCATGTGGTTCATGTAGCGGTTGCAGTAGAACAGGTACCTCTGCAAGGCTGCCCTGGAGCGCTGCACACATACCATGGAACTGGCTTTAATTCAAGCATGCTCAACTCAATTTTTACTTGACCGCTGGATAATCAGCAATGTATAAAGAATGATCTAAATTGGATTACGCAGGAGTTTCAGGCAAGACACTATTCTTCAGTATGCAACAATTAACCATGTCTGTCAAAGACATAGTGGACCATTATTATCAGGCCCACGCAGTAGCTTCCCCTGTATCATTACCAATGTTTGTGGATACTCTTTGTACACAAAGAAGTGCTTGATTAGTTGAAGTGGATTATATTCTTATATATTTGAGTACACATTTTTGTTGCCTTTTATAGAGGATTTTTTTTGTCTGAATATACATGTTTCGCCCAGTGCAGCAAGATAGAAACAATAGGTGGGGGTGCTACCGACTGTTTATGAATGGCAGTTATACCTGTTGCAAATATGGCTGAATGTTGCACACTGATTACACCCCATTATGTGGCAAATCAGGCAAAGTAAAACAGTATGCAAAATGTATCAATAGGAGTATCATTTATTACCTCTTGGGCATCTCTGGCTGCCTTGGCATCATCTTCATTGTAGCGATTGCAGTTGTACCTGAAACATTACAACCATTAACAATATGTTCCAGAATACAATAACATACATCAATACTGTTAGACAATATTCTGTTTTCATGCTCTCTCACAGGATATACTTCTCCTAAGATCATATATTTTCCACATATTTATGGTTCAAGTTTTTAATTGAAGTGAATACACCACTATCAATAAAAACCTACCTGGAAGTATACTGCAACATGGCAAAAATCATTTATAAGTCATTAGTTCTTACCAGGCTGAGCCATGAGGTTCCCATGGACCAAGGCAAACCCAGCAGAACTCAGCTTTGCAGTTCTGGTTCCGACACACCATGTGATTGCAGCCACCATCTTTCTCAATGGTCACATGGCATTTTGGACACTCCTGTCAGGAGAGGGGGTTAATGATTTTATTAAGTCTCTGCTCAAGGTGTAGTGTTTTACAACAACAAAAAAATCTCATTAAAATTTCACTTTACCTTTTTTTTTTTTTTTTTTTTTATAAAAACCAGGTTGATTACATACCTTAGTATTTGCTGCAATCCAGTTTGAAGTTTCACTGTCATCATCACATTTCTTAATCCATTTTCTCAGCCACTATAAAAGCATTAAAATAAGAATAAGAAATAATCATGTTAACTTTGCTGATGTTAACAGAATTTCATTCAAGATAAAAAGAAATAGCTTAATAAAATGGTAGAATATTCTTCATTGACTTACCTTACACTTGACAGGATCATGCCAATTCTCTCCACAGTTGAAGCTGCAACAACAGGCATAACAGGTCATGTTTCACAATTACTGTTAAACTTTCAGTCTACATTCAAGGGCCATCACTGTCAGTTCACAATAGTCTAATACACCACTTTTTTGAACAAGCTCTCTTACCAGAACTGGCGGCCACACTTGCACCTCACTGGCTTGGCATCTGGGTACTGGACTTTCACAACATGATGGCAGTCTGGTGCGGGGCACCACTTTAACAGTCGATTGCACTTAAAAGCAGTAATGAGAGGGAACATATCAACTAATAGTTTAATGGATGCTAAAGTACAAAGAAGGTCCGTGTTTTTCCAAGCAGTGCATATGGATAACCTCAACAGCTCAACATAATAAATCAAGATTTTACAGTCCATTTCAATAGAGAAAAAAAACTCAAAGCTTACCTCTACAAAACTATTAGTAATTAAATGCTGGTACTTCAACTTCACTTTTGAATCTGTTATGAGGCGCCTATAGGAAAAGTCAAATCATTTATTATTAGCCTTCATTACATAAAATGGATGACTTTGGTAAAAGCTACCTTCCTTTCATACTTAGTGCATACCATCCAAATACAATAAAAACAACAACAAAAAAAAAAAAATAGTCAAACAATTTTTCACTTTTTCTTGGGTTAACATTACAGTCAGAATTCTCATTTATTTGCTCAACACAATTCATGTTATTACAAAACTAACACATTTAGTACAGGTGACTAAGTAACATTTTATGAATTTAAATACTGACATGGGGAACATGGTTCTGTGCATGTTGCACCCTAAACTGATCAGTGAAAACACTGTTAGGTCTCTTGTTAGCTGGTGACATCAGAATGTAGGTTAAGACAATTACTGACAGCTTAAAAGCTGGTACAAGAGATTAGTGTCCATGCTTCCAATATGGAGGTATATTTCTTTGCACTAAGTAGTGGGCTACTGACAAAGAAATGTCAGGTAAAATTTCTTATGATTTACAAATTCCATTCCTGTTAAATGCACAAAAAACTAATATAAAGGACAGCATGAGATAATGATCTTAATTTTCTTCTGGTTCATTTGTGATAAATAATTATGCTTGTGTTTTTTTACAATATCATGTATAACCAAATTGGTAGTGGAAGGGCTTCATTATGTTTTGAAGACGTTTCAGCAAAATAGCAAAATTAACACAGATGCAGATGTTCCTTCACAAGTAGTTGGTTGAACTGTGTCTGTCTCTGCATAATCATTTCTCAAAAAAACAAAAACAAATTAAAAACAAGGAGTCGTTTTAGTTCCCTGCTGGGTCAGTCACATCTACTTAACAAATTTAAGCACAAACAGATACTCACATGACTGTGTTGTCATCAACCAAAATGTCACAACTATGAGCAGGACAAGAAATGGTCTAAGAAGAACACAGAAGACAAAAAACCATTAGTAAGACAGCTATTAAAATACTAACACTCAGCAGTAAATCTTAGTGGGTACCTGTCCCATTCCTTCTTCTATGATTTTGGTGGTCAGGTAATCTCCCCAGCACTGCATGCAGAACTTGTGTCCACACTCCAGGCCTGTAAAGTACTGTAGGAGAGAAGCATCGAATTTGACTTCAAATAAAACAAAAAAGGCATCACATGCTTGTAAGCATATGCACTTTCGGTAACCAGGCTAGTCAAGGGATTCAGAGTGATGCCATTCTTAGAGAAAATACCCAGTTTTGACAAAAAAAATTTGTTCTAACAAACTGATTAAAATAACTGATGGATAATTTTGAGTGCTACAAATGCCAACATACAAATATTGTACATTTAAATAGTCTGGATTTTGAAACTTTGTTTCTGACAACTTAATATATAAAACACTAAACCTCCTTCTCCATGAATTAAACCTTTCTTGAGAACGTAGACTGTATTATGGAAATACAACTGTATGCTCTGCAGTGTGCCTTTAATTTAGAGGAATATGTAGAGATTTATTTCTTCTGTTGATACCCAGTTTTTTAAATATTGTTCCTAGATGACCTCTTTCACTACCACATGGAGCACTGTGTTGTCTAAGGTAACCATATCCTTCAAAACATGACTGACATGAATGGATCAACCTGGTCTACTCCAATGTTAAAATATGTTCTTACAACATGGCAATGGCCTGCAGGTGTTAATAGAAACACTGCTTGACAGCAGAATGGCTCTCAAACAATTATACTTCTTCCACCAGTCTGTCCATACAGTACTGTACTTCATGTAATAATGCACAATGAGCACCTCTTTAGGCCACATCCACATAGATCTACGCCTTGATTTGAATTTTGCATGAACTGTTTTGTTTCATTTTTGAATACAAGTGAATGGCAGTGAGTGGCACTTCGTAGAGAAGGGCTGGGTCCTGAAGATATACACATTTTACCAATTCTGCAAAACAATCATTTTCTTTTTCCAATTGAAATCATATAGCACTGCTACTGAACAGCTGCTGCAGTTTTTGCTTGCTTGTTTTCTTTCTGATACGTCCAAGTAAGAGAGACATAGAAGCATTCAGCTTTCCAACAATTATGTAACACTTCAAAAACAGTTTTCCCCTCGGTTCTTTGTATTAGTAATCTTTATTAAAAATTGGGACATTTTACTGTTTAAGCATTTTTATCACCTGGCATGCCTTGACAGTTTTCTATCCTAACCCTAACTAAGAAATCCAGCAGCTGGTTGGCAGATGTCTGATTACAGGGCACCAAGTACCAGCTCATATCCCAAGTTAAAATCATTATATCACTTTTAGCCTGAAAACTAAAATCATATCACTGTACTGATGAAGAATCTAATCAATGGTAGTGAATACTGAGTTTAATTAGTGACAATGAGTTGCATTCACTGATTTGATATCTAGTTATAGCAGGTATGAGAAAACATTAATCCTAGTCCATCATAATATATAATGTGATCACATTTTGTGATGTCAAGTTGGTCTGCTAATAATATTTTTCAGTGACTACTGTAGCAGGCAAGGCTGTTAACAAGGTCTGGAGAAAGAGTCTGAGATTACGCATTATGAACCACACAGGGTTAAAACGTCACTGTGACAATGCTTCAGTTAGGGGACCAATTGCATTATACAAGTTCAAATGTGCCTTAAATCTCCATTGTGCTATCAAACACACAGCTTTAAAAAAATCCACAACTTACACCTGAACACATGATCAGCTCATGCAACACAATGCTGGTGTCATTATGGGACTCACAGAGTTGGGGAAGTTCAGATAGCAGATCTGACATGGCATGTCCTGTGCCGATGATCTAGTGTTGATTGGAGGACGGATCCGAGGCTTCTTACTGGGGTTAATGACATGACACTCAGAGAAAAGCTTGTCCAGATTACCATCAAAATACCTGCAAATTTGAGACAAAAATAAATAGATAAATACATCAGTGTTAAAAAAAAAAAAAGCATGAGGACATTAGCTCACCCTGGTGGCAAAAGGCAGCAAATAAAGGATGTAAAGATTGTTACCTTTCCATAAGCTTTTCTTTATCCCAGTTGAAGTGACTGAGAAGGATGCGTGTTATTGTTGCAGGATTCTAGAGGAATGAGAAATGGTTGGTCAGAAATAAACCTGATTTTTACATTCAACTATTGCCAATTTTCAATCTTCACTATAACGACCTACAATTCAGGCTATTACTGACATGAAAAGCTCATTAATTGGTATTTCCACAATCCTGTTTCTTTTACAAGTTAAAGTGTTTTGTATGACAACAGAAAGATGTAAGGAAGGCTTTTTTAATATAAATTAGGCCCAGTATTAGACCAGAATGGTACTAACTGAAATGGAATTAAGTCATGGAAATCACCAAAAATTGTTGTAGATTCAATAGTTCTCACTTACATTACCATTCATTGTCCACTCATGTATGTTAGTCAGTTTGAACAAACATATCTGATCACTGCAGGGTGGAGTTTCATTTTTTCTGTTCACAGTATTTGCTTAAGAGTAGGCAACTAATGCCACAGAACATTCCAGATGATAGTTTTACATTTTTACTTTGTCTGTAGACATCAAACTCAGTTTTAAGTGTAGTCAGCCTAATTGAATAAGGTCAGACAATCCAGAATTCAGTTTGAAAGGACAACAAAACCAAATCAAACCCTGTCCACAAAAAACATTTAATGGAAAAGTTCGATCACATCATTTTCCCATCAATCCTATCTCTGGCTTAATCTAAGATCTCTGTGCAAATTTCCATCTGATTGGGCATTTTTATTTCCAACATGGATCCTACACTGTTGATGGTACAGAAGCAGACCATACTGTACAGCACTGAAATATCAGTGATGATATGGCAAATATGGAAAATGTCACAAACACAGTGTCATTACACTGTACGTAAGGTTTTTTTCAGTGCAAGAAATTTAATGAATTTAAGTAATTTAATGCATTACTTATGCACATTCTTCTCGCTTCTTCACCTGAAATTAGCAAATAATTATAGGAAATATAAATGTATTCTCTGTATTCTGTTTTTCAACCTAGTAGCACTTCTCAGCAGTCTCGATTGGCTACATTCATGAAGCCAGCTCGGTAACAAATGAGAGCAATGTCACTAATGAAGGCAGTGAATGCACAATGCTGTTGAATTAATGAAGTTACTACCAACAGCTGGAGTCAGCTGGTTATTAATGGAAAAAAATCAGCTAGCCAGTAGCACATTTTAAAGTGAAGTTGCTGGATTTGTGTGCTATTTACTACACTGCACAACAATTATTGGCCATCTCATATGTACAAAACTACTCTCTCCTGATTGATAAACAGATGGTTTAGAAATCAAAAGGGAAACCCAACATTAAGTGTCTTAGTAAGGTGCTTAGCCACCAAGAGCTGCAAAAATAGCTTAAGTGCACCTTGGCATAAATTCTATAAATCCATAAAGTAATGCACAGATATATAACAGACATATGTTGCTCCCATCAGTTCTGTGCTCCAGGAGCAACAATAATACTGTATTCTACACTAAACTCTTAACTTGACCAGTGTGTGAGGATGTGAGCAGAGTGGAGCTGGTGCTCTCAACATTAACTCGAGCCACTGTTCTCTGTTCAAATGGAGAGAAAACCTGCTCCAGGTTACGATTTGCCACAACTGATGCCGCCTTGCAGTTAAGTTATACAAAAAGCATTTCTTCACCGCATGGTACCGACTCAATTCTACTCGCATTTGATACCAGGTACTTCTATTTCCACTGCAGATAGTAACCCTTCAATGCGGTTACTATAGCGACGACACACAAAGCTATCGTGACCTCATCTTCAACGCGACACATACATGAACAATGGAGGACATCCAAGGGATACCGAATAGAGAAATATCTGCACCTCTCCAATTGACCATGGCATGGTTGCCATACAAAAGGTATGGTACAATAACTAACAAATGTAACAGGCTACAGTAAGCGGTATACAGTCACATGGCTATTCTAAAAGAGGCAGGTTTCTTCAGAATGTCCCAGCGCATACAATGATGATGGAGTAGTGATTGTTCTCTCTGACCAATCAGTAGTCTGCAGTGTTTTCAAGTCACTATTGGTGTTGCCTCTTACTTAGAACCTCTGCAGAGATGATACCATAAAAAAGTAACAGATGCCAGGTACTATCCACATCTTTTGCCTAAAAGAAAATCAGGCAAGTAGAGTCGAGTTGAGCCAGTAACGTATAGTGGAAAAGGCCTAAAAGTGAGGTGGAATGCAAAGTCTCATACAAATGACGAGTTCTTGTAATTGGTGTTTGTAGGAATTGAAAATTTTTCATCAGGACAAAAAAAATGCAGGTCACCCGGACTAAGCTATAAGATTCCACTTTCTTAACATACAGAGAAAAAAAGGTATCAATCTGGAAGGGAAAAAAACAACTTGAGTTTGTGTTGAATTTTAATATCATTTTAAGTTTATGCTGTCATACACATATATAACGTGTACAAACCTCTGTGTGTGTGTGTGTGTACTTACAGAAACAATTATATCATCAGTCAGGGGAAACATTACATCAGTTTTTTGTGGCAAAAAGACTAAAGACTACTCTCCAGCAGCAGAATTTCTGAACATGTGACAAAATTTTGTTTTGCATTGTGATTCAATGCTGCTTGTTTGTAGAAGCAGTATAGTGAAATATGAAACATTTATCAACCAACTTTTCAAAAGCTGTTCCACATAAATAAATCTACTTCCACTCTACTAACAAATGAATCCTTCTAATAAAAACACAGAAAGCTGCTGTTGGTACTGGTCATTTGTCTGACAAATTAATTTTCACTTTTTGCTGTATGAACATTTAATGTGATAAAAAAGAAAATTCACTTTCTCTGGCTACCAAAGTCACTACATTGATGTGTACCAAGTGTCACTATGGTTACAGGTATTCAGGTTCAGGGGTCTCCCCAGAATATCTGGGTATGATGATGCATTTCAACTTGAAAGATGTGCAGTGCAAACATATTTTGTATAGTGTATTCTAAATATGCATGACAATAAGTATTTTTACATTCCATTTCAGAATGAGAATGATGCTGCAGTAGTAGAGTACACAATAGTACAGTGCCATGGTTGCACTCTCTCAGAAAAAACTGGGGTTGCTCTAAGCTATCAAAATATTAGATAGGGAAATTTTTCCATGGACCTGTCCATACTATGACCTGTCCATACACCATACTATTAAAATACTAATTAAATGTTGGTGATAATGAGTGTATCACAATACAAGACATTCTGTTATACTACACTGCTATATCTAATTGTGCAATTGAAGGGGAAATTATCAAATAATTTCTCAAAATGCAGTTGTGAATCATATACTACTCGTTCAAAGCACTATGCAGTGACTTCTGTAATGCAAATGTTTATGAGATATTCATACCTGTTATCCAAATATCAAACAAACAAACAAACAATGTGGTTGGTGGTTCTTGAATATAAACATATGAAATTTAAATCAGAATACACTCATGGAGAACAAAATCGTGACATTGGTCCCAATGTATCAATAACGTATGACAAGTCAAAATATGACAATATACCAGGTTGCCTGTTTATTAGGAACACCTAGCTAAAACTCATGCAATCTAATAGCAGCCCTGCAGTAAACCCTACCTAAAATAAAGGGTATATGGTTCAGTTTTCTTTCACAATGTTTTAGAGAGGTGCAGATTCAATTTTATACTCATTTCCGACATAAGCTGTATTTTGTGGTGGTGTTTAACTGTACTAAGTTATATTGATAATGTTCTTAATATTTGGACAAAATATTTAAAATACCTCTCAGTGTATCTGTGGACAATGTTTATGCTTTGCCTGTTCTGTTTTTCTGAGATTTGATGTGCAATCTTTGACAGTCTACAAAGTCTCTACAGATGAAAAAAATCAGCAACTAGTAACTTTACCCTAAATTGTCTTCAGAGACTAGGCAAAACCAGTCTCTCTTGATATGTGAAGGCAGTAAAGCCTAGATACAAGAAATGTATATTCAAGTGAAGTTAACTATCTGTTAACTATGTGATAGTAGCACAGACTCGACATTGAAAACTTTACTTCAGCAAACAGATATTTGTGTTTACTTTCAAAAAGTTATTTGTAAGTTTTGCAAAAACATTGAAATTAAGTAGCTAGACCTAAATACTATTTATATAAGAATCACCATGTCAGTTGTTTCTGCTGTAGAAACAACTGCCATGCGGCTATACTGTTTCCACGGTATGCATATTTCACCTATTTTAGTTTTTTTGGGTTTATTTATAGTGAAATGATGACCACCAAAAACATGTTTATGTATAAAATGCATCATTATTGCTTAAAAACGTGAATACTGACAAGTCTATTGAGAGCACTTTCCATTTTATTATGTACCCAAGAGAAGCTAAGTGAAAGGAAATGGAGGCCCAAGTAACGCTAAGCCGAAGGGCTCCAACGAGTTTCCCCATATTAAATCTTTAACCGTTGACAGATTATAACGTCTTCGTATGATACATCCAAACTTTTTAGAAATCATGATTAATTAGCTTGTTACCGTTAACGCCAATAACCTAGCATGTAACTTGCTATCCAACTCGATGACCAAGCCTTTCGTCCAACATTAAAACAGCGTTAACGGTCTTGTTATTTTACAAATTTCGTAACGTTAAGTTGAAATTGCTTAGTTAACGCACTCCGACTATCGTCTAGTGGGAGTTGGCAGTTAACTAATTTTAGAACCAAGTACGTTATGTTTTTCCAGTAAGGTGTTTTTCCAGTAAGGCGCTAGTTTAACGGTTACAGTTGGCTAGTTAGCAAGCTAGCTAACTTGCAAGCTAACATTAGCTTAGCAAACGTACTGCCAACTTCTCAATAGGGATTAGGCTACTTCCTGGAAGAGAATTTGTATAGAGATTGTTACTTTCACGTACAAATTTAAAGTTCCTAAATATCTTCGTTTCAAACACTACACGCACATAATATGGCTAGATTGATAATAAAGATTTTTTTGTATTGTGTAAATCTTTTCACTCTTGTGAAACTGCTAACTTCCAGCAAGTAAACTACTCCTACCAGGCTAACGGCTAAGCTAACGTCCATGGCCTGTTTATGCTTCACCCAAGCCTGGACCCCGGTCTTTCCTAACGCTGACATACCAAAATACCTACCTGGATGACCTCGTTGACCTCCCTGATACACTCCACCATATGCTGGAGGATCTGCTCGGCAGTCAAAACCTCGAAGCGGTAGTCCTCCTCCTCTTCCTCACCGGGACCGTGGCCACCTCCACCAGTCTCGCCGCACTCGTCTCGCTCCCCACCGGCCACCACGGGATCGACCAACTCCACCTCTCCGAGCTCCAGGGTGTCGTCCTCGGGCTCCTCTTCGGCGCTGTCCTCGCTACATTCCTCCTCTTCGTCGTCGTATTCATAGTTATAACCCTCGTCTGAGTCCATTCCTAGGGTGGTTATCAACTTGTGACAAGCACACCTAAAGGTCTACAGAGTGTAAAAACGTTGATTGTGGAACAATACGAAAACCAAAATTATCCGAGCCTGTTTTTCAGCTGCAGCGAAAATAACAACAAAACGTCGCCGCTGCTAAGCCAACAAAGAGAGACAGCGTCACCAACTTACGACGGTCTTACGTCAGATGGACTGTACAAGAAAATGTAAAAAAAAAAATATTTGTATGACAAACTTTTCTTTTCAACTAGATATATTTCAAACATTTAAAAAAAACACATAAATAATTAATAATATTATTGTTATACGATCGATTTAAACACGCGTAGCTAAAGTGTTAAGCAAGGCCAACGCTTAAAAAAAATTTAACGAGCAGGCGAGCGATATGATTCTAACATGGTACACAAGTATTTTGGTTTGAAAAACGTCATAATATTTTATCAGCCACTATCACCCAAGCAAGCCTTATTTTTGTAGCCTGCTTGATGGCTTTTTTTTCTGGCCCCACCCATTTGCCTCAGTCGTCACATCACTCCTATTTGGTTAACTGTAGTTGTACTGCTAGTAATTTAATTGTGATTAGAAAACTATTCCCTTAAATACTGATGTGCAAACTGCTTAAACAAAAAGTTATTTAAAAACAAAAAACAAAAAAAAAACATCCACCCACACCCTGTGGGCCCAGTCATGTGACCGCATGCTCTCTACAGTTTGACAGTTCAGTTGTGCCAGTGAATAGACTGATATGAAAGTCATGTATGCGGTTAGTTCTGGACGCTACAGTCGTCAAAATTTTATTTTGCTATTATTAATTATTCTCCAACTTGACCTACACACAGTGGAGGGGGTATGGCCATTACCACAGGATTTCACCTCGTCCACAGAACGATACCCATTGAACCCGCAGGCTTTCCACTTTGGTTATGGAAAACAGTCAGTCGTGCAGCAGGGCTGTTCTGTTCTGGATGCTGCATTCAAGAGATATTTTTCTCTTATATTTCCAGACTATACATCTGGTAGGTGATAAAGTGAGGTGGCATTAAGACTATGGTAAAACGAAAGTATGATTTTACATCTTGCTGGAGTTCAAATAAATCCAGTCATTCTAACAAAATAATAAATATCCTCAAAGCTACTTTAAGTATTTTATTTGTGATATAACATGTACGTAGACCCTGGCTTTTTAAATTCCAGTGTGGGCATTAAGAGTCAATGATTTAGTGATTCATACATTTGAGACTCCACAGTGAATGCACAAAAATGTAGAGCAAAAAGTGCTCACTGTGGTTTTGTTTTGAATGTTCTGATTGTCATGTTGGCTTTTAAAGTCGATCAATGGGCTTTGTAGAGACAGCAGTTCATCACTCAGCCAGTGTAGGCCTACCTAGTCTAAAACCCACAATGACAATGGATCAGAGTAACATAGCTTCATGTCCGTGTTTTCAATAACAATTCATAGAATGATGACACTGTGACTGTAGCATTGTCAAAATGACAGTGCACAGGTAATGGATGCACCTCTTCAAAACTTTAATCATACTGCAACCATAATTTCACTTTTATGACCAACAGCAAATGGTGTCCTGCAATTGAGTGAGGATAAAGCATTTACTGTGGAGATCAGTGTTGACCATGATGACTGTGAGAGTTACCCAAAGGAGGTCTTTTCTGAGAAATGTAAGTATCGACACATTAATCTGAGCCAGAGCACTACAGGTAAGGGTCACAGTGCCAGCAACTATCCCAACCGGTATGGTCCAATGCTTTATCTAACTTGTTCCTATTTGTGTTACAGACAATCTGAGTGTCTCTGAAAGGAAAGCATTTCTGAATGCAGAAACAGTGTGGGGTGCTGTAAAAGGTGATTATAGCCAGGACATTGTTTAAGAACATATAAAAGATGCATATAAAAGATGCATAAAGAAAAGTACAAAAAAATGAAACAAACACAATCAGCTACATTTAGCAAAGGACAGTCTTGCATCACGGGTTCTAGCAAAGCTTGTTAAGTAAGGTGCACTGAATTTCTCATGCTAGCAAGCATTTAATAACTGTTATTCCACTTTTACAGCTTCAAATGATTTCTGATTTTACACTATATATCCTCTGATTAAACACAGGCCTGGAAACCTTCAGTCAGTTGGTGTATCAAGATGATTTTGGTTCAGTAAGTTAGAATTCAGAAGTAGTTATTTCTTGAATACAAAATCTCATCTTGTTACAGAGTTTTATTTATGTTTGGGGTGGATCATTTAAATCAATTTTTTTTCCTGGTGATTGCTTTTTTTTTTAGTATTTTGTGAACAAGACTGTGATTGAGGACTTCCCCCGGTTTCAATTCAGGGGGATTTTGTTGGACACTTCACGTCACTATTTACCAGTGCAGACCATTTTAAAAACTCTGGTAATAATCAGATGACATAATCTGAACATCAGATTTCTGTTCAATTGATCACAATTGTCATCAGTGGTGTTAACATATGTTTTCTTTTTAGGATGCAATGGCCTACAATAAGTTCAATGTGTTTCATTGGCACATTGTTGATGACCCCTCATTCCCTTACCAGAGCCGCACCTTTCCAAGCCTTTCCAGTAAGGTATGCCATGTGGATGAAGAAAGCTGTGTAATATGGAAGAATAAGTAACCTAATGTCATCTGCAAGTTCATCATAATTTGCTTTTCAAATATTTTAATCCACATATAATGAGATGAAACTGTTATTCTATATCCTATATTTTATCCTAGATTCTTAACCATCATGTGGATTCATGAGGTAGGAAAATGCTGAAAAGTTGCATCCACCCTGAACAAAGGCTTCTGGCTCTGTTTCAGGGGGCTTTCCATCCGATGACTCACATCTACACACAATCAGATGTGAGAAGGGTGATCTCATATGCCAGGCTGCGGGGAATAAGAGTCCTTCCTGAGTTTGATTCACCCGGCCACACTGATTCTTGGGGAAAAGGTATAATTCAATGACAAAATGAGCCACATTTACTTACTTACTTTTCTTAAACTATTAATGGCAACAAGACATACTGGATTTTGAGCTTGACTCAAAATTCTGGAGGACTCTGGAGGACTCTTATGGCTATAGCTATCAAATGTCTGATCTCAACAGAAAATGCAAGAAATGTATTTAAACAAAATTCTGAACTAAATCTGATAGATTACTATTTATTCCCCAGGGCAGTCTGACCTGTTGACTCCCTGCTTCAGAAGGGGCACCCCTTCAGGTTCTTTTGGTCCTGTTAATCCAGCGTTACCCTCCACCTACCAGTTCATGGCAAGACTATTTAAGGAAGTGTCATCAGTGTTTCCTGATTCCTATATCCACTTAGGAGGGGATGAGGTTGACTTTTCCTGCTGGTAGGCTCAAATGTAACAGATTATTTAAATGCCTCCTGACTGTTGTTGATTTTAACTAGGATTTCCTGGTTTTTATCACTGTGGCTTGTTTACATTGCTACTGAATTGGCAGCAAAAATCAAAGAATGACAACAGAAGGGATGTCATCTTTCTTTTGTGTGCAGTGTCCAATCCTGCCGTTTTGTTAAACAGAAACAAGGGAAAATAAAGTTTATATCTTGTCCCAGGTGGTTGATGTAGGTATAATGTATGTCTTTAAAATGTAATAATAGTAATAATTAAACCACTTTAATTTAGTTAAAGTAACTTTAAGCTTTTGCAAAATGTACTTAAACAATCAGCTTGATTATGTTTAGTCAAATGACTTGTTTCCATAGGAAATCCAACCCTTACGTCCGCACATTCATGCACAAGATGGGATTTGGAGTAGACTTCAAGAAACTCCAAGCATTCTACATGGAGAAGTATGTTGTAATGTACATTGTAGAAGGCCCAGGGAAATACACCAACTGACACATGAATGTTACAAATGTCATTAATGTCTGTATTTCCAGCATTATGAATATCACTTCAGCTCTGAACAAGACATCTATTGTGTGGCAGGATGTTTTTGACTACCATGAAAGAGTAAGAACAACCCAACAAATAACACCTCTATGATATAAAACAAAAATACACAGCAGTTTTTATCAGTATATTGTCAGATAACACCAAGCTAATACATTGCCCGACCAGTTCATCTAAGTCTGATAGTCTATATCATTGTGTTGCAGCGCAGCTCTCTATCAGTGGTGGAGGTATGGAGACAGGGCTGTTACCTGTGTGAGGTACGCAAGGTGGCTAAAGCAGGAATCAGGGTGATTCTGGCCTCTCCGTGGTATCTGGACCAGCCAGGACCCACACACAACTGGGCTCACTACTACACTGTGTGGCCCCTTGCCTTCAAGGGTCAGAGAAGAACCTGTATGCTGTGGCTTGTAGTAGTTGTATTAAGTGCTGTGGTTTATGTCTCTAATAATGATTTAGAGGTAAACCTTGATTTCCTGTAAAATATAGGAAATGCATACCAAAACCTGTGGCTTTAAAGACAAAATGTTACTATTGTAGCCATACCACTAGGTGGCAGTGAAGACTGTTTTTTATGTATAAATGTTACAGACTACTATCTGTCCCAAATCCGTATGATATACTAATTGTATACAGAATTACTAGATATAGAAATCAGTGTAATTTACAATTTTTTTGACTAATAGGGAGTGATATAAGACTTGTGCTGATGTACTGTATGTCAGTCAAAGTTCAGTTTGTTTTCTCAGGTTTCATGGAGCTCTGTCACCACCACCTACACTTTTCCCAGATGTCTGCAGCTCCTTTATTTCCTCAGATACGGATTTTCCCAGTGTGAACTCATTACAAACAAAATTTAACATAGGATTACTATGTAGTATGGAATTGGGACACAGCTACAAAGAGGTGTGATTGCTGTGGTACATGCTCTCAATGCTTGATATATATAGCCCCGTGGATAACATGCACACTTTTCCCCTAAACATAGAAGAATAAAAGTATTGCTCCACACTGTGCAGCCACCAAAGGTGGTGATAGTAGTGGTCTTGTGATGGGAACTGCAAATGGGGACTATAAATTTTAGAGGCCCACTTAAATATTGATTCACTGAGTTTGACTTGGTGGTGTGATCATTTTGAATTAAAAAATCTGATTGTTAGTAGACTCATTATCTGACTATCCTTAAATAAAACCTATTGTGTTATTATCCCCTCACAGGTACCGAAGAACAGAAGAAGCTGGTGATAGGGGGTGAGGTCTGCATGTGGGGAGAATATGTTGATGCCACCAATCTCACCCCACGTCTTTGGTACAATATTAAAAAGACCCCTGAAATCACCACCCCAGTTAAATTATTATAGTAAGTTTCGCAACAATCCTATGAAATGATTCAAAACAGTCTCTGATTGGATCCAAAATCACAGGCCAAGGGCAAGTGCTGCAGCAGAGAGACTGTGGAGTGATGAGAAGCAGACCTCCAGTTTGGACAAGGCATTTCCTCGTTTGCAGGACTTTCGCTGCAAGCTCGTGAGGTACTTTTACTATCAAAGACCTGTGAAGAGCATAGTGCTGGCATACCTAAGCAAGACACTGAACTTTTACTCATAATATCTGCTTCCCTTTCTCCTCAAGGCGTGGCATCCAGGCAGGGCCTCTCTATATTGGACACTGCAAACATGAGTACCAAGATGTTTGAAGATGCTGGATGGACTAACATTACTGGCTTTTTCTTGTCTGGAGTTTGAGCTCTTTAAGTTCCTAGGTGCCTTCTTAGCTGATTCTAAATTTTGGGGCATTTAAAATGGTGTAAATTCTTTAATAAATATTTTCTCTTCAGGCGGTACACACTCAAGGACTCAGGGACTTATCTCATATCTATATTTTCTTCAAAATAAATTTGTACTAGTTATTGTCTTTTTAGTTTACATTTTGAATATTTAACAGTCAGAACTACAATATAAAAATAAGAAACCAAAGTGCTGCACTGTAATGCCATGTTGATTTACACTTGAAGACAACAAGATGACAGCAAAATATACAATGTATGGTTTACTTTAAATATGAACATTGGCAGTATGCTGTAGCTTGTGGTCTTGGACTGAAATTTAATAAAGTTTTGTTGGTGTGGCAACATATTGTCACCCTGATTTTCTTTCACTGAACAGAGGAAAATTAAGTTTCCTTCACAAAGTGAACAAAGACAGAAACCCCATTGATGGCTCTTCTTGCACATATTGGCATTTAAGACTCTCAAGGTTGCCCAGTCAGCTTGTCTTTAGGGAAGAAATGACCACCCAGAAAACAAAATCAGGTATGTCAAGAACATATAACTATATTTCACACAGAAATTGACGTTCAATTAATTGTATTTATGTAACACAAATTTTTCTCAGTTTACCAATATATGACACTCTCATCCTCAGAAACTGGCAAAATAAGGAGCTCCACATAAAAACCCTTTAACAGGGAAAAATGGGAAACCTCAGGAAGAATAGAGAGAAGGAATCTTGAAATTGAAAAGTAATAATAATAGTAATAGTCATAATTAAAGTGGCCCTGGCGGTGAAAACACAACATTTTATAAAACATATTTCACAAAACACTGCATTTTATGAAAAACATTTCACAAAACAACATTTCACAAAACACAATGACATTTCAGATTACAATGATGACAGGACATTCAATTCAGTTTAGGGCATATCTGAAATGCTGTGTTTAACCCACTGGGCCACTGTACATAATAAAAATAATGATAATACCAGAGCCTCTTCCATCCAGTTCAGACCTCTGTCCAGTGACCACAAGTCTTCATCGAACAACCTAGCTGACATGTCACATGTTCTGGTACCAGGGTCCTGGTCGACATCTCTTATTCATGTATTGGTGATCCTGGGCAACATTTCATCTGTTCCTGAGTCAGCCATCCTGATAAACGTCTCCTCTGTTCCTGTGTCTACCGTCCTGGCTGACGCATCAGCTGACACCTGCTCCTTGTTTCTTGTCAGTGGTCCAGCTGACTCCAGTTCCTGACCCCCAGTGAGTGGTCTGGCTGATTTCAGGTCCTGTCGATGTTTCTCTTGTTCCTAAATTGGTGAACCTGGGCAACATTTCATCTGTTCCTGAGTCGGCCGTCCTGGTCAACACCTCCTCTGTTCCTGAGTCAACCACTCTGGCTGACGCATCAGCTGTTCCAGCATTAGGGTTTCCAGTCAACATTACACCTGCTCCTCGTATCCAGTCGGTGGTCCAGCTGACTCCGGTTCCTGACTCCCAGTGGGTGGTCTGGCTAATTTCAGGTCCTGATCTCCAGTTCCTTGTCTGGCTACCACCAGTTCCTGATCCCTCCTTCCAGAGTCTCAGCTGCCCAACTATCCACAGCATCTTCCATCCAGCTAATCAGCACCACAGCTGTCCAGTGATGACAAGCCTTCATCAACCAACCTGGCTGATGCCTGATTAGGTGATCATAGGCAACGTTTCATCTTTTCCTCAGTTGGCCATACTGGTTAACGCCTCCTCTGTTCCTGAGTCGACCGACCTGGCTGACATATCAGCTTTTCGAGTGTCCAGGAGCACCAGTCAATGCTTCATCTGTTCCTGAGTCAACCGCTCTGGCTGATGCTTCAGGTGACCACAAGCCTTCATCCACCACCCTGGCTCATGCCTCACTTGTTGCAGTTTCGGGGTCCCGGTCTCTCTTGTTCCTGAATTGTTGATCATGGTAAACTTTTCATCTGTTCCTAAGTCAGCCATCCTGGTCGATGTATCCTCTTTTTCTGAGTCTAATTGACACGCTTCACTTGAAGGGGCAGGGCCAGCTATACCTCCTACAGAGGCTTAGGTCCTTCAGAGAGACCTACTAGACTTCCTAGCGACGGTAGCAGAAAGAGGGTCCTTAAACAAACTGCTATCCATCATATATTATCCCAACCACCCCCTCCACAGTACTCTGGTTAGCCAGAGCAGCACATTCAGTGGCAGACTGATTTGTCTTGGCTGTAAGAGGGACTGCTCCAATGACTTATTTGTCTCCTGGGCCATTAGGCTTTTAATGTCTCCCCACTGTAAAAGAGGTATGATCCTGGCCACTGAGATGGACTGGAATCAGGACTATGTGTCTGTATATGAACATATACAAGAGGGGCCCTTTACCAAGGCTTGAAGGTGTCTTGACCATAAGGACAACACAAATGATGATTAATATTTCTGCAATAAAATGAGGAAAAACGAGAAACTGTTTCGACTCCAGAAAAACATTTTGGTCACATTGCAGAAATCCTTGGGAAGAAATAAGAGGGACACAAGAGAGGCCCTCTTCCAAAACTTGAAGATTTTGCTACAGTTGTGGTTGAACCTAGAATGCAATCAATATGGTTATGTTAGCTGTACTGTGACTGCTCCTTACTGGTCCTGAGAACATTAGCCAAATAGTATCATTAAGCCACACAGGATTTGAAGCTGCTGTGTTTTCATCAGATTTAACAGTTACTGTATATTGATGAGACACCACAGCAGCACAGAAACACAGTACCTTCACTCCATCTATCAGACAGAATGACTACACACACAGTCCTCCATGTTTAACACCCAATATCAAGCTGCTTATGTTAACAGATTAAATGTACATTTCCTCAATGTGAGCAAATGATCTCTCACTATGACAAACCCTAAAAAGACTTAAACCTAAAAGAGAGCTCAAAAGATATACTGTGCGTATTGCCCCATAATACAGTAACATTACAAAAAAAAAAAATTTTATTCAGCACTCAATCCTTACGTTTTAGAAGTTATATCCAGGATTTTGCAGCAAGGTTTTCTGAATCCACTTTGGATCCACATCCAGTGCAAGATCAGACAGAAAATATTTTATGGCTGAGTTTTGGTGTGGTTTTACATTCATCTCCTCTAGGGGATGCTAGCAGTGCTTTTATATTCCTGAGATGTGTTACCCTTATTATTTTGCCAGGACTGACAGTAGACTTCTGAATATGATACAGTACCTTATCTCCTAATTTTATTGTGTAAAGTTTTAAAGCATGTTTAGCCTTCTTTTTAGTGTTCAGTCAGAACATTAAAAGCCAACACAAAATACAAGGTGAATGGATAATGGTGTGACAAAATCATCCATTCATCTAAGAAAAGTGAGTCAGAGTTTAATTTACATTTAACTTTCTGGTAATCTATTTGGAATGTTCTGTTTCATCTATGCCAAAGAGTATGAGCTTTTATTTAGAGGATGTAACTGACTAAGCTTCACGATTCCTTCGTCAGCAGTAACATGGATTTTACAGCAAGTCTCGCTGATGTCAATTTACCTGTTGAATCAAGCTGGCATGACTTTGATATGGACTGAGACAACTGATTTTCTCAATGTGTGGATTACAGCAGTGGCAGCAGATGGCAAGGCGGGGCAATCCCTGGTAGCCATAGTGCTGACACCTCAATCCTTCTACTTCATCTGACTTGGGGGGTGCAGAAGAAACGCTGAACTGAACCTAACAAAGCTTAACCAAGCAAGCTTGGTCAACCACTCTCTGCAGCTACATGAAATCAGATAGACATGCTGAGTGCAGTGTAATAGAGGCTTATGCCATGATAACAGGGCAGGAATGAGATTATCCTGCTGGAACATTTTACAGCCTTTATTTATTTCAATTCGTTAACTTTAGATGTTAAATTTGTGCAAGAACAGTTATAAAAGTTTATTCTGGTGAGAATTTTATTTAATCAATTAATGTCCTTTTTGTAAAACAGAAAATCTGTCTAACTATAAACATTCTTATATCAACTATGACATTTTTTATGCCTCAGCAACATGAGGCACCTGTTCCCTGTAAGTAAAGTGAATGGCAACAACTTTAAAAGTTAATCTCACTCTTTGACAATAGCTGTCATTCAAAGAGATTATATCAAAAAGCTGCTTAGACCGATGCAAAGATTTGTGAACTAGCATTCAAGGGCATCATCTGAAGGACAATAACACGGTGTTGCACATGTGTGCCTGTTGCAGTGCATGTGTCTCCAATGTTCTATGAACTGCAAATGATTACAGTGAAAATAATTTTATAGTTGTAATGTCTGGAATGGTAACAACACACTATTGAACAGCTGATCTGGTCTGACCTGCCAAGCAACTGAGCTAGGGTTTTACTAGTGACGTGCATTCAATCACCTGCAGGGCTCTGTCATCACAAATGTTTCCACTAAATACATAATCATCCGGTTGGCTCATGGCAGCAGGCTGCTAAAGATTGGCTGCATCTGTACAACAATCACAGGGCTGAGGAGTGACGAAATGTGACAGTTATCCCTGTCAGGCAAAACCTCAAAGCAGCACTTTGCTGATGGCAGCAGCATCCTACCCGTGCCAACAACTGGAGAGGCACACGTCCAAGAAAAGAGAAGAGGGACTATTACAAGTTTCAATATTATGGAATCATCATGCATCTTTTGAGATACACTTATTTAGATGCCACACATGATATAAGTGTGAAGGTATTATCAGTGAGCACAAACAAACTAGACTAAACTATCACATTTGAATTAGTCTGAAATATCCAACCAATCATTTTCCTCAAAGATGACCTTTGTGAATACATCTGACATGTAAATTTTCTGTCTGCTCGTGTGAAGAACGAGATAATCAGCTCTTCCTAACATGTGAGTAACACCTATGTAATGTAATCTGACTCC